TATTTAATAATCGAATTTCTGACTCTTCTTAAGTATTTTAATTAGGACGATTTCGTAGTGGAGGCGGTTTCTAACTCTCTTCCTCTTTCTTAATTGTGTAAACAATATAGAAGACACAACTATATTATAAATGCATTCCAGTCAGATAAAAGAGATAGAATAAATTATTAATTGGCATATTTGTTCTCTATACTATACATTATATATTAAACACTATAAAATCATGTCTTACGTAAGTGATAATACAGTAGTTAATCTCGAGAATGGAGTTGGTTAATGAAAGATTAGGGGTAGGAGGCCCGATTAACTGTATACCGGCACGACTCTATTGTTAAAGGAAAAGTATGATGTACAGGGGCAAGCCACTACTAATTTGAAGTGAACAGAATATATTTGAAATTAAATTAATTAAAAATATGATCCAGGGGAAAGCAAAGTGCCACGTTTGCTCCTTGAAGATGCCCATGGAACAGGAATCATCAACTCACTAGATTTGCCCTTCTTATCCAGAGATAAGTCGATTGTTACTTATAATTGTTACTTTTCTTAATCAACATACTGTACTGTCCTAGTACAAGCTTTTTATGATATGATCTCATTAATCTCACATAATATTTTAACTATTCTTATTAAATTTCTCACTAAATACACATACAATACTATAGTTTAAGTTCGGATCAATATAATGCCAAATCAACGCACCTTCTGTCCTAACCAACTTCTCTCCACTAGGAATCAAATATAATACAAATCTAGGCAAGTTATGAAATTTAAAACAAATTTACAATATTAACCCAACAATAGAACGGTGTTTATGACGTGATTTTTATTGTTGAGTAAAACGTAAATTGTCGAAAAGACGGTTCCGAAATCCCTTCTGCAGAATCTCCATTAAATATCTTAATGGAGATGGAAGAAAGATTGATAAGAGTGGATGATTTTATAAACTTGATAAAAGAAATGGACATTACCGAGCAAGTTCTTCCAGAAAATAAATCCTCTAGAGAAGGATCCACATCATACGCCGTAGAATCCGCAGAAAAATGCGTACAGACGATGAATGTTCGCATTGACGATGAAGAAACGGTTGTAAAAAGATCAGAAAATGTCGTGAGATCATCCGTAGATGTGAATAAACAATCGAAAGAATCGATAAAATTAACGGCGAAGCCATCCATTGAAATCATAAAAGTCAGAATATGTATAAAAGAAAATAAAAATAAAATCGATTTAAAAGCATCAATCGAGGAATTAACAGATGAAGATAAACATCAGATAGAAACTTTAGTTAAATCGAGGAAAAAGCCTCCCGAAATAATTAAAAGGGCTGTTAAAAGGGCTTCAGAAATAAATACAAATAATACTCGATGTAACGCCGTCGAATCAAAATCATCGGAAATTTTTCAAAGCGAATGGATATCCGAGTCGTTTATGGATATAAAAGAAGATTCAGAAGTTAGAAAATCTCTTATTCAAATTTCCGAGAAAAATACAACGAAACTAGTAATCAACACTGCAATTTATTCGGAAGAAATAAATAAGATGGAAATTGCAAAACCTATCAGAAAAATTAATTTAGAAATCTTCCAAGAGAAGATTGAGTCTAAAGAAACTGAAGATCACGTTGAAAAAATCGAAACAAGTATTGCTGTAGCTTCAAAACCATCTCAAATAGCTCTTTCTCAATGTGTTTAGGCGAGGAGAAAACAATAGAAGATGAGGAAATGATTGAAGTATCTTTTTATTTGAAAATAAATCAATCAAATTGCTTTACCAATCATTTTTGTACCCATTTTGAATACATTTATCACGAAAGGATATTTAATTATTAATACAAACACGAGTAATAAAGAATTTAGGATTGTATTTCCGGGATCGATCGTGTTAAGTTGATATAATTAAGGATAAATACGGTTTAAAATATAACGTGAACGCTATCCGTGTAAAATCTCGTGTGTGTATTGGTGTGACAATGAGCGAAGCGCCCTTTATGCTTCGGTACCAATTGACCGAAGGGTGGACGTTGCTTCCGTCGGTTTCCCTGTTGAGGGTTCGCGCCTAGTCAACGGGTTGAACACGTGGAGAGTTTTCGTTATTTCCTTCGCGTGTCTAACGGTTAATTAAGCAAAAACAAACCATGGGCGATCTTCCAACGAAGAAGCCTTTCGGAAAGGTTTTCAATGTGAAATTATCCCTTATTTGAATGCTAAATACATAAGTTTTGATAGCAAAATTATAATGTTTTCTTATGTTTGTTTTAACGTTCAGCTGTTCTCAATTTAAAACCTTTACATAAAATGGAATAAATTAATTACTTTATATTACTGTTATAAAAAGGCAAGAACGACTTAATTTTGAGGGTAGAGATGAGTTTTTAAATGTAAGTGCCAATGACCCACCCTCTGTCTCCACACCCTCTCGAGCTACGTACTCCAAAATTTACAAGCATCAATGCCCCTTATATACAAGTTATTGCGCCAAGTTTGGTTTTTTAATCTTTATTTCATCGTGAGATATTAAATAAAATAAACACACAAACACCCATAGAATATTTTCTTCTTTTCTTTTGACTTTTCTTGTGTTCAAGGTCTGAAAAGATCGAGATTTACAAAGGATAAAATCAAAATAATATTATTTTTTTAATTTGTTAAATTTCTTTATAATTAATGCTTGAACATCTGTGCATCCCTGTACAGAATTTGTACACGTCAAATAATCAAATTGCACAAATGTTTTGTAAACATGTACTTCAACGTTGCGCTTAGGTAAGGCTCGGTTTCTTTGTTCTCCTTACGTTTTTTAGCTTATTTAATTCTAGATTTTACGCCGAATTACGAAAATATAATCGATTTAGAATATTATAGACAAGTTTTTCTGTAATTTACAGCTTGGCCTTGGGCGTATTCTTCGTGGATGCTCGTGAAATCCAAGAGTTGTTTAGCTTGATCGATGACGATTATCTACGTGAATTAGTAAAAAATGCCGAATTAGAGGTCCAAAAACTGCACGAAATTGAAAGCAAAGGTAAAATTAATCCAATAAATATTATTTTGTATGATTTATTTTCGTTTGGGATAATTCAGATTAAGAATTCGCTCCAGTTCCTCTTCAACCTTGTTGGATTATAATACGCGATTATTCTTTAATATTTATTTAAAATAAATATTTAATATTTATTTAAAATATTCGAGAAAATTTATTAATCTCTTTCTATTGTTTACAGCAAAATATTTGAATCCTTACATTATTTCTGCTGAAGGAAGGCATCAATTAAAAACGTGTCCGGCGTATAAACGTAACGATGTTCAAACCATGCTTGAAATTATGACACGTGATATAGTTTCCAGGTAGATAGATTCGTATATTATATTCATTTATAGTATTTAAATTCTAATGAAATGCCTCGTATAATATTGTCTTTATTACTTTCCCTACTCTGTTATATATATAACGAGGGAAAAGTATGGCGATCGGTCAAAAAAAATGACTCCCAGATTTTTCATTTTTGGACCTAGAGCACTTTGAAACGTGGAGAAATGCAAAACGTTGAGGTTTTTTCCTGTATGTACGGATGTTAATGTGTGTGGGTGTGTGGGGGGCACGATTTTGTTCACCCTGTTTGAAGCTTAATAACTCTGTGCCCTTTGTCGAAAATTTCTGAAATTTTGCAAAGAGGTTTGTGTATTAAAGGGATTGATACTATTAAATTTTGGTGTCTAAAGATCGACGGGGTGAGAAGTTAAAGGGGATGATGTGTATCTTCGGTATGTCGGACTTAATGACGATTTTACTCGTTATTAACCCTTACAATTTCTTTTATAAAACCCACCCCTAACTCAAAATTAAGCTTTTTGCCATTTTATAACAGTTAAAAATATAAAAGGTGTTTTTAAATTAAAATATCATAAAATATAGCTCCCCCATACACACACAGTTTTAAATGATGGCAGGAAAGTTAAGTAACTCATTGCTGGATATTTTCTTTTAATTTTAAACTAGACTAACATAAATTCCCGTATTTCATATTAAAAAAACTATTGTTTATTTTGTTAAGATATGATTTAGATCAATCCGAGATAAATTTACTACGGCAATATCCCCTTAAAGATAAGGAAATCACCAAGCAACTACAGGAGCAATGTGTGGACAACAGACCAGTCGAATGCACCAATACAGAGTACCCTACAATCGATGGAAGTTGCAACCATTTAGACAGGCCAAACGAAGGAAGAACCTTCTCCTGTTTCGATCGTTTATTACCTCCCGATTATGACGATGGTAAGAAAATATGTAATTTTGGATTAATTAAATAAACTACTAATAAATATTTTACATTCGAGGTGTTAGTTCGCCGAGGGTTTGTAAAGGATGCCCCACGCCTGAACCCAGAGTCATAACTTTAAAAGTTCACAGAACACTTCATGGTAAACTTAGCTATACCCGTACTGCAATGCTTTCGGGTTTCGGACAGTTTCTCTCTCACGACATGCAATTTAACACTCAACCTGGATCGGGTAAAGCGAAACATTTTAGTAAATTTAATTAATTTAATAAATACATTCAATAAAAACACGTTTATTTATCTAAATAGATACCTTTACTGCAATTGAATGCTGTGAAGGTCCTCCTATTCACGAGGCTTGTTTTCCTCTTGCAATTCCTCCGAACGATCCCGATTTTTCAGATATTACTTGCATGAATTTTGTACGGGATGCCCAATGTGAAACTTGTAATTTAGGTAAATATTATTGTATAATTTTAAAATGTTATGCTATTATTACTCTATTGACCCATTGACAGGTTACAGAGAACAGATGAATTCTTTAACTCCTGCAATCGATTGTTCTCAAGTGTACGACACAGAATTAAATCGATCTAGAAGACTAAGAAGATTGGATGGAAGTGGTAATTATAATAATTATTTCAATTTTCCATTATTTAGAATTGTTTCTATGATTTGGAGGCTTTTTTTTTTTGCCCATTGCGGGTTTAGATGAAACCCACATCTGGCCGTTAACATTGTCACATTAACGTTTACGGTCATTTTCATTTATTTATTGTAATTCTCCTTCCATCTGTTTGAATTTCTCATAGGTGTGGGCCCTTCTATCTGTTTCAAGCATGACTAAATATAAAATATAAAACCACCATTAGAACACCTCTATACAGCCCCATCTTTTCAGGAACATTTTGAACAAAAATGCGTACGAAATAACCTTCAAACAACGGCAATTTTTGTGTTGATATCAGTGTCCGTCGTTTACAGGTTTAACTGTATAATTGCGGGGAATCTGAGAGAGGTCGAATCATTAACCGTTTTCAGGATGCTAATACATTAAAAACCCCAAAACAGCTTTAAAAAACTCTCGTCAGTAGTCGTTGTTTGGAGTTCTTACTGTACAGTATTTGAAATTATTCCATATACATGTGTACAGTATCTGTTATTTTCTGTTAAAGGTAAGCTAGCATCTAGAATGACACCAGTAGGAGAATTTCCATCGGTTGATCCGGATCCAGCCAATCAATGCGAACCATTCCAGTGTTTACTAACAGGTAAATTAAATATATTTACTAATAGAATTGATTTGAAAAATAATTTATTGATATTTTGAAATATTTCATATACAAAACAATTAAAATTGTAATGTAATATCAAAAGGATGAGTATAAAGAAAAATTCTCTAAAAACATCCTGTATGATAATTACCTATTAAACAATTAAATATACTAAATTCACTGACAGAAATCGAGTTTGGTCTCTAGTCAATTGCATGCAGAACACTTCACATAGGAAGAGGAGCATTGAATGTAAAAGTCCACAAAAACTTCCGATTCCAACAGGTCAAATTCACAGAAATAAAACAGACTAAAAGCTATACAACAGATTGCTTTCAATGCCAACAACACAGTTGAATGGAAAACACACATCTAAAGTAACAAACGCGTGTGTGCCAATATTCAAACATTCGTTTGGAGTTATAAATCGGGCGCATACCAGATTAAAACACCAGCAAAGAGAAACGATGTTGTGTTGTAAGGCGCGTGTATGGTTCAGCATTGCAATCAATGTCCAAATAATTTTATTGGTGCACCAAGACATTGAACACCATCGGGAGTTGCACCACGTTTACCCATCGCTTCCTGGCTCCATAACAAATAACACAGAAGTGTCTGGATCACAAGAGAATTCATTAAATCTTCTATAGAGAGATTGACTCTTAATAATTAAAGGACTCTCGATTATAGTTACAATTTTCTTCCAATTGTATCCATTGTATGTTAATATAATAAAACATAAAGCCGTATTTCATTTGAAACGGGCTCGATTATCGTATTAAAACCGATTTGTCAGGCAGCTCACCCTATTATAATATAGATTTGTATGGTTATTTTACTAACTAAATTTGCAAATTATATTTTATCTAATACTTTTTTTTGCCGAAGGAGATTTTAGGTCAGACCAAAACCCCCTTTTAACATCGTTGCATATCGTCTTTCACCGTCTACACAATTTAATTGCAGAAAAATTGAAACAAATGAATCCACATTGGGACGATGAAACCATATATCAAGAAGCGAGGTACTACAGTAGATTTGGTTGAAATGTCAGTAAATTTTATGTATTTAAAAATTAATTTCAAATTTAATTTCCAGAAAAATTGTTATTTGTATATTCCAACATATCGTCTATCACGAATTTCTTCCAGAAATTCTCGGATCACGCTACACACTTCTCAGTAGAATCAATGAAGAGAACACCGAATACGATCCTTCTGTGCCATTCAAAATATATAATGAATTCGCTGGTTGTGCTTACAGACTCCATTCCATAGTACCTGATAAAATCTTCTTGGTTACTGAAGATGGAACAACTGAAGAAATATTATTAGGAGATGCCTTTTTCAATACGAAATATGTACTCGAACGAGGGATTGAAGACGTAATAAGGGGAGCAACTAAACACCCACAAGAGAACTTCGATCGTTTATTAGTACATTCATTGACAAAATATTTATACAGAACAAATATCTCGAATTTAGGATTGGATCTTGCATCAATCAATATACAACGAGGAAGAGATCACGGTCTACGTCCTTATACAGAATACGTTTATCTTCTAAACGGAGTAAAAATAAAAGAATTTTCAGATTTAACTAAATATGATCTAATGGATAAGTCTACTGTAAATAAATTAAAAGAAGTGTACCAATGGTAAGCATGCCACGCCGGTATACCGGTTGATCTATCGCTTCTAGTTAATGATAATTGAGATTTAAACAATGGGAAGTTTTAAATTGTGTATAATTTAATTATTTCAGTGTGGAATGCATCGATCTTTTTACGGGTCTTGCTTGTGAAAAACGTGTGGATGATGCCACAGTTGGACGTACAACAGCCACAATTATTGGCCTACAATTTTTTCGTTTGAAATTTGGATGCAGACATTTCTGCGGACATAAAGGATATCTAAAATCAGGTACTGATTAATAATTAAAGGATGCTATTAAATTTTGAGTGGGAGCTGTATGACTTTTAAGGCCGACGACGTATCTAGGCCCCAATCTTTATTGTGGCAATGCATAATTGTTGGATCAGTATAAATTTAATATAATATGAAAAAGTACTTAATAAATTCTGTTTAAAATAATTATAATTATTTTCTTTTTTATTAGAGCGGCAGGCAGCATGTATTAAAAATATTAAACTCAGTCACATACTTTGTTACGTTCTTAACATTACTAAAATAGAAGAAAATGTATTTAGAGGAGGGTAAGTAATTTTCATTTTCATTTCCTGATATAATTAATTAATGTAAACAATGAGAATTTGTTAATGTTTACGGCCTAATTGTGGATTTCTCGTGAATACATCTGTGAAATGACTGCGTGCCTTCTTACACAGTCTTCTCGAACATCCTGTATTCTAAACAATACAATTGTTTGTGACTTCTTTTCCTACTTTATATCTAACCTAACATATATATAAAGTGATTTTTGGTTAAGTTTGATATAATAGGGCAAGTGTTCTGATAAAAATGAATGATTTCCGGGAGGAATTTTCTACGGAAATTGGTTCCCGTTTAGGTTAATAAACACGTAAATAAAAACCCGGAAAACCCACGACGTTCGGTGGTTTCATCCACTGGGCAACTACGTGGAATTTTCCGGGTTTCTTGCGTGTGTAACACCCTAAATAGGGACTAATTTCCAATAAAAAAAATCCTAAAAAACTTTTTTTTCTGAATTTAGATTTAAAGCATTTGAAATTCAATTTTTAAAATTATTTATTTATTTATTTTTGTAGAAGTCCCACCATAAATTGCCATGATATCCCTCCGTTGGATCTTTCAGCGTGGAAGGAGGATTAAAATTTAAGAAGAAATATTCAATTTTCTTTATGTCGTTGTTAAAAATTAATGATGAATTCTTATTAAAGATAGAAAATAATTTGTTTTACTGTTATAATACATTATTAAAATAATAAAGCTTTTAACAACTGAATATGTGATTCTTCTTAAGCATTTTAATTAGGACGATTTCGTGGTGGAGGCGATTTCCTTCTAGCTCTTCTCCCCTGTAAATAATATAGAAGAGACAACCAAATTATAAATGCATTCCAGTACCTTTCGACCCTTCCTGTATAAAGTGATACTTTATCCACACTCATTATGGACTCGAAAGATCCTGATAGGGAATGCATAAGTACCAAATTCAGTACCACCGCCATTGATATTACTTTGTTTCTTCTTAAATTAATAGTTGCTTGCCCCTGTTAATCATACTTTTAACAATAGAGTGGTGCATGTCATCTATCTAACTCCTTTCGAAGGAAGATTTTGAATTGAAATAACGTGACTTAAACGATTTAAAAGGCACAAAGAGGGTAATAATGAAAGAATTTTAAAGTAGAAACGTGGTTAATAAATCTTATAATGATGATTTTTGTGGTATTGTATGTTAAGATTTCAAAAGTGGGCACTGAGATAGTCTTTTGGGTAGACAAGTGATTTCCCTTTTACAGAATTTAAAGGTTCGAAGCAAACAAGTTTATTTCTTCTTCAAAATATAAAGGCGAATTGTTTTTTCTTGCATTTTACATGGCTGATGTATTGAAAGCGTGAGTTTATAGATTCAGTTTAAAATAAAGGTGTTAGTGAGCCTCAACAAAAATGTATTGCACGATCGATTGCAACGTCTAATTCAACCAAATAAATGCTTTAATTGAGATCTTTGCTTGTAAATTAACCGATAAAGTAATGAAATTATATTTTAGCAAATAATTTCTAATAAAAATCACTCGAAATTTCGACATAAAAACAGCTGTTATGGTTCCATATCGAGATTTTATAAACAGCTGTTTCCAATTAGAAAAACATATACGAAACATAAAATGAAACAAATTATTATTTAATTTTAAAATTAAAAAATTTAAAATATTACAATTACCCACTTTGTTCTAATATTTGTCTAAATTAGTATTTAATGATGGTTTTTTGTTTAAAAATTATAACTCTAAAACTGTTTAATTAAACTAATAAATTCTATACTTTATCATCAAAAATTTATAATAATTTTTGTTTTTTCGAATCAAATTATTTGTTAAATTTATTCATAAACACCTGAACACTTGTGTAGAGAACACCTACATTTGTGACTACTATTTGTATATAATCAAATAGCACAAATGCTGATGGGTCTGTGAACATGTACTTCAACATTGCGCTTAGGTAAGGCTCGGTTTCTTTGTTCTCCTTACGTTTTTAGCTTATTTAATTCTAGATTTTACGCCGAATTACGAAAATATAATCGATTTAGAATATTATAGATAAGTTTTTCTGTAATTTACAGCTTGGCCTTGGGCGTATTCTTTGTCTCCGCTCGTGAAATCGAAGAGTTGTTTAGCTTGATCGACGACGATTATCTACGTGAATTAGTAAGAAATGCCGAATTAGAGGTCCAAAAATTGCGTGAAATTGAAAGTAAAGGTAAAATAATTTTGTTAGGATATTATTTTATATATTTCATTTTAAAAGTTTTCTTTTTTCGTTCGGGATTTATCTGTAAACTGTTAGTCCATAAAGGAATAGCCGAATGGATAAAACCGTTGAACTCTGGTGATTAATCGCGGGTTTGCGCCTCACCAACAGCGTGCCTAACACGTAAATAAGAAAAAAATAGGAGCCAGTTTTCCTAAAACATAATAAGTCCTTCTTGAGGTACCTCTTTCGCAGATCGCTCGTGTGGTTTACTTATTTTATCAATTGAGTTCCCTCTCCATTACGCCTCGACTACCTGGGCATCCGTTCATCTATGACTGGGTATAATCGGAGCCGTTTTAATCATTGAGCGTACTAGACAAATGTCTATGGCCCGAGAAATGGGCAGCCCACGGTCCTGGATTTAAAAAGAGGGGACTAATATCGTTTTAGAAAAATGGAGCCGTGTACTGCTGTCTAGTATCTACCGTATCTGGGTCATGCTGTTAGCTGTGGTGGAATTAAAAAATAAAATTGAAGTGCCAGAGGGTGTATGACAGAATAGGCTAGAAGTCGTGGATATTTTGTGTTTGTCGACAATAGAATTTTAAGACCCGTTGGGATTAGAAAAAGGGCAACCCAGACAAAAATGATTGAGATACATAAACACACGTGGGCGATCTGCTAAAGAAGTAATGCATCCCGAGAGGATTCTCTACGAAAAACTTTCTTATTTAAGTGTTAAATACGTGAAGAAAACTAGAAAAACTCCACGTTGTCAGCTGATTAACCCCGCGATTCTAGTGTTATCTACTCGGCATTAATGCCTAAAATATCAATATACGAAACTTATCTTTTCGTTGTTTACAGCAAAATACTTGAATCCTTACATTATTTCTGCCGAAGAGAGGAGTCAGTTAAAAACATGTTCAAAATATCAACGTAACCATGTTCAAGCCATGTTCGAAATAATGACACGTGATATAGTTGCCAGGTAAGTTCATGTACGAGGGAAATCGTAATTAAAGAGTGAGTGTTCGCGGCTCTCTGCACACAAAGAGAACAGCTGTGCCAAATTTCGCCCTAGCCACCGAATTTTAAATTAAATTCTCCCCGAAAAAATTGAAACCTCACGCTCCGAGCAACACGTATACAAAATTTGATTGAGATTTGTCAAATAGTTTTTCTACAAAGAGCCCAAAACACTTGCTCTTTAATTACGATCGCCCTTTATTTCATTCATTTCAATTAAATAAATAAATTATTTAATAAAATAACTCATCCTAGACTGCAATTTCTTACTAACTAAACACACTCAAGCAAACCTTTAAATATGCAGCCGTATTTATTAAATTCTAACGTTTTCGGTCATATTCAATGACCTTTCTCAAGAAAAAACAGAAAAAATCGAACTCCGAACTTGAATTAACGATACAAGCGCTTTGGAACGTTTTTTTAAAAATAATATTCTACTGGAATAACGCCATCTCTACATAACGGTTGTCATTATATAACCACATTAGCTATTAGAACGTTAAAACTATGACGTTCAGGATATAAAATAAAAATAAAAATACAGACATAAAATACCAAACATACACAATGTGTTTAGCAAATAAATTAAATTAAGAATTTCTGCCCTTAAGTAAGTTGCCGCTGTCCATCGTTCTTGACTTTATAATATACTTGCTCGCCAGGCTGCCGATACTTTGCTTGAATCTCGGAAGTTGATAGCTAATCCTTTTTGGCTTGCTTTGCAGATATGCCAGGCTTCCGCGTACCGGAGGTGCTTTTTGTCGCGAACTATTTGTATTAATCTGGCTCGGTCCCATTCAGCTTTGACCTCTTGGCGGTCAGCTAAGACGTAAGTCGCCAGCGCTGTGCACGGTTGTTCGCTTCTTATGTTTCTCTGGTGTTCTGCCATCCTTTCTTTGAGGGATCTTCCGGTAGCTCCGATGTAGAACATCATATTCTGCCTCCGCGTGTCTGTAACGGGGATTCTGTAGACCCCTGGAAGAGCGTTCTTGTCTACGCTATCTTTATCTGCCCTTAGCAATTGATAAATAGTAGGATTCCTTTTGTATATTATTCTCTTCTTCGTAGCTGCTCCTATCCGCCTATAGACACTGCTCAGTGAGGCCTTATATTCCATCATTGTGAACTCTTCTGTATTTTGTACGTTTCGCACCTTGCTACTTGTCTTACTTTGGTTAGTAATAGCTTTAATATTAACCCCATACCTCTTAGCCATTTTATTGATATAACACAGCTCTTCGTTTCTGTCTTGGATACTGCTGCAGTGTGAGTAAGCTCGTGCGATGAGCGCCCGGAATGCAGCTAGTTTGTAAGTTGGCGGGTCGTGCGAATTCCATGGGATAAATATCGGGTTGTACGTAGGCTTTCTGTATACTTTAGTGCGAAAATCCCCTTTGCTGTCAAGTTGTATAGATAAATCCAGAAAGTGTATGCGCTTATCACTTTCTTGCTCGAGTTCAATCGTTAGAATTTAATAAATACGGCTGCATATTTAAAGGTTTGCTTGAGTGTGTTTAGTTAATAAAATAAAATTATAAATTCTGATTAAATGGCCGATGTAATAATGCCTTTATTTTATTTTGGGCATATTTAAATTGGTTTTAAACGAGTATTAAAACTACTTTTGTTTATTTTGTTAAGATATGATTTAGATCCAACCGATATAAATCTGTTACGGGAATATCCTCTGAAGAATAACGAAATCACCAAACGACTATGTGAAAGATGTGTGGACAACAGACCAGTCGAATGCACCAATACAAAGTACCCTACAATCGATGGAAGTTGCAACCATTTAGATAGGCCAAACGAAGGAAGAACCTTCTCCTGTTTCGATCGTTTATTACTTCCCGATTATGGCGATTGTAAGATTAATTAATTAATCCAAAATTACATATTAACTACTAATAAATATTGTATATTCGAGGTGTTAGTTCGCCGAGAGTTTGTAGAGGATGCCCCACGCCGGAACCCAGAACTATAAGTTTAGCAGTTCACAGAGTTGCAGCTCGTGGTAAACTTAGTTCTACTTACACTGCGATACTTTCGATTTTCGGACAGTTCATCACTCACGACATAGAATTTACCGCTCAACCTGAATCGGGTAAGCAAAATACTTCATTGTAATTAGAAATATCTGTTTATAATATTTAATAAAGACAACAGGATGGTGTCGAAGCAATCAAGGGCCGTCACTACCAACTCCTCGGGATTTTTCGTGGACATTTCCGTTCCAGATAAGTTGAGCCCCGTTCCTCATTATTCGAACACCCCTGTTGAGGATCCTACCTACGGTGGGCCTGAAAAAAGGGCCCCTTATTGCAATAAGGCGTAGAGAGATTAAATAAAGAAACGTTTTTCATTTATAACAGAGACTGTTAGTACATTCGATTGCTGTGAAGATCCTCCTCCAAACGAAAATTGTTTTCCTATCAAATTTGCTCCAAATGATCCCGATTTTCAGGGTATTACGTGCAGGAATTTCGTGCGAAATGCCAGATGTACAACTTGCAGTTTAGGTAATATTTTTTTAAAAATATTATTGTCTAATTTAAAAATATCATCCTGTTATCACTCCATTGGCAGGTTGGAGAGAACAGATGAATACAAAGACTCTGGCACCCGATTGTTCTAATGTATATGGTGTCGAATTAAATGAGTCTAGAGCATTAAGAAGATTAGATGGAAGTGGTAATTATAATAATAATTTAACTTCCTAATAATTAATTATAAAAACTAAATATAAAATCTCTAATTCAATAAAAACGGGACCTTATAATTCCATACATTTGTAAGATTTTCATCTCTTTATTCTAACGCTCTTTCCATGTGTTTATTGCTTCTAGTGTAGCATGTAAAACCTAAAATGATATCATGATATGAAAAGAATTTTAGTTAATTTATCATTTCGCTTAGTTATTTGTAAAGTTTCTGTAACTGCCTAGTCTCTTTCCACCCAAACTGTATATTCAGCACATACTGTGTATGTGTGCTGAATATACAGGTAGGGTGGAAAGACACTAGGCATTAACAAATCGCTATAATTTCTATATTTTTAATGCAAGAATAATGAGAATTATTCTATTTGTACCTTATTAAATGAAAATACCGATTCAGTAATGCGTTTGCTGCATCCGTGTTTTCGGGCCCTCTTTTTGCCACTGTGCGTGCAACCTCTCATTAATTGTCCACACACCGGTTCTGGAATTATAGAATTCCATTGATTAGTGTACAGTACATACTCTGCGTGCATGTAAATCAAATTTTATTATTATTGCATTGTTATTATAAGGCAATAATAACAATAAGATTTACAAAAAGCTAATATTTGTTTTGTCTTAATAAGAATTTTTAACAACTTATCATGTTTTAGAGATATTACATATGCATGTGTACAGTAAATGTTAATTTGTCTTCTGTATATTAATTGAAGGTAAGCTAGCATCTAGAATGACACCAGTAGGAGAACTTCCATTGACTAATACGGATCCAACACCTGATCAATGCATATCAGATTATTTACGTTTCCTAACAGGTACTGTATATGTAAACTAAATATATTTCATAATAAAAAATATATTTCAAAATGTAAAATAATTAAAATTGACATCACACAGAATTTTTTAGGATTCATTATATGCATGAATCCTAAAAAAAGAACACTAAAGACCGTACACAATATAAACCATGCCTTTCAACACTACGAAATTCCTACGTATTGCATTATACACAAACTTACCAGCATGTAAAACAATACAATATTGACACAGAACAAACAAAAAGACTGTCCTTTGCATCCCATATAGAAAACTATATGGGATGCAAAGGACAACCTTTACTCTTGGATTCAGTTATTCTGCAACAAATACCCACAGATTAGAACTTATAAAAGATTGGATTGTGGTTCCCTGTTGATGGGGGCTCTAAGACAATTGCCCATTTTGCTCATAGAATAAACATGCCACTGAAAGTTACACAAGTATAAATAAAACACCATTAAACAGTTCATAAAAGATACCAGTTTTAGGCCAGGAGGAGTTCAACAGTAGGCATTCTAACGATTTTAATAATAAAACTTTAAACTTTTATTTATTTAAAATTATTTGTTTTTTCTTTTTTAATTGCTGAAGGTGATTTTAGATCAAGCCAAAACCCTCTTTTAACTTCGTTGCAAATAGTCTTTCTCAGGCTACACAATAAAATTGCGGAAAAACTAAAGCAAATTAACCAACATTGGAACGATGAAACCATATATCAAGAAGCGAGGTACTACAGTAGATTTGGTTGAAATGTCAGTAAACATTTATGTATTTAAAAAATTAATTTCAAATTTAATTTCCAGAAAAATTGTTATTTGTATGTATCTGCGCATTATATATTACGAATACATCCCAACAATTATTGGACCACGCTATACACTTCTCAATAGAATCAATGAAGAGAATACCGAATACGATCCTTCGGTGCCATTTAAATTATTTAATGATTTCGCTGGTTGTGCTTTCAGACTTCATTCTACAGTTCCCGATCCAATCTTCTTAGTTACCGAAGATGGAACAATGGAAGAAATACAGCTAAGAGATAACTTTTGCATTAATGATTATATACTTAATCGAGGGATCGAAGACATTTTAAGAGGGTCGACTAAACAACCAGAAGAGAAATTTGATCGTTTATTAGTACAGTCGCTGACAACATTTTTATATAGAGTAAATAATTCGAGAATAGGATTGGATCTTGCTTCAATGAATATACAAAGAGGAAGAGATCAGGGTCTACCTCCTTACATAAAATATCTATCTTTTCTATACGGAATCAAAATTGAGAAATTTTCAGATTTAGCCAAATGTGGTTTAATGGATTACTCCACTGTGAAGATATTGCAAGAAGTTTACCAATGGTAAGTGGTGGTTTATACCATGCTATAACTATTTAATAATATATTAATTGAATAGTATAATTATGCATAATTTAATTACTTTAGCGTGGAATGTATCGATTTTTTCACGGGTTTGGTTTGCGAAAAACGTTTGGAAAATGCCACAGTTGGACGTACAGCAGCCACAATTATTGGTCTACAATTTTTTCGTTTTAAATTTGGATGGAGACATTACTGCGGACATAAGAATTGTCTAAAACCGGGTACATTTATTAATTAATTCAATAATTAAATAAATATCTAATTATTNTGCAAAAGAGTTTTTAATACATTTATTCATTTGAAAAGTTCATTAAACTTCGTAACACTTGTAAGGAAATAAAAGTTTAAAGTGACGTTCGCAAATTAATACTGAATTTATAGCGATTTTCGTCGCTAAATTTATAACAATAATGAATTTTATTATATTTTCAATAATTTTTTCTGCATTAATCGTGATTCCGGCATTTAATTGTTTTCCCTTTCTATTTTCTATTCAATTAAATTGATAACATTAAAACGCGTTGTCATTTTTCTCCATTAATTTTTTGTATTAATTTTTTAACTCATGAATACATTATGACCTTTTTTAATCTTAGTTTCCAATTGAGAATTTTAACTAAGTAGATTAAAGTTTTTTAACCAATTATTTTAGATGATTAAATTACAATTAGCAGTTTATTCTTTATCATATTTATAATAGTCTTCTTTTAAACAGTAATCTAGAATATTTTCTGTTGTTATTTTTTTATTAATAATCAAAATTGACCTTTATCTTTTCTCCGTTGAGATTTTACCATTCAGATTGGACTTAGGATAAATTCGTCAATGTATCAATGCTTTAGAAGACTTACAAGTTCTTGAAGAAAAGCACCTTTTACCTCACAAACTTTCACATTTCGAGAAATTTGAATCAAAACAAACAATCAGAGATTTTTAACAAAAATCTAGAATGTAAGTAAACTATTCTTTCTATTCTCTACTGAACAGACTTCTTAAATAAAAGTTGAATTAACTCCCTAAGGAATAAGGGAATCAATGATAGAAGAAGACAATGACTCACTTGTTAGGGAAATTATGTTGTAGGAAGTATGGAATGAAGATGAAGACACTCGTACCAGTATCTTTAAAATTTCAGATTATAAATATTAGCGATAAGCACGAAGAAAAATCATTACTTCTTGCATTTAGAATATATCTTTGAGTGTACAGAATGAACGTTCTAGAAAGAAAACGTAATTTGAAGAAGAACAGTTTCCAAAAGAAGACAAAAATAATACGTGACATTTTATATAAATCGATTAAAGATACAAGAAACATATTACATATATTTTAATAAATGAATTGAGTATTGTTTTTGAAGTGGATAGAATGTGATTTATGACATTTCGTATGCTACAAGCGATAGTAATTAATATTTACTTAATATCTCAATCTTTCTCTACAAGTTCAATAAAATGTCAGACGTGTATATAACCTAATTAGACATACCTGTCTGTAGAATTAATTTACACATCTTCTCTTAAGAGAATTCTCATAATTGCCGTTTAAAATGAAAGCTAACTCATTTCAATTGTAAAAGGATTCTTATCTCCATCATGAATATGACCTTTGATAGGGAATTTAAAATATATTTTACGTCACAAAATTGTTTTGTGACGTCAAATATATTATTATCCAATAATCAATCTAAATTTATGATGTTACGTGTTAAAGTTAATAAAATCTTTCATAATTCTAATTATTTACAAAGTTTGGAAGTTCGAGTTATTTCATATTTAGTTTAAGGAATATTTTTAATATTTTAAATATTTACGGTAATAAATTTATTTTTAAATATGTTAATAATTTACAGTTTATATTATAGAATTTTATCACGTTTATTTATTCAATTGTTACATTTGCTTTAATTTAATTTTTACGATGTTTTAAGATAATTTAACGGTTTTAAAGAATGATAAATTATAAAATTAAAAATTATAATTGAAATCTTTAGAAAATATTTCTGTATTAATAAATGAAAAAATTAACAATAAGCAATTCATTGGATTATGCATAATGGCAACAGTCTTTTGAAATTATTCTATCTAAAAAAATTCACTAAACGTCTTCAACTATTTAATTATTTGTGTAATTAAATCAGAAATTATACTGTTTTAATTACAATTAATAATTTTAGGTTTTCTTTAATAGAAAATTTATAAATTGAAAAATAAATATTTATCGTTCGTCTGGCACTTCTTTACCAGAAATATTTCTTCATTTGTCATAATATTTTATCAACAATATTAATTATAAATGCTCATAAATTATCCTTTTTTTTAAAATTATTTTTACGTTATTTAATGCTTTTAAAACAAATATATAAATTACTAATTTGAAGAATGTGTTGATGAAGTAATTATACATCATTATAAATTATTAGCTTCGCACCTTCTGTTATAAATTTTATTATTGTTATTTTTAATTTGTGCTTAATATATAATATAATTAATTATAATAGAGCGTGTTAAGCAAGATTTTATCTTAAATTTTACAATGTCTGGCGTTATTATGTTCATAATGAGAATTATTTTAAAGTTTTAAATTTTTATAAAGTGAATAATAGTTTTATATATTCGATTTTGGGTTAAGTATTTGAAATAATAAATGCTTAAAGTATTTAATTAGTAATTAGTAAAAACACTTAATGATTGTCGGTTGAAAATCGGTTGCTGTATTGGAAAATCGTCCCCAAATTACCCAGTGATCGCACTTGAAATTTCCTGCTATAAATTATAAATTTATAAATAATTTAATCCAATTTATTGTCAAAGAAAACATTTTTATAAATAATGAAAATTATAAATAATTAAACAAATATAGCCGTGTAATAATACAGACTTTAAGGAAGTTGAATGTATCCTTTTGTATGAGCTCCCATTTACTTCTTCATTCTTTCCAATGTAAAAAGTTTATGGGTTTTAAATGGCTACAAGGCACAATGGGACTCCTGAAAGTTAAAATATTTAATCAATGAGATTACTTTTTACCATTAAATTACTATTTCTTAATCATTATACTTACTGAGGAACCATAGCATCGATAGTTATCTCGTTAATTTCTGTTGTTGCGCATATAATATTACTCAGAAATACCTCTCGAATGGCTGCCTTTTGAGCTAGACAAAAATTGATACTGATCATTAATATTAATGAATTTAAAAGTATCGATTTATCTGTGAGATTATTAAAGTCCGCTTACCTAAAGTAAATGATCCGGTTTCGTCTCGGTGAGTATAAAAATATCTATCTCCGAATTTCAGTTCAAAAAACTGCTTGGCTATTAAATGTGCTGCTGTAGGTCCTACCAAAGATTCTTTTAAATGTTCTTCGCATAGTAAACCGACAAACAGATCGACGTCTTCAATTTTACTATAAGTAAAATATTTATTTAGACAGTTTATGTATGGGTTTCGAAACTAACTATTATAAAATGGCAAAAAGCTTAATTTTGACGTTAAGGATGGGTTTTATAAAAATATTCTAAATGCTAATAACGAATAAAATTGTTATTAAGCCCGATTTTATTGGGAAATAAACACGACTCTCATTATCTCCCCACATCCTCGACCTTTAACCACCAAAATTTAATAGCATCATACCCCATAATGCACAAACCTCCCTGCAAAATTTCAGAAATTTTCGACAAAAAACTCAGAAGTTATTAAACTTTATGCCTCAGCAACGGGTTGGTCTGAGAGTATTCCGTGTTTTCTTCGTGTTTAATACTTAAATAGGTGCCAGTTTCTCTTAGAAATTTCTCCCTTGGTACTTTGCCTATGTTTTAAGTTGTATCGTTCCATCAATCCAATTTACTTTATGGTACTCCTATGATATAAAGATCATTGAAATTGAGAGGAAACATTATAATACACAGATTTGAATGATGGTTGAACAAGATTTGTATACCACATCGTTCATTTACAGTAAAAAATTAAACTTGGAAGGTTCTGGAGTAACCTGCAATAATTATATGATTAAGATCAAAATATGCACAGTAATTCTTTTAAGTAATGCTTACTTATCGTATAAAACTTGTAGTTCTTCCGCAGTCCTCCTACTCATCAAGCCATATTTATGCAGATGATCGAAGTCATCAATTCGGAAATTATGAGTTTTCTCTACATAAAATTTATATCCTGGTAATCCATGATCTCTTCCTCTTTGTATGTTTATTGTTGGTAAGTCTAGTCCCACGGTATCGTTTTCACTTTGAAACAAATGTCTCGCCACTGAATTAGCCACAAATCTGTCAAAAGAATCCTGAAATTGCAATGTAGACCCTCGTATCAAGTCTTCTAATCTTCCTTGATAAAATGGCACGGGGTTAAAGAATGTGTCTTTTAATAAAAACTGTCCGACTTTTAGATCCTCTGAAAGTGTCAGAAACGTATCAGGAATAGTGCTGTGCCCAAATCTGAATGATGCACTCACGAAATAATTAAACAACGATAGAGATAATCTACTATCGTATCTCGTGTTATCCTCATCTAGATGATACTTCCTCATAATCATTGGTCCTAACAGCAAAGGAAGATACTCTTCATAAGTAATGTGTTGCATACACGCTCCTACGAATCTTCTGTAATATGATATAATCTTAAGTATATAATTTATACATGAAAATTTTATTAATTAATTGTTTTACCTTGTTTCCATGTATATCCTGTCTCCATCCCACATTGGATTCAATCTTCTTAGATGGCGTGCAACGTAGTTATGAAATCTCAAAAACATTATATGGAAGGTCGTTAATAATAAGTTCTGATTTACTCTGAAATCACCTTTTAAAATAGATACTAATTAATATTTTTCTTTGTTACATATTGCTTAGATAATAATTTAGTAGTACCCATTCGAAAGGGTGGAAATCCTGGGTGACTTCCCTTTGTTTGTAGATTTGGTAACGGAAGAACTCCCGCTCCTGGTATCCACTGAGTTGCTAATTCTCCTATAAAAAATGTATGACATACAAATCCTATAATCTCTCAGCTCCTTCGTAACAGTAAGGACTTAAAACTACCGTTTCCAGATAAGTTTCGAAGAGACAGAGCAATTTCATCTGAAGTACCATATACTTGGGAGCAATCTATTGCAGAAGGCAATACATTCATCTGTTCTCTCCATCCTAAAATCAAGTAATTAAAATCATAATTATGCAATTGATTAATTGTATAATTCTATATTTACCTAAATTGCATGTGGGACAAGCAGAATTTCGAACAAAATTTAGGCAAGATCTATGGCTGAAATCAGGATCGTCCGAACGAATTTGCAATGGGAAGCATTGATGATGGATAGGTGCATCGAGTCGACAGCAATTAAGCAACGTGCTATTACCTGTTATTAATTAAAAAAAGACCCAGTTTCCTCAATAAAAAGCACTATATTTTACGATTTAAAGTGGAAAATTATCCACTAACCCAATCGAAAGAGGGAGGTAAACTCCAAATCGTGATCGAGGAATTGTCCATAGCTCATGTGCAACGAGTTGACACTTGTCGTCACCGTGTTTAAATGGCGCATTCTATGTAGTTTACGCGTTATAATCCTTGCATCCGGTAGAACATTTTCTACACCAGCTCTTGGTTCCTTCACTCCTAAAATTAATAACTTAATTCAATTTGGTTTATGCAATTTAATTCGATACACTAATATAAAAACAAACCATCCGCATAATCGGGCCTTAATAATCTTCTGAAACACGTAAACGTTCTTCCATCGTCGGGCCTTTCGAGATTGTTGCAGCTTCCATCAAAATTTCGGAACTTGCTGTCGTGGCAATCTGTAGGCCTGCTTCTGTCATATAGACATTGCTTTTGAATTTCTTTAACCTCTTGGCTTTCCCATTCTAAATTTTCTAGTACATCCACGTCTGACTTTTTGATTTTTAACCTGGAAAATTGTTTTTATGGAAAGAAATTTTATATAACTTTAAACTGAACCTCATTGAAAAGATTTTAAAATGGCCTTCTAGATTTATCAATCCGTAAACTAAGGCGATCTGCCAGTGCTCCAGAGAGGAATTTCTATGATTGGGATAAGTTAACAAAAACAAGAGGAAGATCTGCCTCCCAGGAGGACATTCTATGGTTCCTATTTAGGTGTTATACACTTGAAGAAACCCAGAAAACTCCACCTCCACTCTACCGTAGGCATGTCAGTATCTATCAATCCACGACGATTTGCCAAGAGGCGTCCATTATAAGAGAGTATTGGCAGATTGCCCATGGTGGTTTTCAACCAGGGTGCCACGAAATATAGTGCTGAGCGTATCCATAAAAACACTTCTCAAATATAGCCTACGTAAGGCACAATAACTCAGATAAAGAAGTAGGGGTGCCGCAAGAAAAAAAAAAACTTACCAAGTTGGGGTGCCACTATTGGAAAAAGGTTTATTGGAGCTTGTTAATCGAAAACAGTAGTACATAAATTTACATTTATGTACGTAGCATAATAAACAGATTAACGTTAAAAGTTATGAATTCTTAAACTTGGAATATGTAAATTAGATTTAAAAATAATATAAAATACCTCGATACTTTCTCTGAAGCTATTGCTTCTAATAAATATTGAGTATTGCTGAAGCAATTGTTCAGTCCACACGGAATATAAACGTTCATCATTTGATGAGCTCTCTCTGAATTACTAAGGCGAATGTTATTTCCTATAAACAAAACAAAAAAATATATATATTTAAAAACTTATTTATTTAGGAAAAAACATCGAATGTTTTCTAGAAAAGCTCAGGAGAAAGTCGTGCAGGAGGAGAAAGGACATTATACTAGAAAGATAACGAAGACAATTCGTGTGGTTTGAACATGCACCAGTAGCGTAACTAGAACCCATAGTAAGGGTGGAGAAGTAGAACGTGCAACGTATATTCTACCCCGTACAACTGTGGATGTAACCACTACAGCTGTGGATGAAGAGAAAACTCTTTAGATGTATGTACACGTGTAAGTGCGTTTGCCACATTCAAATCCCTACCCTGTACTTACTTATTTACAAAGAGAAGGGGTTCTCTCCTAGGTTACGATACTTCAAATCATACAATATTGTTCGGAATAATGAGAGATATGCTTGAAAAATCTTAGAAAGGAACCACAGACAGAAAATCGTAACCGAGTAAGGAAAGGTGTCGAAACAATTTGTACTTCTATAAAATGTTATATTTATAATTAATTAAAATAATAAAAGAAGATATTTAATTACATTTAAATAATGTTAATTTCCTCACATTACGAGGAAAAGAATAATTAATCATACGAGGAAAGATATATTTGAACAAAGGTGAATTACCTGTTTGTTCCAATTTCTCATTTAATCTGACATAAGTCCTAATTTTTTCTTTGGATCGCTTTACGTAATCAAATTCAGTATTTGCTTGAATTAGAAAGATGTTCAATATAAATAACCTATATAGAAAATAATAGAAAGGTATTGTAATAAGTTAAAGTACAGTACATTTTCATATTATTTTTAATTTAAATATTTAAGTATTTATTGGTGTATGTGGGCGAATAACATAAAACTTGGCACACAAAATTTAATTTAATGCTATTAAAACGTTTAAAAATCTACAATTTTTAAAAAAATCACGCGACTTCCGGTCAAGACCGGAAGTTCGTGTACAGTTCTCGAGATTACAGACAGACATACAACTAGACGGACGACAGTTAAGTGTATAGGTCTGCAATTTCAAATTGCAGTTCAGTGATCATCTGCATGTTTAAATGGCGAGTAGGTAAGTAAAAGTCAGTATAGGCCCTACACTTTTACGTCAATTTGACGTCATTCTTATGTAACTAACGAAAAAATGCAGCAATGACGTCAGATTGACGTAAAAATGAAGGCGCTTTACGCATAAATGTCATCTTCTTAACTGTATTTTGTGTCATTAAGATGCCAAGTGTCGAGCAGGGACGAACCTTCGAATATTATTGTCATGGGTTCGTCCCGTTAAGATAATGTGAGGCCTTAAGCTAGCTTAGGGCCTCACATTGTTACATGCATCATTTGTTAGATGGGAAGAGCCTGTTATACCTTATAGTTTAGGGCCACAACAAGTCAAAAGGCGCTATATCGGGGTTTGACTGTATTTCCAAGCATTTTCATCAGTTGTTAATGAAGGTGTAGACATTATACTTAATAATATATGCTGTTCATCAATAAGTACGAGTATAAATGAGAGAAAAAGTTGAGATAATGTACAATTTTACGTCAGTTTTACAATAATAAATGGTAAAGAATGATGTCAAATTTACGTAACTATCTCATTAATGACGTAACTACAATGGTACAAGTGGTACGGTCTCACTACGGTGACCTCAACAGAGATAAAAGGAATACGATTACTTAACAGCACCCTAATCGAGTGTGCGTTTGTATGTCTATTCTAAATATTATTAGAAATATTAGGACTGCAAACTATAACACAAAAGGCTCTTCCTCCCTACCGAGGCCCTAAGTTGCGGTTTGTTTAGTTTACTAGTCCAGTCCAATGGTTAAAAACCCCTGAACACTGGGTTCGCGCCTCACCAATGGGTTACCACGTGGAGTTTTCGGGTTTTCTTCGCGTGTATAATACCCGAATAGGGTGAAGTTTTCATAGAAAGAGGCATAACCTCACATAAATTCTTTTCTCAATATTAAAATAACATATACGAGACCCTTTTCTTCACCGAATAATAACAATAATAAAATTTAAAAGTATGAGGTTATAACCTTTACTTTCGGTGTTTGAGGCCTTTATTTTTAAACCCGAATAAATTTAATAGATTTTTTCAAAAATTAATCACAATTTTGTAGATTTTTTTTTTCTATTTTCTAAGGCCTTCTAGGCATAAATTCCTTCTCTAAAGATCGTGGCGATGAAAATCCATTAAACTTCAACTCTCCTTAATATTAAATGCGTGAGAAAAGGCATTGTTTTATGTAAAACAATAGGTTTTCACCAGAACAATGAGAGATTTTGATTGATATACACGTGTCTAGGGTAACTCGAGCACGATTTGACGGGGGCTGATGATTGTTTATCTAAAATATAACTAAGAAAAGTTACGAAAACTCTTCTAATATCGAAAAAATAACCTCAAAATTATGTCTCATCCTCTTATAATCCCATCCTATTCAAGTTCAGTGTAGATATAGTGTGCACCATCACTAATTTTTACTTTTTGTTGTTAAATGTAATAGAGGAATCGATAAAGAAAATGACCCTCTCCCAATATTTTTACGTTTTTTGACTCTGAGAACCTCGAAATGTCGAAAATTCGGGTGTTTTTCCCCCTGTATGTACGGATGCTAGTGTGAGGGTGCACGATTTCGTTCGCTCACTTTAAAGCTTAATAACTCCTGTTCCTTTAGTCGAAAATTTCTGAAATTTTGCAGGGATGTTCGTGTATCGGGAGGATTGACATTGTTAAATTTTGGTGGTTAAATGTCGAGGGGGTCAAGAGATAGAAAAAGTCACGTATCGTATCTCGAATCGAACACGTAATTAACACAATTTTTTTTATAAAACTCGTCTCTTCCCTCGAAATTAATTTTTTTATATATTATTAATTATAAAAGGGCAAAGTTTTTTTAAAATAAAATCGTGTAACAGATGGCGCCACACGTAATTTTAACACCAGCCGGAAAAGTTACGCAACTCTAGATTTTTCTCTTTTTTTTAAATAATACTTAAAAAATTAATTATAAAAACTTAAAATTTACCTTATACAGAAGAAATTCGTTTACTTTTTAACAGAATTTACCTCAAATTACAGCAGCGATCGTGCTTAGATGATCACCTCAACTAGTTATCAAGTAGGCCTNGTACCCCGTGACATGTCATATCTCTAGATTGTACCCCTCATTTAAGAAATTTAGTGAGTACCCGTATTGTTAATTTTACATATTGTAACTTTAAATTAAAGAAAAAAAAGTAAATGAAAAAATGTATAATAAAGTTGTGATTGTTGCAAGGAACATGTTTTACCTAATAATTTTTTAATACTATTAGTTTGTGATACATAATATATTATTTTTTCTGCCATAATAACTAACTTTTTTCTGTACCCCTAAACAACCTATCGCGTACCCCTAGGGGTACGAGTACCACAGGTTGGGAATCGCTGGGCTAAACAGTTAAATGTGATAATCTTAACAGAGTGATGCAACTTGCAATCTTGCACGACCCAATTTTGGGAGCTGTATCTTGTGAAGGGTCATAGAGGTATTGTTTCTTTGACTTTTTTGCTCCTATAAGTATGCTCTACAGCTCTGATAAGGTCCCAAATGTCTCGTTCAGAGCTTGAATTGAGCCTATTGGGTAGTCATGAATTTCACAAATAATTAATTCCATTTCTATTGCATATATAACTGATGTTTGTCATACTGAAACTCTGCTAAAAGTAAACAAAATAATTAACTAAGGACAATTTCANAAAGGTCAGTTTTTAACATGTACATGTAGTTTCATACTGCCTATTCTCCATGCTCTGCATTGTCAAGGTGAACAACAGCAAGCCTTGACCGATGCTTCGCATGTAGTCGGGCACTTTGGTGCTCTTTATCGCTTGCACTCATCGCCTGGGTAGGGATCACCCCCCACATCCCCCACACCCCCTTAAAACTATATAACATCAAGTGGACTGCTCGAAGACAGCATAGTCACATGGGCTAAACAGTTAAATGTGATAATCTTGACAGAGTGGCGCGACTTGCGATCTTGCACGACCCAATTTTGGGAGCTGTATCTTGTGAAGGGTCATAGAGGTATGGTTTCTTTGAGTTTTTTGCTCCTATAAGTATGCTCTACAGCTCTGATAAGGTCCCAAATGTCTCGTTCGGAGCTTGAATTGAGCCTATTGGGGTAGTCATGAATTTCACAAATAATTAATTCCTTTTCTATTGCATATATAACTCATGTTTGTCATATTAAAACTCTGCTAAAAAGTAAACAAAATAATTAACTAAGGACAATTTCATAAGAACTCTTTGAGTGTGTTGCTAGTAAAGTGGCTTTAATATAACTGGATAAACAAACCAATGACATAGTTTGTTTTAAATGAAACAGGTTAAGACATTGGCTTACTTATCTGGCCGTATTAAGGTCGCTTTACTAGATATCGTCCCTATCGACCACTTTATAGATAAGAGATCCTTATAAATTGCTTTTATATCAAAATATAAAGTAGACTTATAGATTCCGAGACTGATTTTGATACTTCTTAAAATGATGCAGAACAGACAATTAGAAACTAGAAGAAACATAAGAAATTGTATCTAGCTTTTGAAAATTGATTCTTTTCTGGATTCAATTCACTTTAATTTTGTATAATAAATAATTTTAACATATCAGTAATCAGCAACTTATATTCCTGTTTGATAAACTTCTCACTTTCCTGGAGGATGGAATTATAGGCAAATAAAAATAATCAGCCTCTTACAACTGAGATAGATTTTTATTTTTCTTACTATTTACTTATAGTATTGAATGTATTTTATAATATAAATCAGTTGGATGACTGTGGTAGCAAAGGTGTCAGCCTACTGCTCTGGAATGATGATCAATTTCAGACAGAAAACTCTAGGAAATTTTTTTGAGTAGTCTGTATGGAATATATCAAGCTCCATCCTTCATAAAGGCCTACCGGTCACCAAGTGGTTCCGTTCCTTGAACACTAGAAGTTTGGTCATGAGTTTGCACCTTTCCAGGATGGGCTGGCCATATGGAGTGTTCTGGGTTTTCTCCACATCTGTAATGCCTGAATAGGGACCAATTACCCTTAAAAGATCTCCCGGAAGGCATCCCCTAGGCCAAGGGTCTCCAAACTTTTTTGATCGTTGACCCCTTACAACTTTTCGAAACCTCACATCGACCCCCACCAAAAAGTTTGTTACAAGCAAAAAAAAAAAAGCTCTTACTATTTTAATATATATCTTTTAATTTTACAATTTTTTACATTTATTGTACATGTTAATAATAATTTTTGTAACTNAACACTTCTTCAACTATCTGCAAACTAAAGTCAATTGAAAATGTTAAATTAAGTAAATATTAATTATAACAATGAGTAAAACAAATACGTTTCTTTGAACGTATCCAATGCGGCCCGTCCAGGAACTATTTTCCAGTTTCAAACCTTCAATTACTTCTTCAATTATCTGCAGACTAAAGTCAATTGGAAATGTTAAATAATTACAATATTAATTTTATTCAATTTTTGAAAATTATTTATTTAGGAAAAAACGTATAATGTTTTCTAGAAAAGCTCAGGAGAAAGTCGTGCAGGAGGAGAAAGGACATTATACTAGAAAGATAACGAAGACAATTCGTGTGGTTTGAACATGCACCAGTAGCGTAACTAGAACCCATAGTAAGGGTGGAGAAGTAGAACGTGCAACGTATATTCTACCCCGTACAACTGTGGATGTAACCACTACAGCTGTGGATGAAGAGAAAACTCTTTAGATGTATGTACACGTGTAAGTGCGTTTGCCACATTCAAATCCCTACCCTGTACTTACTTATTTACAAAGAGAAGGGGTTCTCTCCTAGGTTACGATACTTCAAATCATACAATATTGTTCGGAATAATGAGAGATATGCTTGGAAAATCTTAGAAAGGAACCACAGACAGAAAATCGTAACCGAGTAAGGAAAGGTGTCGAAACAATTTGTACTTCTATAAAATGTTATATTTATAATTAATTAAAATAATAAAAGAAGATATTTAATTACATTTAAATAATGTTAATTTCCTCACATTACGAGGAAAAGAATAATTAATCATACGAGGAAAGATATATTTGAACAAAGGTGAATTACCTGTTTGTTCCAATTTCTCATTTAATCTGACATAATTCCTAATTTTTTCTTTGGATCGCTTTACGTAATCAAATTCAGTATTTGCTTGAATTAGAAAGATGTTCAATATAAATAACCTATATAGAAAATAATAGAAAGGTATTGTAATAAGTTAAAGTACAGTACATTTTCATATTATTTTTAATTTAAATATTTAAGTATTTATTGGTGTATGTGGGCGAATAACATAAAACTTGGCACACAAAATTTAATTTAATGCTATTAAAACGTTTAAAAATCTACAATTTTTAAAAAAATCACGCGACTTCCGGTCAAGACCGGAAGTTCGTGTACAGTTCTCGAGATTACAGACAGACATACAACTAGACGGACGACAGTTAAGTGTATAGGTCTGCAATTTCAAATTGCAGTTCAGTGATCATCTGCATGTTTAAATGGCGAGTAGGTAAGTAAAAGTCAGTATAGGCCCTACACTTTTACGTCAATTTGACGTCATTCTTATGTAACTGTAACGAAAAAATGCAGCAATGACGTCAGATTGACGTAAAAATGAAGGCGCTTTACGCATAAATGTCATCTTCTTAACTGTATTTTGTGTCATTAAGATGCCAAGTGTCGAGCAGGGACGAACCTTCGAATATTATTGTCATGGGTTCGTCCCGTTAAGATAATGTGAGGCCTTAAGCTAGCTTAGGGCCTCACATTGTTACATGCATCATTTGTTAGATGGGAAGAGCCTGTTATACCTTATAGTTTAGGGCCACAACAAGTCAAAAGGCGCTATATCGGGGTTTGACTGTATTTCCAAGCATTTTCATCAGTTGTTAATGAAGGTGTAGACATTATACTTAATAATATATGCTGTTCATCAATAAGTACGAGTATAAATGAGAGAAAAAGTTGAGATAATGTACAATTTTACGTCAGTTTTACAATAATAAATGGTAAAGAATGATGTCAAATTTACGTAACTATCTCATTAATGACGTAACTACAATGGTACAAGTGGTACGGTCTCACTACGGTGACCTCAACAGAGATAAAAGGAATACGATTACTTAACAGCACCCTAATCGAGTGTGCGTTTGTATGTCTATTCTAAATATTATTAGAAATATTAGGACTGCAAACTATAACACAAAAGGCTCTTCCTCCCTACCGAGGCCCTAAGTTGCGGTTTGTTTAGTTTACTAGTCCAGTCCAATGGTTAAAAACCCCTGAACACTGGGTTCGCGCCTCACCAATGGGTTACCACGTGGAGTTTTCGGGTTTTCTTCGCGTGTATAATACCCGAATAGGGTGAAGTTTTCATAGAAAGAGGCATAACCTCACATAAATTCTTTTCTCAATATTAAAATAACATATACGAGACCCTTTTCTTCACCGAATAATAACAATAATAAAATTTAAAAGTATGAGGTTATAACCTTTACTTTCGGTGTTTGAGGCCTTTATTTTTAAACCCGAATAAATTTAATAGATTTTTTCAAAAATTAATCACAATTTTGTAGATTTTTTTTTTTCTATTTTCTAAGGCCTTCTAGGCATAAATTCCTTCTCTAAAGATCGTGGCGATGAAAATCCATTAAACTTCAACTCTCCTTAATATTAAATGCGTGAGAAAAGGCATTGTTTTATGTAAAACAATAGGTTTTCACCAGAACAATGAGAGATTTTGATTGATATACACGTGTCTAGGGTAACTCGAGCACGATTTGACGGGGGCTGATGATTGTTTATCTAAAATATAACTAAGAAAAGTTACGAAAACTCTTCTAATATCGAAAAAATAACCTCAAAATTATGTCTCATCCTCTTATAATCCCATCCTATTCAAGTTCAGTGTAGATATAGTGTGCACCATCACTAATTTTTACTTTTTGTTGTTAAATGTAATAGAGGAATCGATAAAGAAAATGACCCTCTCCCAATATTTTTACGTTTTTTGACTCTGAGAACCTCGAAATGTCGAAAATTCGGGTGTTTTTCCCCCTGTATGTACGGATGCTAGTGTGAGGGTGCACGATTTCGTTCGCTCACTTTAAAGCTTAATAACTCCTGTTCCTTTAGTCGAAAATTTCTGAAATTTTGCAGGGATGTTCGTGTATCGGGAGGATTGACATTGTTAAATTTTGGTGGTTAAATGTCGAGGGGGTCAAGAGATAGAAAAAGTCACGTATCGTATCTCGAATCGAACACGTAATTAACACAATTTTTTTTATAAAACTCGTCTCTTCCCTCGAAATTAATTTTTTTATATATTATTAATTATAAAAGGGCAAAGTTTTTTTAAAATAAAATCGTGTAACAGATGGCGCCACACGTAATTTTAACACCAGCCGGAAAAGTTACGCAACTCTAGATTTTTCTCTTTTTTTTAAATAATACTTAAAAAATTAATTATAAAAACTTAAAATTTACCTTATACAGAAGAAATTCGTTTACTTTTTAACAGAATTTACCTCAAATTACAGCAGCGATCGTGCTTAGATGATCACCTCAACTAGTTATCAAGTAGGCCTACGTACTCATAATAACCAATCAATCAATGAAAGCATTTCCTGAATTAGTACGTCAGTTTGTCTGTTCTCGTTACTTTGCTATAAATAATTTTATTTTTCACTATTTTCTATTGTTTATCGTTCGATATTTTAACCCGAAAAGACGAACCTGATCCAAATCTAAATCGGGAATCTCGCATCGAGACGATAAGAAATTTAAATTTGTGTCATAAAATACTTTAATGGCCTACTAAACAAGTTTCCATATAATTAAAATTCACGTCTCCATCCGATAAATTAAATAAAAAGACAATTTTATGAATAAATACTTACTTAAACAAGGTATCGAGTCCCATCTTTTTCCAGGTGTTCTTTCCTTATAGTTTGATCTTTGAACGTTGTTTTAACGTGCAGAAAACATTCTAAAAATAAAAAATATGCATAAATTATTAGAAATTATACCTTTAATTTCTATATTTATACCGAATTAAAACATTTTCGATAAGAATAAACTGAATATTTCTACTAGAAGAGCGAGTACTCAGGGTCCTGTATACGCGATTTCAAACTTTAATAACTTTGGATGTATACTGTATAGAAACAAGCTGTAAACGTCATATACAAGCTTAATTTAAGAAGTTAATTCTGTATAATTTTCATTAATTAATTATAATTAGAACGCCGTTAATCAATTAAAAACTCGCGACAATTTCAAGCTGTAAAACGCATACAAACTATGTATAAGAATTAAGCTGAAATGGGATTGTTTAGCCGTAAAAACAGTAAAATTCTACACTTAAATCATACGAAAGTATTGTTATTTATTGTTTAAAGTGTCACGTAGTTAATTGGGTATCGTTTACTTTAGATAAATATGATTAAAATTGTTAAAATCGGCCTGTAAACAATACAGAGCTAGTGTTTAAGTAACGTGATACGTGTATTGTCTTGTGTTACGTTTATCATTGTTCAGACAAACACGTGAATACGACTTTATATTTAAACTATTGTTAAATTGAATTTTTCAATTGTCTTCTAGTTAATTTGAAAATTATATTTTTAGCCCAAAATATTTTTAATTTGTAACTCGATTTTGTATCCACATTTACAATTAAAATGATAGAATTTAATATTTAAATAATGCCATTACGGGGGAGGGTTGGAAATTTGCAACCTTAAGGATATAAGAGGCCTTTCTGGGGCTTCTAGCGAAGCCCGATACGATATAAAGTGGTAAAATGTATGATAGTTTTCACAGTGGGCCAGCCTGTTGGTGGGTTTCCACCTCACCAAATGTTTCCCAGGTTTTCTTCACCTGCCTAAACACTTAAATAGGGCCCAACTAGATGGCGTAAAGGACAATTGTCCGGGCCACCACTAACAGAAGGCCCCAAACTAATCTTTTATAAGACAATTCCCTCAAAGAAAAACGTCTGAAGTCAACGTTGTACGTGGGGCCCCGCTAATTCAAATTTTCCCGGGCGCCCACGAAGCTATAATGGGCCACTGGACCCTAGTTACTATAGAAAGTCTTCCTGAAAAGCCTTATGTATATACTTAAGCAGCCTGCAATGTATCATGTGACCTTATGAGTTCCCTAAAATAAAACCTTATTATCCCATCCCTGATACAGTTTATTAGTTACAACCTGTTTAATTGTTCTTAAATAATTTTAAAATATTATATATCTGTTAACTGACTTTCGGGCTATTATCTATACAGATAATAACCCGAAACAGTAAAACCTGCGTAAACCGGAAACGCATTGGGTTCCGTTTTAGACAGGTTTACCCTAAAACCCGTCCAAAATGGAACCCGAGTAAAACGGAAACCTGCCAAACCGGAAAGATGTGCGATTCCGGTTTGCACAGGTTTTACCGTACACATTTTTTATGTACAGTCGAACCTGCAATAACGGCCACCTCTAAACTGCGACCATTTTTTTTTTCCTTTAACGAAAATGCATGCAAGATAACTTCTAAACAACGGTCACTTTTTATGCCCACCGTCGGCGGCCGTTATTGAGAGGTTTGGTCGTATTTAAAAGTAATTTATTTATGATCGGAAAATATCTATCGATAAACGTTAATGTTATTAACCTTAAGTGTGAAGTAAAAAAACAAATATGGAGGAAATTAGTTTTATTTTTAGATTTTTAAACTCTTTTTATACAAAAAAAAAATTCGAAAAAAATATTTATCTTTTATTAATTATTTTATAAAATATATCCAAGCAGCAATCACCTCTAAACGGCAGCCATTTTTTTTTCACAAATTTTTACATTTTTATCAAATAAATAAACAGTTGATGCGAAGTGGCCGTTGTTTAGAGGTTAATATATACAAAATAACCTTCAAAAAGCGGCCAGTTTGTCAGAAACTTTGCATTTTTGTTAAGTTAAGCTGCTCGTTAGAAGTGTCCGTTATTTGAAGGTTATTTTGTATACATTTTTGTACGCCATTCAAACAACTGTCGTCTCCCACCACATCTTATTACCGGCTTTTTTAACAAAATAACCTGCGAACAACGGCCAATTTTTATATTTCCGCCGCTAGCCGTTATTCAGAGGTTTTTAATAAAAGTTTAAGTTTTTTTTCTCGTATAAATTTTAATAATTTAATTAAACTTTCTCCCACTTCCTTCGCTTAATTACACCTTTATCAGTTATGGCCGCAAGGAAGAATGTGGCATAGAGTAAGAGAAATGAACATAAATTACCATAAAAGTATACTTACATTGAGCACCATAGAATGCCAAATCTTCATAGATTCACCATTATTTATAGGTGTTGCTATGAAGTTACCTTGATCGACACTTGTCAAGGTGCAACTTCCTTCAAAGTTCTCGTACATCTCCTCCCATTGGTTAGTTCCAAAAATAAAACTATCAGTAACGTTACCCGTTCTAGTTTTAAATTCTCGCGTGATATTTAAATTTAAATTATTTAAATAACTTCTATTCTTTATGTTTAAATGATATTTAACCCGTACGAAACGAGGGGGAGCGATATCTGTGACGTAACTCACTTTTATCCCGTATACTTCTAGCTTAAACACATGCTGGGAATGGGTTTTTTTTATAAGTAAATCCTAGTTTTATTATCTGTAATTTTATTGGAGTGTGGTGCTGTGTGTGACTTAGTAGTCGGATACTATCGATAGCGATACCCATCGATATTTTTAGGCAAAACATCGATAGTATCGATACTGTTTGTTATTTGCAATCCGTTGCTAACCTATATAAAATGAATGTCAAATAAAGACAGATAGCAAACAGTCAGATTATTTCTTCGGCTATCAGTGGGAAGGGAGATTTTGGTATGTTGCCCATATATTTTGGCACAAATCTCTTATCTTTAACGCGTAATTAGTGGCTAGTTTTCCATAGAAGTCTTTCTGGGGAAACATCCTCTTGAAGATTATCCTGAAGATCGCTTTCAGACTAACTAAACAGAACCAGGTCATCACTAAACATCATCAAAGCTATTCTAGTTTTGCAAAAGGATGCAAAGTGCAACACTCGTGCAGCACTTTGCATCCTCTCTTTAAATGCTTAAAGAGGATTAGAGAGGTGACTTAATAGTTAGAGCATTCACCTCTTTCTGTCTTATTAGATGAGGATTATAAATCCCACAGTTTGCCATCGCTTTGGTGTCTTCCCATAAATTCGTGCTAACTTACAAACACGAGTTAACCAAGGTATGCCATCGGTATTTAAGGAAGATTCATTTGGCCTTTGAAGTTTCGAAGTGCAAGAAGCTCTGCTCCTCTCTTCACTTGAATGTACAGTACTTTATGAAAAATATCTACAGAAATCTATCATAGACATGCTGAAGAAGTCCAATAATTTTAACCCGTTGGAGTTTGTATCAGAGGGACCTTTCCTTCCGACCACTTCCTTCTATTTAGAACAGACAATGCGTTACAGACGTTGAGAAAACCCGTCTCCACGTCTGTAACGCCCTTTAAGGGTAACTGGCGAATCGCGAACCCACGACCGAACTCCCAGTGTTCAGGGAACGGAACCGCTTGATTACTGGTGGGCTTCAAAATTCCTATGAAAACGTGGTGACCTTAGGAAATGTTCGTAAGCCATCCCGTATATGCTGAGCCTCGTCTTTCATTATCCGGCCTGTCTGAACCCACAACTAGCCTTGATTAAAGGGATCTTGGGTGCCTACGAGGCGGAAGTCATTGTTAATCCAAGAGTTATCAAAGCTCGGCCCATTAGTATCCGGGTGAATAAAACCCCTGAAGACTTACTGATCGCGGGTTCGAGCCTGACCAAGCCACGTGCACTTCTTCGGGTTTTCTACACGTGTGTAATATCTAAATAATGGCCAGTTTCTCATAGAAATTCCACCCGGGAGACAGACTGCTCATATGTCGCGTTGCCACATCCCATCAATCCAACCAGAAATAACTTTTCTTAAAACTGTCGGATGTTGTATTTGTCTTAGAAATTTAATTAAATATGCTAAATAAATCATTGTTTCATCCCAAAATATCTGCCGCGTGCTCCCTAAGAGAACGCTTTTTCCAGGCGTTGTGTAGTAGAAAAGACCCACAATGAAAAAGTTATTGGTATGTTTATTTGTATAAGGCAACGCAATGCGTGGGCAATCTGCCAAGGCAGATTTTATGGCCTTTTTTATGCCCATCGAGAATTTCACTAGACCCATAATGGAGCGGCAGGATGATGATGACAGGGACAGACAGAACCGTATCAATCCAGCCCTGAAAATTTCTTAATCGATTTAAACTCATATCTAAATGGTCTTCATAAAAAACAACCGTCTCAGCACCCACAGGACAAAAAATTAAAAAAAATAAACGGAAAGGAGAGGATAGATTCTTCTTCTTATTGTGGAGAGTTGGACGAGAGGATAGATTTCAAACCGTAAGCAACGCGCGCCCTCTTTCGACAAAATCGATAGTTATTAAAAATATAAAATATAATAAATCTTAGAAAAAATGAATATAACAACAAAAAAAAGTTAAAAAAATTTAAATCCGTTAAAATAAGAATTTAATACGTATAAAATTTTAGTAAACAATTATTTATTTTATTTATTTATTTCGATAATCGCTTCGCTGCATCTCTGTCATGGCGGTGGTCGTAGTTGTGTCGTGTTTTTGATCCTGAAACCCGCTCCGAGATGAACGGTTATCCGAAAAGTCGTTATTGTTTTAATTCTGCCTTTCTGAAGATGAAATTGAGATCGGCCTGTAACCAATTCGGTGACTTATTTAGCGAATTTAGTAAATTTATAGCTCCCACTTACTACCATGATCGCTGCGAAAGGTAAATAAATGTCCATTTCATTCACCTACTGTAAACGTCACAATGTAAACGTCACAGTGTAAATATTGCGGGTGATTCGCGCGTGTTTTTTCAGTCGAAACGTGTAATTTACGGATTTTTTTTTAATGTAATAAAATATAATCGGTTAAATTAAATTCTATGATTTAATAAAAATAACAAGTGTGTACGGTAGAAGTTACTTTTAGTTAATTTGCTAATAAATATTTCTATATGCAATTTACCTAAAGGAAACTTCTTAGTTCTGAATGAGGAGTTTGAATCTTCCCCGAAATTTTAGACACTCCTAGACCGAGAAAGTCAAAGGAACCGGACCCCTAATTGTCTCTTGGCAAGAAATCAAATTTATAATGATATAAATAAATAATTAATTAAATAAAACAAACAAACAAACAAACAAAAAGGCAAATTGTCGGGCCAAATTTTAGATAGGCTAATTTCGGGAGGTCGCGTGTAGGCTTCGGTTCCTTTGACTTTTTTTACTCCCGGCCTGGTCTCCGGCTCTCGTAAGGTAAGATGTGAATTCTGAATGAGGAATTTGCCACCCCCAGAATTAAAGACCGTCTGTGAGATATTCACCTTCGAGGTAAGTTTTTACCGTGAATCGGTACTATTGCCTATTCTCCATGCTCTACGTTGACCAACGTGGAGTGTGGCGAATAAGCATCTCGGCACCCCTGTCGTTCACACCTCTCATCCACACCCTCCTCTAAGGCTATATAACATCAAGTACTCCACAGTCAAGTTGGCTACTCAAAACCGGCAGTCACACGAGCTAAATTGTTAAATATGATAGTTTGTGGAATGACATGACTCCCAAGCTCATGCATCCCTGGAAGAATGCTGTATCTTGCAAAGGGTCAGATGTAAAAGTATAACCTCCCCTTGTATAAGCAGAAAAGTCAAAGAAACCATACATGTATACATGTGACCCTTCATGAGATATTTGTTTCGAAAGGTCAGTTTTTAACATGTACATGTAGTTTCATACTGCCTATTCTCCATGCTCTGCATTGTCAAGGTGAACAACAGCAAGCCTTGACCGATGCTTCACATGTAGTTGGGCACTTTGGTGCTCTCTATCGCTTGCACTCATCGCCTGGGTAGGGATCAGCTCCCACACCCCATTAAAACTATATAACATCAAGTGGACTGCTCGGAGACAGCATAGTCACATGGGCTAAACCAGTGGTTCCCAACCTTTTTTCATTAGCGTACCCCCGTGACATGTCATATCTCTAGATTGTACCCCTCATTTAAGAAATTTAGTGAGTACCCGTATTGTTAATTTTACATATTGTAACTTTAAATTAAAGAAAAAAAAGTAAATGAAAAAATGTATAATAAAGTTGTGATTGTTGCAAGGAACATGTTTTACCTAATAATTTTTTAATACTATTAGTTTGTGATACATAATATATTATTTTTTCTGCCATAATAACTAACTTTTTTCTGTACCCCTAAACAACCTATCNGTGACTCCCAAGCTCATGCATCCCTGGAAGTATGCTGTATCTTGCAAAGGGTCAGATGTAAAAGTATAACCTCCCCTTGTATAAGCAGAAAAGTCGAAGAAACCATACATGTATACATGTGACCCTTCATGAGATATTTGTTTCGAAAGGTCAGTTTTTAACATGTACATGTAGTTTCATACTGCCTATTCTCCATGCTCTGCATTGTCAAGGTGAACAACAGCAAGCCTTGACCGATGCTTCGCATGTAGTCGGGCACTTTGGTGCTCTTTATCGCTTGCACTCATCGCCTGGGTAGGGATCACCCCCCACATCCCCCACACCCCCTTAAAACTATATAACATCAAGTGGACTGCTCGAAGACAGCATAGTCACATGGGCTAAACAGTTAAATGTGATAATCTTGACAGAGTGGCGCGACTTGCGATCTTGCACGACCCAATTTTGGGAGCTGTATCTTGTGAAGGGTCATAGAGGTATGGTTTCTTTGAGTTTTTTGCTCCTATAAGTATGCTCTACAGCTCTGATAAGGTCCCAAATGTCTCGTTCGGAGCTTGAATTGAGCCTATTGGGGTAGTCATGAATTTCACAAATAATTAATTCCTTTTCTATTGCATATATAACTCATGTTTGTCATATTAAAACTCTGCTAAAAAGTAAACAAAATAATTAACTAAGGACAATTTCATAAGAACTCTTTGGGTGTGCTGCTAGTAAAGTGGCTTTAATATAACTGGATAAACAAACCAATGACATAGTTTGTTTTAAATGAAACAGGTTAAGACATTGGCTTACTTATCTGGCCATATTAAGGTCGCTTTACTAGATATCGTCCCTATCGACCACTTTATAGATAAGAGATCCTTATAAATTGCTTTTATATCAAAATATAAAGTAGACTTATAGATTCCGAGACTGATTTTGATACTTCTTAAAATGATGCAGAACAGACAATTAGAAACTAGAAGAAACATAAGAAATTGTATCTAGCTTTTGAAAATTGATTCTTTTCTGGATTCAATTCACTTTAATTTTGTATAATAAATAATTTTAACATATCAGTAATCAGCAACTTATATTCCTGTTTGATAAACTTCTCACTTTCCTGGAGGATGGAATTATAGGCAAATAAAAATAATCAGCCTCTTACAACTGAGATAGATTTTTATTTTTCTTACTATTTACTTATAGTATTGAATGTATTTTATAATATAAATCAGTTGGATGACTGTGGTAGCAAAGGTGTCAGCCTACTGCTCTGGAATGATGATCAATTTCAGACAGAAAACTCTAGGAAATTTTTTTGAGTAGTCTGTATGGAATATATCAAGCTCCATCCTTCATAAAGGCCTACCGGTCACCAAGTGGTTCCGTTCCTTGAACACTAGAAGTTTGGTCATGAGTTTGCACCTTTCCAGGATGGGCTGGCCATATGGAGTGTTCTGGGTTTTCTCCACATCTGTAATGCCTGAATAGGGACCAATTACCCTTAAAAGATCTCCCGGAAGGCATCCCCTAGGCCAAGGGTCTCCAAACTTTTTTGATCGTTGACCCCTTACAACTTTTCGAAACCTCACATCGACCCCCACCAAAAAGTTTGTTACAAGCAAAAAAAAAAAAGCTCTTACTATTTTAATATATATCTTTTAATTTTACAATTTTTTACATTTATTGTACATGTTAATAATAATTTTTGTAACTGACAATCAATGAGACGGATAAGCTTGATAATCCTTAGCGAGATTAGCAATATTCGGTTCAAAATTTGTAAGTTTTAGTCTTTTCATCAACCCCTGGGGATTGATATAGACCACTTTGACGACCCCTGCCCTAGGCAGATCGCCCAAGTGTTGCATTACCATAACTTAACAAAACCAAAACAATCCTTCATCACCCCACTCCTGCATTGTGGGCTTGAAAAAACTTTCTTAGTGCCCACAGGACAGAAAGAGTCAGAGTGGGGGAGAAAGGTTTCAAGTGAATTTCTAATGAATGTAATCAGAACCAGAATATTTACAAATTATCTTTGCTATGAATCATACAGCATACAGTCTCAAATATTGTGGCCAGAAACATATCCCATCATATATTTTTCTGAATATATATAATTTAATGGTTATAATAGTTGATGTAATTTACTTATAATATAATGTCTATTGATTTACATTTTCTATTCTTGTTTGGCGAACAGTTTGATATTTTGAATTATTCTTTGAACTAGACAGATCATTCTGTATTATGGTTTGAAAAGTTTAAGTAATAAGCTTGGGCTATCAATTAATTACATATACAGATTTTGTGCAACTTTTGACCCCTCCCCTCTCTCCTTTAATTATGTCTACAATAGTTTGTGGTCCCTCTAACATTGAAGAAATGACTTAGAAAATATTTGCAGAACCTTTTAAAGTTACTAGTAAGCAGGCTTTTGAGAACAAATTCATATGCCACTAATACTATTAAAAAATTTTCACATAGACAATGTCTCTCCCTTCAAACTGTACACATAATAAATGGATGGTCCCATGGGTACAAAGGTGATCATTACAATGTGTTACAAGGGGATGGGAGATTGGAGTGTTTACAAAAACATTACATAATGTTAGGTTTTGAACCCTTGAGTAACATGATGATTCCTTTTTGTTTCTGAAATGTTGAATAGTAAACCATACCATACTGTCTTGTACATTATACATGTAATTAATAAAATAACACAATGTTCAATACTTAATATAAGTAAGGAAGTTAACTGGGGATATGGATTACATAATTTTGAGGACTGTATGTGTGACAGTGTTAAAGAGCATTATGGGGATGGGATAATAGTTGAAAAGCATAAAAATAGCATTACATAATTTAGGGATTATCATTTGTTAACCTTTTGAATGTAAATTTCACAGGCAGTTCATCCCAGATATGTTGGGCTTTGTCACCCATAATCAGTTCTGCCTCATTGTTGACCTAACCAAATCCATAATGTGTACAAGAACCTTTCCTAAAAGAATCCCAGAAGAATTTTATTAGATCTGGCAATGGGTTCTTCTCGGTCAGGACCCCAACCTTGCTATGTGCCTGTTATTTATGCCAATATACAGATGCATTCCTTCGGATGTTTTGTAACTTCAGATAATATGTTATCATTTTTAATACTCCCACAAATAAAAATCAGTAGGTTTGATGTCCAGTTGCCATTTTATGGAACTGATAGTCAGTCCAATGAGATTTTTGACTTATTTTGCATGTTTCTTTATAAAACTTCATATAAATTTACAATTACACTGTGTTTTAATTCTTAAAATAATTATTAATCATTCTGCAATATGTGTTCAATGAATATAAACTGAATATATCTAAGAGTATTTTGTAATCTAAAATATTATTGGAAAATTAAAACAAAGTTATACAGGTATATCACCAAATTTCCAGCACCCTTGATTCCAAACCCTTGCTTGATTAAGGCCAACCATGGTCATGTATAATAATAATAATAGTTAATCAACACACCTTTAACCCACTAATTATACACTTTCCATGGGTTTAAAATATATCATGGGCTGCTAGAAACTTAAATTAAATAAAACCATAAATGAAATAATGGTACTTGTACATTAATATATCATTATTTATTGCTTCTTTATATCATAAGCAATACTACAGTATGCATATGTAGATAGTTATCACACAGGTTATGCATCAAAACACCGTGGTCCATTTGTTTTCACCAATTCTACTTTATCTGGCACTCTCATATCTTTTAGAAGCCATAAATTTAAGCAAAATAAACTAAGAATATCACAAGATTGTGGTATCATTGCCAACAAGTGCAGTATAAATAATATGAATAAGTGTGCCCTACACACAATGCCATCTGTGACCACCCAGTAAACTAATCTGATGGTTGCAGGAATTTCAAGTTCCCCTTGTAATTTTGTCTGGATTAAAGGAGTTGCTGAAAATTTGATCGTGTACCTGTAAATATGTTGCTGTTAATGACTGATATCTGGCGAATGTCAACATTCTCCGGTGAATGCCAGCATTCACACAGTCGTTTCATGTATGTAGGAAATATTTGCTAAATATCATTATTTCTCACTTACACCGGCAAATGTCGACATTCAGCATGCACTGATGGTGAATGGTGAATAAAAATATTTTTATTACGTTAAGACAAAAATGCAACATTAATGTGTGAAAATAGGAGAAAGCTTAAGTAACTGCACATGTAAATAAACCGTTGAATCTAAAATGAACAGTACATTTTTAATCATTAAAGAAAATACAGTGATACCCCAAACTTACGCGATAGGTGGGACTGAGCAATAACCGCGTAAGTCAAATTTGTGTAAGTCCAAATTAATATAATTTGGACTTACACAATTTTTGTATAATTTCGCAATTTGTGTAAAATCCAAGTTGGAGGTATGTAAGCTAATAAATGTTCTTGTTAATCTTATCTCGTCTTTTGATTTATTCACGGTTACAAGAAATCACCACATAGAGTCTCTCAAGTCTCCATAGATATAAAATACACAGAAATAAATAACACAAAATAAATTGTAGCTATGCGTCGATTCTGCGCGACATGTTCAAACATGTAAGCTGAACAGTAGTGTGGGGGAGTGAGTAATCAAGAGTTGCCTGGCGCTCAAACAAAAGACGATTCGACGAGATTTGAAAATCACGTAACTCCATGTTTGCGTAAGTCGAGGTATTACTCGACTTACGCTACCCCGAATAATAAACTTACACATAAATTATGTGATTAATGTTATACAATCTTATTTATTGCAGCAACTTAAACTGTTATGGCACTTTGAATTGCATAAGAGTCTCTTGCTTTTACAACTGCATTTATTCGTGGAATACTTTTTTTTTGCAATGACAGCGTGTATAGCCTTGCCCTCCACTTTTCGAATTAGTTGCAGCTGCTTCTCTCAGCAATATTTCTTGAGAAGAAATCTCATCTATGGAAAGTAACTTTTCTTTACAAATTATGAACTGATTACATTATTATGTGATTACGAACTGATCTGTTAATGGTGTCTTTTGTTCGGATATTGCCAATGCCTTACCGACAACCCCTCTCATCCTCCGCCACTCGACCTGACAAACTGATCCCCACCTCGCAGGATCAAAAGAACAAAAATGCCATCAGGTGACAAAGTGGGCAGTTTCCACCAAATGTTGCCGGAAAAAGAGGTACGACCGTGTCCTACCTCCAGCTATCCACAAAGTATTTGGCGACAGACTGTCGCCTCTCTGTCGACGTCAGTTTTTCGGGTGTCGTTTTGACCTCCACCAAAGCTTATCTGTTCTTGTCGACATACACCAGCGATTGTTCGAATGTATAATAATATAACCAAATATTCGGACTTTCACCGACATATTTTGTATGTGTCAACATTCTCTAATTTCGGTCTTTCACAGTAACATATATATATATACTGTATATATATTATAAATACAGTATATACATTCATATTGTAGAGTCAGTTATGCTCTTCTCCACTTAAACGAGCATTAATACAGTATATCCCTCAGCATAATTTTATTTTTTAATTATGCTCTCGTCAGAGGGACATTTTGGCCTTACATATTTACTTAGAATCTATTTTTGTAGGCTCTTTCCTACCTAAATATGTAAAAGTCAATCTTTAAAAGAAAATTGCCTTATGGGACTATGAGATTCGTGTTCCTACGATCTGAAAAGGATGAATCTGGATACTCTAAGTTTTATCATCTTCCACTTGCATACAATTTTTAATAAATTTCATTCTAGTTTTTATTGTTATACAAATCTTTTATATTTTAATTTTATTCAGTTTTATTATTTCAATTCTGTTTTGTTTTTTTAAAATATTTATTTAAATTCTTCTTTTTTTTTTATTTTATGTTCTTATTTCTGTTTTTTCTTTTTATTTTTATATTTTACAGAATATTCGGAATAAAAATGATCGTCGAAAATGTGAGATTTGCAATGTTTTCTGAAACCGAATGTTTATCAAAATATTTACGTAAGCGTATTTAATTAAGTTTATAATTTAGAAATTGTTACACGTAACCGTTGTAGTAATAAAATTAAATGCTACAGAAATTTCTTTTTTATTTACAGATCGGTTCAGATGCGACTGTACACTCTTCATAAAAGAGAATTTGTGTTGCTTTTCTTGGTGTTTATTGCCCTTTATACTCTCTGCGTGGTTATCGGTCTGGCCGGACCCTCCACTTCAAGCACCGTCTCTCTCCATGCTACGGATATCAAACCCGAACTTAATAGATCGATAATGGCGGTGAGGGATTATTTATGAATTTTAATTTTACATTTATTACTTATTTTAGAGTCATGCAAAACCAGTGAAATATTACATTATATAAATTTCTATGTTTGCAAAGATGCTTTATTGATTTTTATATACAATAATTTAATTTGTATTAAATGATTTAAATTACATTTGATAACTAATAATGATTAAACTGTATACTATTTTGGTTTGGTATATACTGTATAGTTTGCTAGATGGAAAGTTAACTCTTGGACTATTTAAATATTTTCCATTAAAGCACGAGTATTGATTGAATTTCATTTTAAACATATTACAGGTTCTTCCAAAAAATAATGCTATCATTTTAAATTATTGTAATTACGTTAATTATTATCCGAGAAATTTGCAGTGTTCATTAAGGCATTGGAAAACTGTCCAAGTTTTACATTTGCCCATTACATCTCAATGCATGCACCTCGCACCACACATCTGTGCTCAAATTCTTCCTATGCTCACTATGGCATTCCTCTCGTGGCAGTCCATAATTGTGGCTCCTACAGATTAGTCATGTTAAACGATGAAAAGCACAATTCCGACTTTACAAACTGTGGAACACACAGCAGTTACAGATTGACATTTTTGTTTACCGCACTTCCTAGAGATAACAGACGACATCCGAATGCAGGCAGGAGACAAAACTCAGATAGTTACTCTATCAATTGGTGTATGCATCACACTTCTCAGATAATAATTAACATAAACATGCAGTAAATTTTCAACCATAAAAATTATAACTCTGGGAAATTCATTTAAAAATAGACATTTTAAGTCCTCCTCAAAAAAGGATGGAGTTAATCTTTCTTAAGTTAAATCAATATTTTGAAAATTAATCAGTCCAAAATGTGTCTTAAATTGAGAGTTATATGATGTAGCTGATAATTTTGAATAAGTATATGATTTTAAAAGTTCTTTTTGATTTTCAGACAGGTCCATTTCTTCTTAAATCGCCTACATTATCTGCATACAGTCAACAATTGCAAGTTACTGCACAAATTATTATATTGAATGAAGATGGTAAGAGATATTTATATATATATTTACAGGGTGCTTTAAAAAATGTTAACACTAATATGAAAATAAAGTGGTATGTTGTCCTTTGAATAGTTCTTTGTCACATGCAAGAAGTCACATCTAGGTCGTGGAGTTTTCAAAAAGTACGGCCTGCTATTGCCGTCACTGTGACTGCACATGCTTGTTAACATGTTTTGAGCACTGTACATTTTAAGCATTTCTTTATCGTATATTTTCTCAAATATTAATTCAATATTATATTACCAAAATAAACTAATTTATTTTACTTAATTATTAAATCAATGCAAGATAATATTTTACATCAATTTTTATAAAATGTAAGCATTGTTTTTCTGTAATTCATTAGTTAACTATGCTTTATTGGAAGGAACATTTACATTTAGAACTAAAGCACCTTCGAGCATATCCAACTCTTCCTCATAAACTTAAATACTTCTAAAATATAAAATTTTAAATCTCTAGCATTATTTTTCCAATATCGTACTTTGTTTGCTATTGCTCACAACCTAGATGAAGATTATTGCAATCCAAACTACTTAAACTTTATATTAGGATGTCCTTATTTCGTCAATCTTCTCTCCTAATCCAAAACTTCAGACCATTATGCTGTGCAGTCTTGGCTCCAGTACCAACCAGTGCCATGCTGCGTAACGTCTGAAAAACATCGAGGTTGCATATTATGCAACAAGAGAACACCACACAAAGCATAAAAACATTGTGTAGAATTCAGATTGTATTGGATGATAAGTTTTTGAATACACAGTCCAGAATTCGTTAAGCATTCCAGAATGGAATCTCTTCAAACATTTGAATCTCCAGTTTGTGCTTTGAACATTTATTAGAATTCTCTGCTGGAAAAAGTGAGTGGTGCGTGTAAATTTAAAACTTTTTTAGAATAATTAAGGCCCCAAAGATGAATAGATAAGCTCATAAACACTGGATTCATTCCAATAAAGCACAGTTTTTCTTATAATTTGAATTTATATCAAAGTTTTGGAAGTTTTCCAACCAATTACTTACAGATTCAAACAAAAAATTAATTATTGATTTTTATTAATGTCAGAGGAAGAAACCTTTGACAAGACATTTGACGTAAATGTCGTTGTTTACGGCATCTCCGATAAAAACGAACACATGCTGGTTTCAGATAAAAAACACAATAAAAACAGAACGAGGGATTTGCATTGTTCGAAAAAGGTTAGTTAAATTAATATTTGCTAATTCAAAAACACATTAAAACCAGAAGTTATATTGATTTTTTTTTAATAGATTTGTGATGCCATAACAGTGCTACATTTAGGCTTCTTAGAATACTCTCATTACGTTATCACAATTCGCTTTTATGGCTTAGAAACTATTGACGAAAAATATCAGATAACAGATGTATTGTTTCAGGTAATTGTAATAAATATTATAAATTTATTTGTAAAAACATTTTAATATTATTATTATAATTATCAAAAATAAATGTTTGAAGTTTGTTTTGAATTATCTTTATTGATAAATGATGCAATTAGTTTCAGAGTTATAATCCAGCTTATACCAAAATGGAAATTTGGTTTCGGATGATATTTTTAATTGTCACGTTTTACGTTACCGTGAGTGAAACTTCTTGGTCATATGATTGCGGGGTGATCGAACAAAATATTTATTTGGGAGGAGTAGACTCGGCAATGCCACGAGTTTGCCATGCTTGTCACTTCCTTGCAACGTGTTGCGAGAAGCAATTAAATCTTGGGTCAGCTGATGGCCCAAGATTGCGGGTTTGCACCTTGCCGACAGCAGGCCATATTGAATTTATGGGTTTTTCTCACATGTTGAATGCCTAAATGGGTCCAGTTTTCTGTAAAAAAGTACTTTCGAGACACACCTCATTGACAGATTGTGCTGTGTCTTATTCTATCAATTCTACAATAACTAAGGGATTGTAGAAATCTTTCAAACGTTTGCTACGGGGCTCAACATATAACATATAAAATTCTAAATACGGTGTCATAAGTCTGTTCCTTGCAAGTAAAGCTTTTGTTCGATCACCCAGTATATTTAGAATAAAACATATTTTGTATACACGGACATTAAATTTCTTTCCAGTGTTGGTTTTCTCACAGTTTACGTCACTTTATCCATCACGATTGGTCCTACGAACAGAAATGGATGTTTGTTTTACTTCCTCTCCTCCTTTTATATAACAGTATGAATTTATACGTATGATTGTTATTTTACATCTGATTTTTATAGTTTAATAAGATTGCAATTTGATTTTCCATTCTAGATCCTATATTTCCAATGTCGTTCCTGTTTAATAGTTGGCTCCCCGGCATGTTAGACGTTACTTTTCAAGCGTCCTTTGTTTCTGCCATGCTTTTCTTCTGGTTATGTGCCTATCACGGAATTCGTCAGGTTCGTATAATAGTATTTTAATTAACGTATTAATCCATCCGTACGACGGCTAGGTAGTTGAGGCAGTAAAAGGTACTGGCCCAGTACTTTGATGATCCATATTAACATATGGGTGATTCGATCTTGGTCTTTCCTCACAATCTTGCCTGCTCCCATTGTGAGCACGAATAAAGCCTTAATGCCTGCAGGGTGAAAAGTTAAAATTATATAAGATATACATCATTGACCTTTTAAAATAATATTTGTTGGCGGGAAGTTAATGTAATCAAACAACAATAAACACATTTTATTGTCATGTTTACAAGGCTTCATGATGTTCACATTTCTAGATATGTTCATTTATAACTCCATTGATTGTCAGTCATAATACCAAATAACTGACATTTTAACTGTGTTACACACAAGCATTAAATTTTCCAAGCAGAATGAGGAGGAAATGGGTTCATTTGTGTCAATTTTGAAGACTGTAAAAGTCCAAGAAAGGCTCACAATATATTTAAAAAAGGAAAAATTCCCGCTTCTTTCGAGCTTGTAAAAGGTTTCTCTCTTTTCTTCCTCGCCATAACATCACCTTTTTTCCATACCTATCATGGGTTTGAGAAAATGGCAAAGAACAGAGACTGCCCATGAAAAATTTCCAGAGTTTCTCATACCAGATTCTATCTTGGGGCCCCCGGAGCAGAAGGTCAGTGCCTCAGCCATTCAGCCATCGAGGTCACTCACCGTATTGTGTATTTAAAATGCAAATCGCATATCAATAACTTATTTATTTTTCAGAATAAAAGAAAGTTCCTATCCTTTTATTTTCCTAAGTGTATTATTGTCGGATTGCTATGGATTTCGACTGTAATACTCACCTCCAGCCAGAAATATCACGAATTACAAGATCCGACCTTCGACTATCACTTGGACATCCAAAACTTTACGGTATTTACTAATTTTTAAACTGCGGTCGCACATCGCTATTAAATTACATTAAATGCAATTGTTATTTTCAGGGTTTCAAAATTTTCTTTGGAATCGTGTGCATATTTTATTTTTTATATCTTGCCTGTCTAGTGGTGAAAGCTTATACAGAAGTTCATTCCATGCCTTACTTTGGTAATGCAAATATAACATAAAATTTGAAAGGAAAAAAAAAAAAAACTCAGAATTTGAAGTATATATTATTTTTATTTATAGATCTTCGTCTGAAATTTCAAACTTTCACCATGATAATAGTCATCCTGAATAGCGTGACTAATATGGTTTTAAATATAAAAACCTCCATATTAAAGGATAACTTTATGGCAGACTTCACCCACAACTACAGTAGTTCGGCTCAATTTTTATCCTTCTACGGTCTTTTAAATTTTTATTTGTATAATATGGCCTACGTATACTCGCCGCCCGGAAATGCCGTGTTAGGTATAACACTTTTATTTGGTTACTTGTATTTTTAGTTAGGATAACAAAAAAATCAACCATAAATAATTCTTGTGTGATTGTGGTAAAGGATTATTCTGATTTGTTACAGAATCTAGAGTAAAGGATAATCCTGCTCTTTCGATGATTGATGATTCGGATGAAGAAGTCATTTATGGGTAAGTAGATACCTAATTTTTTCCTTTTTCATTTCTGCTTTTTCTGTAGACCCTCCTCGGAGTGGCGTGGACCAGTATCCAAGACAGACCTGTTGTCAAAAAATTCCGAGGGTTTCTAGAGCAATAAGCCGTGTCGGCTTACTGGTCTAGAAACCCTAGGCCACCTCAACCCATAGTAATAGATGTTTAATCTAATGCGGATAGAATATAAAAATAGCTGCGGTAGCGAAGATGTTGGCCTGCTACCCTAGGGGATCAAATTTGGACAGGACACCCCATTGTGGCCCTGGAAAATGGCCAACTTGGCATCTCAAAGTTTATATTTTTTGTTTTCATCTTTAAATATTTCTAGTTTTATGTAATTAAAAGTTGACTTGCAAGGAGTAGACTTTGAAATACTGACTTTTTGTGCCATAAATTTTTGAGTGTAGTGTTAGCATTTCTATTATTATTCAGATTTATTTGTTAAGTTTTTCTTCTAAGATAAGACATCTGGGTGTGTTTATGCTACTTCCACCGATTCGTTATAAAACAACTGGAAATTAGTATTTTGGTGATCAATTATTGTAATTATTGATAGTCGTAAGTACAAAATCTAGGCATAAGAAAGTTTGAATCCCGAGATTATTGTTGGCACAAAACTGTGGGAGAAATAAATGTTTGCTAGTAGAGTAAAAGGAAAAACCGAGGCCTTTCCTCTACTAACAATTAAGTGGATTTGGAGACATTTATATGCAAATCCTGATACTACAATGTTGTGATTGTACTAAGAGTAAAAGACTAACAGAATGCTCATCTTGAAAATGTATTTGTGTAATGAGCATCAATGGCACTGTGAAATTTAGAATAGAAGCAAGTTCATGTAAATCTTAAGTATTTATTGTTCTATTTTGTGCAGCTACAAAAAGTAGTCTCGAGATACTTTGATGCCAAAATTTGATTAAGGGAAATTTTCTCACCAGGCGACAATGCCATAAGCAGTGCATCTACTTCTTGCAAGTACCTTGTAAACTTTGACCATATGGTGAATTGCTTCCAAAGAGTTCTATGAGTGTGGTAATTAATTTTATGAACAGATTGTATAGATTGTTTAGAATTGTTTTCTTTCATAGATCCGATGCAGAAGGCAGACTGTTAAATCCTGTTCAGCCGGGTCCTGACAAAGAAGAAAGCGACTGAAACTGCACAGACGGTAGAAAAATAGTTTGCCAGCATCTAATTTTGTCACAAACTGCACTATTCATCTTTTGTAAATACTATTATACGTATTGTAAAATTCAATAATCAACACAAATAAAAAAAAAACTTATCTCCATTCGAGTGATTCTGTCATAACTTTTAATAATTTATTGTGAACAAATTTACACATATCTACAGTTTAAATTCCATGCTATATGTGCAGTGATAATTGGTAAAAAGAAGCAGTATATCATTATTTGGAACTCGATCTGTATAAAAGCATTCTAGAATAGCACTTCCTTCCTACAAAACGAGCATATTCCGCCACTTCGGCTTCGTTGCAATCACCTTTCCTCATCTTGCGATAATTGGCGTAGGAAATCCATTGTCTTTGGTATAAAATCTGAACCTGGCCAATGTCTACGATGCCATCTTTATCTTCTATTTAAGAAAAAAAAAAGATTTAAATATTAACCTTTAAGATTTATAATGATATATCATATGAAAAGAATTGGTAAATTTTGTATAGTACTCGTGCAAAAAAATTTGATAAAAAATAGAACTGTTATGGAGTCATTACATTGTATAGTTTTGCTTAAGAATACAAAAAATTGAATGGAAAAAAATTGCTTTTCATTATTTTCAGATGTACTTCTAATGATTGCTTAACTCAGTATACTAGATTTTGTAAGGTGGTGACTAATCATTTTGGATTAAAATAGTAAGTGTTTTATTAGAAGTAATACAGCCACAACTGACTCATTTAGACGATTACTTCCATTGAGAAAAATGCAATACTTCTTCACTACTACCTGTCTATTTTTTATTTTTACCATAGAGCACATAATGAGATTCTAATACAATACATATTAAAAAAATGAAGTTACCACTAATTTAAATTACTTGGAAAAACAGTAGATGTTGGTTTCCATTATTAGAAAAAAAAAATTGAGTTGCACACTTTTCTGGTTTTTCTAACAATAAATTATTAACTGAAAGATACTCTTCATTAACATTTTTAATCTATATTTCCCATTACTTCAAATAGAAAAAATAATGCATTACAATCACAATCCAAATCACCAGTCAAATTCTTAAGATTAATTAAAACTCCTACATATAAGTAATAATCATGTTATGATTTAAATAATTTTGAAGTCGTCAAGAAATTATTTTAAATACTTGTTTTTCAGGCTGTACTACAAACATTACAGTTGTCAACACTTGGCAACTATAATGTTTGTAGTACTTCTCAAAATGTGTGCGAGATTCTGACCTTTCTATTGGTTGTATTTTGAACGTAACTCAAGATTTTTCTTGCAAGTCATTTTGTTAAAAATGTATATTTATTATGTATATACCAAATATTTCCTGTATATCAGTAGACATACTCTATAGAATGTCTGTTTTTATGCTTGTATACTAAATAACACTCAAAAACATGATCCAAAGTTCAAAAGAAAATTTTAACCATGATACCAAAGTTTAGAAAATTTTAACTGAATAAATAGAACTACTTTTTTAAAATGAAGGAAAATTTATTTGAATTAAATCTAATAAAACAATAACAATAACAAAGTGTAAGATTTAATTTAGAGTTGTTACATATTTAATAGCTAGTGAATGAAAGTTTAAAGTTGAACAAAATGTTGTTTTGTTAGAAAGAGACTTAGATTTAAGTACGTTAGATTTGTTATTTTTAAAACAAAATATATACCAATTTTGAATTGCATTGACTTAAAAATTTTTCACACCCCAAACTTCAAAAAGAACTTTGGTCAAATCTGGCCATTGATATTGTGTATAAACTAAATCTGTCATAACTTATTTTTATAAAATATCACCTTAATTTTTTAAATTATATTTCATTTAGAAAATATATTACCTGCATTACTATCTTCATTCAAACGATGATATTTGGAAATATCCAGTTTTGGTTTACATTTTTCAATGGGATGCCAACTGTAGACCTCGGGACACAAGAGGTATGAAGGTTCAAAGTTACCCTGAAAATATTTTAAATATTTAATTAAAAGATACTTAAGAGCAAAATTATAACTGTTTAAATACTTGCTTTATATCGCATCTTTGGACAAGAATGGATATAAAAACCCATATAATAATATTTCAATTCCGGAACGATGCGATTCAATTCTTGCGTAAATGCTATCTCTCTAAAATTATTTAAATTTCATTATCATACATTAAACTGGAAGATAAACAACCTTTGTAATTGCCTTACCTTAATGTTGCATAAGTTCCTAGTGATAAAAAACTATACGACGGATCGTAATATAGATATACAGAAGATAGGCAATGCGGTAACACGTCTACAACTCCAACAGCAATTAAATTATCATCTAGCCAATACTGCTGATGGAATGAACCATAACCACAGAAAAATTCTGACCTTTTCTCTGGCTGAGAAAGTGACTGATATGTTTATAAAGTTTTATTCTAAGTAAGAATTTTTATATTAATAATAACTTACTTTTAAAGGACTTTTAACAAGGAACCAACTATACTGATCTTCCGAACATTTATCCGGTGGATCTCCGTGGATTGTCATTTGATACTTTTCGTAGATATTATGCGAAACGGAAAAAGTTTTTTCAAATTCTCTATTGCCGAGACCGGAACGAACTAAACGAATCTGCATTAGAAATATTAATTTAGCAAAAACAAAATTTGGAAATTTATTTTTAAAATATAAATTACCTGTAAACGATGTGCCGGGTTTTCGGGAAGAGGTTCGTTAAGAAAATCATTCAATGTCTTAACTTTATTTTTCTGCTTTGTCTGGTTTTTCTTAAGCAACTTTAATAGAAATATTTAAAGAAAACTTTTAATATTTAATTCTCTATATTAACTGTAATGCAAACTAGGGTTTCTCAAATGGGATCCTGGTTGTTTTTTTAACCCGGGAAATTCTTCTCATCCCAAGAAATCCCACTAATTTCTTAAAAGTTCACTTTTTTCTTATTTTGTATTAAGGTTGAGGAAATTTTACAAACAGAAAGTATAATTAACTCATAAACTGTCAGAATACATTTGTATTTATTAATTTTAAACCCACTTATTAGTTTCTAAAATTTTTGCTTGTTTATGGCGTGTCACAAATGGTCAATAATCAATACGTAGCTTATTTGTGGCAGGACTATGAAAATTCTTTACTTATCAGAACCTGTAATATATGGAATAATTGTGCTTACGCTGTCTTAATTTTTAACTATGTCCAGTAGCTTCAATAAGTGCATAATGCCAGGTTGTGCAAAAAACAAATGAGTATGAAGTTTTTCTTCATAAACCTGATTATTAAAGACAAACAAACTGCCAAATTATTGAGCTATAACCTTGATGTTTCTATTAAAGCAGCCAAGGTAAACAAATCAAGAATACTAGAGAGCGAAAGAAGTACTACAATCTCGAAAATGAACTAGAAATCTTCCCGGCTATAAGTGAAAAGACATATAACATCTGTCTTCTCTTAAATGCATTAAAGACAATTCCACCCACATCAATTGAATTGAAAAGGGTAGCAGGACTTTTCATTACTAAAATAAGAATCAGATTGATTGATCGGAGTATTGACCATCTTTGCTTTTTAAAATCGTATTATAAAAATTTACAATAATATTTTGTATGTTTTATTTTAAAAATGAAAACTATCTTTTAATTTAGAAGTTTGATCTAAATTCTTTTTTTTTTTAAATTTTCAATTCAATTCAAAGCATTTTTTGTTGTTGTTGTATGCAGTTTCCAGCAAACTTCAATAAATTTTTTCTATTTGTGAAAATTTCTATGTAATTCAAAGGTAATTGTTAATATACAGTATATCTTACATAGCATTATTAATATGATTTTGGAGGTTGCAGAACGTATTAAATTACTTTAAAAAATGAAAAATAATTATATCATTTGATTTCAAGATATTTTGTATATCTTAAAAATAATTAATTCTATCCCAGGAAACAGTTCACTTTTTTCCCAAAATCCCGGAATAAGCAAAAGACCGAGAAATGAGAAACCCTAATGCAAACATATTTAAATAGTACCTGTTCCACATTTTCAGATGTCCCTTCTTGCTTTGCTTTCTCTAATAACTTTTGGATCTTTCGTTCTTTCCTCATTAATTTAGCTTTTTTCGGTAAAGGTCTATCAGAATTCGTATGATCACCTTCTGTAAACGATACAGACAATAATAAAATTTCAAACTATTTCTGTGGTAAATTATGAAAAATAATAATAAAATCAAAGTTTGAAGAAACTTCATCCTAAATTTTGATTTTTAATTCATAAGTCAACAATCAGTTTTACTTAAGTTAATAAACTTCTAAACTGTAGAACAGATTTTATTTATCTAAAAAGCTTTCATTTCTTGTACCATATAGTCAGCTGTAATTTTAATCAATACAGGCTCAACAGATAATTAAAATAATAGTCCAATTATATTTATAAGCATTATTCAATTTTTAAAACTATCAAATGAAAGTTTTGTGGTTCTAAATTATCACACTATCAGATTGAGATATTCCAACCATTAAAAACCTGTGTCTTAAGGACACGGGTTTCCATTCTGTTCTAGTCTGTCTGACTTGGTTCTGTCAAGCTGAGCCATCCAATTGTTCATTGGTCTAGCAGATCACTGTTCGTCATCTAGCAGTGCAGTGCCATTCTGTCAAATTGTTTGAGTTCTATCAGCCCAGACTAAGCTGTCATCCCATTACCAAAAAGAGACATGTGTATACTTCTCAGTGGTGGTTAATCTTTGGAGTTTACTACTTACTTATGTATCATATCATTTGTGCATTTAGTATAACTTTCCTTTTCTCTACTTTGTGACCCAACATGACTCCACCTCTGACAAGTAATAGAAAACCAACAAAGACCTGTCCAACAATAATAATAATTTTAAACTCAGAATTGCTTTAGAAATCTATACCTTTTCAGGTAATCGGACACTTACACTAATAAACATAGTTTGAAATTAAAGGGTCATCTCTAGTCCCAGTCACTAAACGTACATAGGCTACATGTCATATTTCCACTGGTCATCCAAGTCACAATCTTCCCTAATTAAAGAATTCATTAGCTTCGGTTTCAGACTACGACCAAATCCCTGGCCTCATAATATTACCATATTTATCTAAATATATTTTTGAAACCCATTTTCAGGAAAAAATAATTCCTTGAATATACCTTTTTTTTTTCAGAACAAAAAAATCATAAAACAGCAGATTTTACGATGAAAAGTTTAAATTTTGGATCATAACTTTTCCGAATGCTGGATGAAATCTGATTTGCTTGCATAGAATGTCCATACTTCCAGAACCTCCCATTCCATTTTATGTTGTCAATGCCAAAGTTTACACTAAAATTGATTAAAATCTTGTGACTCAGTTACATTGCCTAGTGTCTCTTTGTGTAAATACGACTACAATATTCAACTTATGATGAAATTGATCTTAACTAATGATTTACAGCTCAGCCATATTCACCAACAATATTTTAAATTGAGATTAATACATCCTTTAACAAAAGTTCTCTCCCCTTTTTCACTAAAGCAAATTCCACAATGTAACTGTAAACATTTCAACTTGACATAGTTAGTTAAAAGATTAGAAAAATTTACTTCCCTATTCTATTGCTGCACAATTTGAATTTGGATTATCAACATCTCAAATTATAGAAGATAAGATAGTAAATTATTATTATATAAACTTTTATTCTAGTACTTATGAAACCGTGCCGGTAATTTTTGTGCAACTCGAACACCAACTACAGGTAGCCCTCGGTTTACGCCGCAGTTCCATTCCTACAAAAGCCAGCGCAAATCGAATCGGCGTAAAACGAACCCGTATTTACAATGAGGTATAGGGTTAGGTTCTAGATAAGTGAAAAATAAGCTAATAATTTTGTTTATTAATACAATATAATACATAATCAAAATAATCAAAAAATTTCCTACTGGAACTAATTCAAATACATAATATAAGAAAACAACGCCTTCTATAACATTCCAGCAACAAAATTCAATACTCTAATAACGTTTTCGACCGATTTTATCGGCCTNTTTACATTTTTGATTTCTTTCATTAAAAATTTCGGAATATGGTCGAATATGATGCTCCTTTTTACATTTGCACTTCGCTCCCAACATTGTCTAACTCACAAACTTCATCCGTCAAACTTTCCTTAGTTGAAAGGATACGTTAATCCGACGTAAAGCTACGGACGAGCGAAGACACTGATTGGTCGACCACCGGTCGCCGTAGCGCATATATAAGTCACTTTGAGCGGGAAAATTCAAGGTGGCTAAGGAGAGATAAATATCGTCTGGCCAACGAGAAGTAGATTTGTCTCACTAACGATAATCTGTGATCGCCGGAAGTGCTATTGCATTCATTGTAAGGTGTTTTCCTGAATGAACTGATATCGGATACATTCATCGGCACTATGAATTCGGACGCCATTTATTGGACTATTAAGTTTAATATCTTGACTCATGGGTACCTAAACGTTTAGTATTTTAATATTAATTTAATGCAAATGTATACATACCCAATAATATTAAACAGAAAAAATAAATATATTTAATAAAAATCTTTGTTTTAACGAATGTACAATGTCACGGCTCGATAAATACATCATCACTGAAATGAAAATCAGTCTAGCATAGGAAAAATTGGGGAATTACAACTCGAAACAGCGAATTGCGCAGCGGCGTAAATTGAACCGGCATAAACCGAGGGCTACCTGTATATAGTGTATTCATTCAGACACAAAGCAAATCTCATCATTAATTTTTATTAAGTTGATATGTGTACAAACATTAAATACACATATCAACTAAATAAAAGTTAATGATGAGATTTGCCTTGTGTCTGAGTGAATACACTATATAGTTGGTGTTCGAGTTGCATAAACTTTTATACTAAAGTGCAGTTATTTTATAAGTAATTACCTTTTTTTGAACTCGTTTTAACAGTCACATTTTTAACGATTTTACTTTCTTCACTCAATACATTATGTTCATTCTGAGATGTGTTTTTTGCACTTCCTAAAAAAAAAAAAAAAAAAACAACAAGAAGGAAAGTAAGAATTACAATTAACTCGTTTCATACTTACTCTAGCTTAACAATATACCAACCTAAATCAGGTCTATCTTCGAATTCTTTGTCTTTTAAATCTTTCTCGACTTTAGAAGCTATGTCTTTCATTCTCACGACATCTGGATACTCGAAATGACTATCGCTCTCGAAAGATTTCATTTGAGATTCGTTGTTAGAAGCCTGAATTAACATTGGTGGAAATGAGCAATAGAAAATAATATTAAGTTAAATTTTGAAGAAAAAAATTACGTCATCTTTAGTTCTTCCATAAGCCAAGAATTTATGCATCTTTTTTAAGACTTTCTTCTGTGATCTCGATGGACGAAAATTTAATGCTTCACATCTGCAACGAATTTTTTAACTGTGATTAAATGGTTTTTAATAGCTTATAAAGGTATCAATTTAAATTTTACCTTATTGTGTACTGAGGACAGCATGCAATATTCATAGTTGGCTTGTAGCAATACATTCCACTTCTAAAACATATATGAAATTTTATTATTTTAAATTGGAAAAATAAATAAAATTACAAGTCTTACCTTCTCCATCCTCTGTCGATAAGATCTTGGTAGTCCATAGGTGTCAGAGCATGTGCCCACATTCCTAAAATTCATATTGATTTCTTTTAGAAAATTTTCAGTATATATTAATACTTGTTAATGCCTACTGACAAAAATACCTACACACCCAGATAGAATTGTCATATTATTGCAAAATTTGGCATATAGCTATGACCCAAACTGTTATGATTACAGTTGTGGTTTAATTACACACCAGGTAATGCTACCTAGTGACTTGTAATGTCAATATCAAAAAAACTCAAAGAGGCTCACTATGTTTACAATTTTCTGCATATATTGTTTGGACATCTTTGAATGCCAAGTTTGCTTGGACAATGCATTCAATGACATTACTGATGAAGTTTGACAGAGGCAGCATCAACAGGATAAGGAAAGAAGGATGTTTCACTAAAATGGCATCTGTCCAGACCATTCTGAGTTGACTGCAAGATGTGTTGGGGCAGTTGATACATCAGAGCACACATACCCAGCTGGGTCTGACATATCCTCAACACCCCAAACAGACTATCTGAAAAGATGACTGTCTTGTTGTGAGGCAAGCATAAACAGTTGCAATGGCATCTTTGGCCATCATCCAGAGGCAGAATCTCTTCCTAGTACCATTGACAAGCAACTAACAGAAGCAAGTGTGTGAGCCAACAAAGGAGGAAACTTTAATTTCAATCAGAATGATAGTGGAATAAGATCAGATATGTGAGAGTGGAGACACTGAGTCAAGTCTCTTTAACTAAATCCATTTATTGTCAAAACAGATCAGGGCTCACAAGATCTTTCTTTGCAGTTTCTTGCAGTCTCTCTCTGATTACTCACTTCTGATTGGTGGCAGGATCAATGTGAATGCTTGCTGGTTTGGAAGATGTGGCATCAGTCCAAACCAAGGAGTTACATGATGTCATTGCAACACCTTAGATTACAGTTCCGTAAGTCCAAAAGGGTATGAAACAAACATTTTTACAGAATGAACAGAACTGGCATGACAAGCACAACAAAAGAGAGCACACCACAAAAAACAAAAGGAGCTGTGATGATTTTAAAGCAATGGCTTTTATTAATTTCTGGTCCCTCAATCATCCATGAAATTGGTCTTGAATTTTCATGTGCACAATGGCATCACATCTGTAACCACGGAAAACAAAAATTAAGAGACTGCAAGAGAGATCATTGTTGAAGTTTTAAACAACAATAAAATCCAATTGTAACCCAAAACAGTCAATCTTGAGACTTCCATTGTCTATTCTTCTTTTATCATGTTTCTGAGAAATTTTTATTATTATTATTATTTTTTTAAATATTATTATATTAATTATTTACAAATTTAGTGGAGCTCTAGGGCATTTCCAGAGCCATACACATGGCAACTGCTATGCATTCTATCATTAGCAGCCAAACATCAGTTTCATTTACAGTGAGGCTGTGACAGAAAAGCATAAACTGCTACGGACTGGCAGCATATCGTTTTTAGCAGAGAATCCCAGTTCTGTTTGGGAATGGACAAACACTACATTAGTGTGTGGAAGACCATTGATAAGTACTTCAATCTTGTCTTTACTATTGAGTAGCACATTGCCCACTGCTGTTATGCTGGTCTTGGTAGCTATGTCATATGACAGTCAGTCACCTCAAGTAGAGATACAAGATAGTAACAGCACAGTGGTATGTTTAAGAAATCTTGCACCCTCATGTTATGCCTTTCACGATAGGACTTCAGTCATTTTGTACGCTAATGCTTGGCCACACATAGCTAGGGTTTTCCAGGAATGTCTGTCATGTTCATAACTTCCTTGCCCAGTTTCTAAATTTGTCACCCATTGAGCATATGTGAGACCAAATCAGACACCAACTTCAACCATCTACAAGTGTGAGGAACCTGGTGTGACAGTTGCAACATCTGTGAGCAAATCACAGGATATGTTGTATGTCTCCATGTCTAACCATATCACTAAATGTATTTTCCAGGCAAGAAGTTTATAAAAGATGCTGAAGATTCCTTTAAATTATATTATTGTTCCAAGGAAATTATCCTTCTGGTATGGTACTGTATTCACTTATTACCATTGTTATTGTGAGGCCGGGACATCACCCCCCAGATGGGAATTAGCTGTTGAGCTAAAGCCAATAAATCAATGACTTATTTCATAAACAGGACAGGTGTGACCAAGGAACAGGGTGCAAGACGATTTAATTGTCGCATTCCAGACCTAATTGGCAGATCCGTGATCGTGAGAACGAGAGAGGGATCATTTGCCAGGGTAACTTTGGACAGGCACCTTACAGAGAGTTCAAAGCGGGATCTGCTGACACTCCTGTGGAAGGGGCAGTGGCTGGGACAGCTGTCTTCTCTGGGACAGAAAAATACACATTAGGTAAAATTTACGGGTCCATCATCCGGGGAAGGGCTTAACTCAACTCCGGAGGGGAACGGCCCAGACAGGGATGTTTGGCGACCCCACAGACCAGGGACCAATAGAATTACAGGGAACCATCATTTGGACCAACCAAAACTTCGGGATTTCAGAGAAAAAGGTTATAAAAGCCCGAGGTCCCAAGGACACGGGAAGTGGTGATCGAGAGTGTCAATCCTTGTGCATGGACTGTGGATACTCTGACAAAGGACAAAGGAAAAATCCCAAAGACTCTGACGAAGGATGGACTCAGAAGACCAAAGGCTCCGAGCATAGGAAAAATGCAGAACCTAACTTCCCAACGACTCTTGCTTTCCTCCTGGATCTCCCACATCTGATTTAGCAGAGAACTTCACTGGAAACCAGGACAAACACTTGCTGGTTGGAGCACACTTTCAGGATCATCCAAGGTTGCAAAACAGTTATAGTACACCCTTTTGGCCTTATTTGTAAGCATGATGTCTTTGTTTAAATAAACATGTTAAATTGAAATTACAGTCTCTGTGTGAGTCATCTTTGCGTCCAGCAAACCACTACTCCCATACGTAAAAAGGCTTTCTCGCGTCATCCTGACAAATTGTGGGCAAATCGAGGGTCGTACCTTTCACCTTAAGGATGACCTCTAAGGCGAGTGGCGTCAGCCCAACATTGAGCAGACCCCACAGAGGTGTCTGTTCGTCCTTCCTCACATCATTACATTCAAACTAATAAAATTTAATTCGGTGTGTATCTTTTTCCAATGAGTATATTTATTTACTATGTTTAAACTAAGTTAAAATTAATAATATTAAACATCTACTTTTAATAGAATAACATACTAAGTATTTTTATACATTTATTCATTCCCAATTTACTTCATAAAAATGTCTCAATTCTGCTTTACAACAGTTGCAGACCTAAAAATATTTATTGGAGTCTAATTTAATGACTTTCAACTGTCAACATGAATCAAACGTCAACAAAAACATGAGAAAAAATTTAAAATTTATGCAGAAAATGGAGTAATGTAGATAAATTTGCTATGTATGCTAATTAGAAGTTGTGCCCATTCTGTATAATTGATAAAAACATTTACAAAAAAAATATTTGTTACATATTATTCATTTAATTTCAATTCTTCATTTAATATTTTCATGGTTCCTTGATTTCTAGCACCATTGTCTGAAAACTGACGTCTGCAATCTAGCCCAAATCACTGTTTATTAATGAGTGACAAATTTTACAACATTATATATATTATATTAATAAATAAAATAATTTAAAAAGTCTTTAGAATTCTTTTAAAAATGTATTATTTTATTATATTCATTTTTCTTTATTATTTAAATACTTAATGCCAGGGGTGGACTGGAGATCAAAATTGACCAGTGAAATTACTTGAAAATGGCCCACAAACCCATTTTTTTTTTTTCAAAATGATTAGACCCAAATTCTGTTATTGTATTTTTCTTCCTAATTCAGTCTAAAAATTAAAATATTAATAGAGACAAATGTATTTGAACTTTGTTCTATTCACTTTATAATTAAACAAAAATAACTATAAAACAAACAGAACAAAATTCAAATTCATTTGTTCCTATTGTTGAAATAATAAGTTTACTAAATATAGATCTTTCATCCTCTTATCAACTTAAATATAACACAATGTGTTTCAAAAGCTGGAAACTGCTAATATCAGTAGTTAAAATCATTTCTGTAAGTACATTTTCTTTCCATAGAAATGAAAAAAAAATACAACAAAATTATAAAATGATAGATATATACTAAATAAAATGTCTGTTGAGAAATTTGAGATGGAAAAGTACAGTTATAGATTGCTTCTAGACAGATCACTCAGTTGTCTGTATCAGCACAGCACCTCAGATGTGCCACTAAATGACACCATTTGGTAAATCATATGAAAGGCTATAAAAGCTACATGCCACTCAACAGTGGCCATTTGTGGCAGAGAGATAAAGATCTGTGCACAACACTAATGCCCAGATGACAGCAATCCTTAAAAATACGAGATTTTCAACAGAGAGATAAATAGATGCAACTACGTCATCTGTGGCACAACCAAGATGCCTGTCCCTAAAAGGCCATAGAACTAAATGTATGGTTTTTTTCTTGGCTAACTAAAGACATTTACTATAAAATGTCTTTAATCAATCAATAATAAAAGGCTTTCTCATTAAATGTCTAACAAGAATAAAAAAATTTCCTCTTCACATGCATATGATAATCCCTGTATGGCAGCCAGGGATTAGGGGGATTTGCCTGACGATGCCCATTTGACATGGGCGAAAACATTAGCACTTCTGAACTTCTCTGATGGATATTAGGTCTTTTTAGTGACTTTTGTTCAAGTATATCCAGTTTTTGACTGGTAATATTTAACAAGAATGACAAAATATGTAAAATATTTAACTTTCGTATTAAATTTTACATTTACTAAAGGTTATTCCAATTTTGTTTAACATAAAAATTGTATTTGAAGCTGTGAATTACTTCAGAAATAAGTGTATTATTATACTATTGTATTCGGTTTACTTTTCAAATATTTTTTAAAAAACATAAGACAAAAACAGTTGATTTTTAAAGATTTTCTTATAATAAATTTGTAATTGCTATATGAAATTTGTTTTTGATTATAATTACTTCAGGAATACAATTAGAAGAAGGATTGAAATTGTTTTAGTTTGCTGCAATACAAGTACAAGTAAACATTAGTAATTTACAAACTTTATTGATCTAAAACACCATTCAAAATAAAACTTATCTGAATTAAATATTTCTTCCAAGAATACAATTACATTACTCTTGTCTAATATTTATAAAAATTGAGATAATTTTAAGAAAAAATTAATTAATTCCTTCTTAGAGAACCTAATGACTTTACATTTCTCCCATTTGGCCACCATATTTTCATCATTTTTAGAACAGACATTCGATCAACATAGCATAACATGCACACGTACTGCTTATCTCAAGTCATTCACCATTTATTTTGATTTTTAAGATGATGAATACTTATTTTCACACCATTTAAAAAACTGGTGAGATAAAGATACCATATTTATTCAAATAAACAGTAAACTGTCTATTCACAGCACAGCTACAGGATTGACTGGTTTTTTTTTTCATCCTGCAGCTGTGCTGTTTATTAGAATGTGCATACTATTAGAAGGCAACTATTATTTCCATTCTTTGGGAATTGGGTGACACTATTATTTGAGGGGACTATAAATGGAATAAATCTGGTAATTTTTTCACATTATTATTATTATTTGAACCTCAAACACAACACTCAACACATTCACACTTTACTTGAATATACGATAAGAATGACAATACCAAATAGAATGTACAGTTTTTCAGTTTACAATAAGCCCTATCTTCTTTATACTTTTTATCTTGCAGCTGTACCATTTATTGGAAGAAATATGGTATATACTGTTGTGTCCAATGGCATGCCCGGAGAAGGCCAATGGACCCTGACACCCTCCAAAGGAAATTAAAAAAACAATAGCAAAATTTTCCAAAAATCTTTTTCGAATTAAAATTCTTTTTTTTATATTTATATTATGTCTTCTATTTCTATATTTGTGAATTAGTCGTCAAATAAGATAGGAATTTTATTGAATTAGCATTAAAAATTTTTTATCCATTGAACTTGGCTCCCCAAAGATTAAATCCCGAGCGTCCCACTAGTTGTGTCTAATGTAAATGAATATTCTTTGCCTCTTTCCTTGATGTAACACCACAACTTCAATCAATTATTATCGACTTGCAGACTTGCAATTATCATCATATTTAGTCATGCCAGTCAAACTGTGCCAATCTCATGGGACAATCCATCATTCTGGTGTCTCATCTCGCAGTCCCACAAACAAAAATTGTATTTTTGTCATGTCTTCAAATAAGATGTAGTCAACATTCCCATTCAAAAATTCATGATTTCTAGAAATCAACAAAGTAAATTTCTTAATTTGCATCGCACTATAATGAGGAAGTATAAGTATTTCTCTAAGTTTTTGAAAAAGTAGAAATATCCTTCTATGGTTTTCGAAGAGAATTTTATAATTTTTTAATTTATAAACTATGCCCCCAGCAGGGCATTTGTCCTTCATTTCGGATCACGTCCCTTGCCGCTACAATATACGATCAACAAAACCGATTTTGTCAATCCAAATCGAGCTATAAAACATTAAAAAAACAATGATTAGTGAAACATATAACAAAAGTAAAAACATTTTAAATATAACCGATGCCAATTATATTATTCAAATTCCTTTAGATGGATAAATACATTTCGTACAAACAAGAATTTAGGTATAAGTTACTTTTCAATGCTTTACGCATACAGAAAGACCTCGCTTAACACATCGACAAGTTCTTCGAAATTGCATCATTACACGAAACGACATATAACGAAAGCAATTTTATCATAGGATATAAATGAGAGTTAAGTTTCCTACCAGTTTGCACTTGCAACCTCTGGCATTTAATTAGTAAGATTCTAGCTCTGAATGAGGGGAAGGGGCGGCGACCCTCATTCAGTGCTAGAATCTTACCCATTTAATTTCCTCACATGTTTATAAATAAAATTCAACAACACCCAACACTTCAGTGTTGTGTGTTGTTGAATTTTATTTATAAACAGCTCTCATTTAACAACACTGTGTTAAATGAGTGAGAGCTTGCTGTATACCAGTGGCGTGCCTTGACATTTGATGATAGGGAAGCTGTGTTTCTATAAGAAGCCGGCATCCAGGGGCAATCAGTCAATCGAGCATCAGTGATGGTCTAGGGTCCATGACTGACTTATCAAATAAATGATAACCATCATTTATTTGATAAGCCAGTAAAAACCGTAGACTTTTCTAAATGTATTTTTAATATCACAATTACATTCCAAATCGCTAGCAATAAATCGCTACAATATAAGGGCTACAATTAAAAATAAAATAATAAAAACTTACTTGGTGAAATAAATTGTGTGGCGGATGTACTGGTATATGCCTGGTACAAAATATTCTTTAATTGTACGAATATACTTTTAAAGAAAATTATAATTAAATATAGCTTTGTAAAGAAACGTACTGTACATAAAAATATAAAATATTCTTTAATTTTTAAATCTTAAAACAATGATGCACTTAGTCAAATAGCTCCCTACAAGTGGCTAATGGATGGAATCAAAGATGGTTGCAGACCACGCATACACGCGGACTGCCAAATCCCCAGGGTGTCGTACCAGTCAATGTCAAATACCTCTTTTGTCGCATCACTAGTAGATCTCAAAGGACCCGACAGGGCTGTTGTTGATTTTAAATGTTTCTCACCATAACTGTAAAAATCTAAATTTGTTAAACTTAATAGTCATTTGTTTTCTAACTAATTCGTTTTAGGACCAAGTGTCCTCAGAAATTTCCAAAATTTACAACTTTTCGGTCACTCTCGTTTAACTGGAAAAATTTCTGTCTTTATTACATTAATAATACAAAGAAATCAGTCTCCAGCTCGAGATGGTTCGGTTAAGCTTTTGTTTAAGTAAAATTTCGGCTCTTTCATCAGTGGTTTTGTTTATGTCCCCAATTCTCTAATCGCTTAATTATTTAACAACTTCTTAAGTAGAAATAAGTCGAAACCGGTTACTTTGTACTTGAATATTTGTAGTCTCGGGAAAAAAAGTGGAAAGAAATTTTTATGGCAAATGGATACATAAATCGTAAATGTAAGGAAAATAAATTCTAGAGCTTTTTCTGTACCTGGTGCATCTCTCTCATTCATTAAATTTAGTTGTAAATGACGCTGTCGAAGTAACAGTTAATTTTTTAACATTATACAAAAATTGTACTACACGTTTTTTTCTACATCTCCTTAAAGATGGGATATACGAAATCGTAATATCACCGGTTTAACATCGAAATCCGTGAGTAATATAAAATCGGAGAGCGGAGTAAAATTATCAAATATTTTAATGGATTTTTTAAAACTCCTGTCAACTATACAGAATTATCGTAAAAACATACCAGTAAATTCTTATCGGCTGAGTTAAGTTATAAATCTACTCACGATTCACGTAATCAAGAGAGGGCGGCCAACAGCCCAGAACCGGTCCTGGATAGAATTGGATGCGGTATACATTTAGCATCCACCCGAGATCCTAGGCTTCCACCAGCTAAACAGGTGAGGTAGGTGCTCTGTAAAGTGCATGCGCGAATCTGGCTTTTTGGATGCTGACAATACAGCGCTTTCACTCCGCCAGTAATATTCAAATATACAATAGCAATCTATTTTTTTTTTCACGTGTAGTATAGAAATTTGTAAAAAGATACATAATGCGGTTATAATAAAATATTGTGCGATTATTTTCATATAATTAAAATTAATATGTATTTATTTTTTAGAAAATACAAGAGAAGAGGCGCATCCACCGCTTCCAACGACGGCACGCCACTGCTGTATACATACTATTTAGCTGCAAGGATCCATATTCTGTAGTAACGTGTTCAGTCTAATTACATGTCAATTATATTGCAAAAGTAATCAATTTCGAATGAAAAATTTAGTTTACTTTTACCATGAGAATAACTTCCGTCTTCGCTTTTGCAATATCCGCAACGATAACCGCTGTGTTCGGAAAAGTACTCGACGATACTCATTCTAAATACGATCTGCAGGGTAACACGATTCAGTTTACTAACAAACACACAAATGGCCTCCCGGATGATAAGTGTTGCCAGCCGGTGCTGACAACACTTGTCATTCAACACTTACGACGACGAATTTTATTTTATTTTTCAAATTTTAATTTAAAAGAAATACCTTAATAAATACCTAATTTATTTTTATTCTATCGATGTTATTTGTTTTCTCCGCTTTTGTTGGCCGATGGGTATCGAGGGCACTAAAAGGAAGTGGCGCGTGAGGACAGGGAAAATTTGAATTTGGGGCCCCCTATTGGTGGGCCACGTTTTTTCCCGTAGAATAACCCACCGCCTAAAAATATAAAAAAAAAAACCCTTTTAAAATTCTTTCTGTGTGTGTCTATTTTGCGTTATATCTCGGGACTGAATGAATCAAAAATTTTGAGAGTTGGCATGGTTATTTTTGTGTGTGTGACATTTATGCTATTACATTATGGTGATTATAAGTGTAGGGGGAAAGGAAGGAGATCATGAGTCATGACTTCATACTTCTTAAAGGGAAGACACATAGAAACATATTGCATTCCTCTTTTTAAATTTCTGGCTAAGCTACTGATTAAAACGGTTGAATTTGTTGAATGAAACCATTCACTAATCTTAACTACAGGGTGCGTGAAAAGTTCTGTCAATTTTATTTTTGTGTGTTTTTTGGCATTTGTCATTTTGCATTTTTTGTTATTTTTTAATGATTTTATTGGATTGCACCCTCGTGCAATTTTGATCAAGAAAGGGCTCTAATTATTATTTTTTTATTTTTAGTTGTGCTAACGTTATGTCTCGTGAAAATGAACGTATCATCGTCGTCGAGTTGCACAAGTTGGAAATGAAGATAGCCGACATTGCTCGTGCGACTAGTTTCCAATAGAGGATTGTCTACAGGATCGTGAAACGTTTCAAGGAGACTGGAGGGACTGTGGATCGTCCTCGGAGCAATCGTCCAACCACCGCGACCATTCCGGAGAACATTAACAAGGTGTGATGCCGGATTCGGCGCAATCCGGGGGTATCCATGCGCAAAACGGCCAAGGAGCTCCAAATCAGCGAGGAGCGATTCCGTAATATCGTCAAAAGGAAACTGGGACTTCGCAGCTACAAGATCGCCCGTGTCAGCTTCTTAAATGAAGCGATGAAGGCGAAGAGGCTCGAGAAAGCTCGCCGAATGTGTCGGCTGATCGGCGATGGTCGCTTGAACAAGGTGCTCTTCACCGACGAGAAGATTTTCACCCTCGAGCCGCTTCAAAACTGCCAAAACCATCAACAGCTGCTCAAGAAGGGTCAACAGAAGACTGCCACTGCAAAAACCATTGGTCGCAGCCATTTTCCGGCTTCAATCATGGTCTGCGCCACTGGGAAGACGCCGCTGGTCTTCATCGAGCGGAACGTCAAGATCAACGCCACCATCTACCAGAAACGGGTCCTATGCGATGTATTGGAGCCATGGGCGTCATAGCACTTCGGTTCAGAAGGATTCACGCTTCAGCAAGACTGGGCACCGGCGCATTCGGCCCAATCGACAATTACCGTCTGTGAAGAGCTGTTTCCGGGCTTTTGGCGCAAATACGTTTGGCCGTCTAACTCGCCGGATCTTAACCCGTTGGACTACTCGGTGTGGTCGATCCTGGAACAAAAAATCTCGGGAACACGATACGCCACCGTGGACCAGCTGAAAGCAGCCTTGACGCGTGCCTGGGACGAAACTTCGGTGGAAGAATGCACGACCATCGTTGGAACTTTTCGCAAGAGACTACGTAAATGCATTGAAGCCCAAGGAGGCAATTTTGAGCATTTGTTGTAAATTTTTTTGTTTATTGTTATTGTTATTCGATAAATAAAACTTATTGTTCGTTTAGTTTTGTGAATTTATTTATTTATACAGTATTTTTATACTGTTGAAGTATTTCAAAAAATTGACAGAACTTTTCACGCACCCTGTAGAGTTGCCACACATCCGTTACTTTAGCTAAATTGCCCTTTCTTTATAAACGACAAAGAATACAATTCGTTCTTTATTTTCATTTGTCAATGCTCGTGTTTTATAATGGCAGTGATGGATTTTCGACTAGGACTTTGCCTATGATTATATAACCATTCCTGTTAAGAAGTCATATACAGAATTACTCAAACATCTATAAATGATTTATTGTTCGTACGCAGGCCTTCGAGTCAGTTTCGATTTTCAGTTTACCTTCTTTCTTCCTTATGTTTTATGTCCCACAATAAAGGTTTGCATGATCAAATTGTATTTATGAACTGGTCGTAGAAATCTGGCAATTCTACTCGTAACCTTTCCATAGACACTATAGACATCCGACAACATGGCAAATTCAGAGGAGAGTACCAAGGTCCCTTGGATTCCCTTCTTAGTGCTCCACCGTCCAAAGTAATACTTCTATCACTATATGTTTTAAAACAAGTTCATTATTATTTAATACGTAGCTTTTCGCTTCTTGCTTGAATTCTTTTTAATAAACACAACCCAGAAGTCACCATGAGGAGGTGTCTGACACGAGATCCCTCGCCCAATCTACTCTATCTAACACTATAAATAAAAATGTATTCACAGTGGTGTTTATTTTCTAACAATAATTTTGAATTCCGTGTTATCTAACTCGGTACTTTCTTTTTTTTTATACAAGTATTTCAATATTTTTTGTATTGAATTCTATGTAATTTTTGTATAATTTTCCTCGTTTTCTTCCTTGTTTCAAAAACAATTAAGATTTTATCTTTTATACTGATTGCAAATGTAGTTATCTTGATTTTAAAAAAATTCTACATTTAATCAGTAATTTTAAAACTGAAGAAAATGACAATAGCGAGATTGCGGCCGAAGTTTACTTCTCTGAAACGTGAACGTCGAACGTCGAGCACCGCTTAAGATAGCGGCGCTCGACGTTCGACGTTCACGTTTCAGAGAAGAAAACTTCGGCCGCAACCTGACTAATAACTTCAGTTAAAAGTAGACAAAAGACATTTTTAAACAGAAATTTTATGTAATTTTAAGCCTGAATTCCTCAGGCACCTTCTGAAAAACTAATCCGGAATTGTCCTATAATAACCCGGCATAGTATTTTGCCAATTGGATTGTTTGAATGCTAAAGACTCCGAGCGAAAATTGAGGGATATGAAAAATCTGAAGAACCCCAAAATCTTTTGTTAGGTACAGTACATGTATGGAGATCGAAAGCCAATTGATCTTAACACATCATAGTCATGTACTGTGTCGTCTTTATACCGATTAAAAAGCACGACAAAACAAATTGAAATCATATAACATCACTCACTGGTACAACGATGTCTGCAACACTCAAAATTCCGCGCTACTCTGTTTCTATAGATGCCGGATTAGCAACTTTCTTCTATATCTATTAATTAAAATCAGAATTGATTTTTTAGGAGTATCAGTAGACCCCCTATAACACTGTTGATAATTCCGTGTTTTATAAATTCCACGTTGTACGAGTCACTTAAATTTTACAAATACGTGAGACGTTCACAGCCCGGCACACGTATTTGTAAAATCTAAGTGACTCATACAACGTGGAATTCATAAAACACGGAATTATCAACAGTGTTATAGGGAAGTCTACTTGTACGTTTCCTCCTTATAAAAAAAAGGAAAAACGTGGATTTTTAACGGAAATTTTCATATATTTGCACATAACTTTTGTTACAGATCTAATTAAAATTACAATATGTATAATAAAATATATGAATTTATAGAGTTTAGTAATAGCTGCTATAAATAATTTTGTTTTTTAAATTAAAATTTTGTTGTAAAACATTAGTTCATAACGCAATTGAGTTTAAAAATGACCTACTCGAGTGGTGTAAAAAAATTTTTCCAAAAATAACTATAATAAATCACAGAGTTTTCCTTTCGTCAAGAATATTTTTTAATATAATTATACTTATATACAAAAATCTAAAGTCTATTACATTCTATATATAAAATTTTTTATACATGTTTATACATTTATACTATATTTTCAATACATATAATTTTTATCATACATCAGGGAAATAAAAAACCGTAAATTTCTTAGATTTTCCTCGTCGTTGCATATTATTTAATGCACTACTTAACACAGACTAGAAAGCTTTCATCGTTATTTTCACACTATCCTTTCAAAAATAAACAAAAGTAGATTATCTAGATAACAAGCGTTTATGTAGAAAATACTTATTCGTTCCTCAATTTTCAATATTTATTTTTTTTTAAATATAAACATAATCTATTTATTTCGAATAGTAAATAGACAGGATAGATGCTGATACAGTTAAGGATTGAGCTTACTAATCTGGAGGACTCGAGATTGAATCCTGGTGAGCATCTCTCTATACTGTTTTCGTGATGGTCTATCCCGGATATGAGCCCACTCCCGCATCACATGGGCATATGGATATGATTTTATTATTTCCGCCTTGAGTGCACTAAAACGGCCTTTTTTTCAAACCCATCGTAAGCTCAACTAGGCCCACAATGGGATAACAAGAGACGGGACCCGATATTTTCGGAACAGTACCCTTCTGGGGTGTTTTCGACCGCTGGATTCGATTCCGGGTCTCCAGAACGCTAGGATAATCAATTATGGGCCTATATCTTATACATTTTTTACAAAATTTTAGATTAATTTAGGTATAAATCAATGACAATGGCGCTATTCCTATCATTTTTACGCACTGTTAATCGACCAACTATTTTATTGCAGTCTTTGACTCTTTAATGTGATGATGAGGATGATAATATGCGCTTTTTTATAGACCAATTCGCCCAGAAAAACTTATTTAGAATTTGGTATAACTGACGTAATGATTTGCATACTTTTATAGTGATAATAAATAATTTAATCAAAAATATATAGAGCATAGAAACCAATTTTAAATTCGTTGACCTTCATTATGCACTCTTTTCGGTTGTTTTTTCTGTTATCATGTAAAGTCAACAAATGTGAGAGGATCATATTTGGTTTTCATTAAAAACTATATGTTTTGTAACAGGGAAGACTCGGGTATTATCTGGATTTTGCTCGGGGAGTAACCTTTTCCAATTTCTATAAAGCAAATCTATTCAATTGGTTTATGGCCTGTTTAGGCTATAAATCTTCCACTTCTTCTCCTGCTTTTCTCCAGCTTAGAAACTAAACTGCATAGAAACTTTTATGAATGAAACAGTGTGGAGTTCCCTTTAGCATTGCTAGTTTTAAGACTCTTGAGTTTCACAGCGGTTCCTGTGTATGGTCACTCAGATGGATAAATTCCAAAGGATTTTCGACAAAGAAAATGGAAAAACAATTAGATTTTTATACGCAAAATCAGAATGAAAAGTTTATTCAAGAAGACTGGGTACGGCGTGGATTTTATATTTTATCTTAATAATCTTTCTACTTATAGACTTAATACATATTAAATTTACACATTTGAGAATTAATGTTAGTCATTTATAATAATTTTCTTTAATTCATCTCATTATTTTAAGTTATTTCAAATAAAAAATAAAAAATAATAGAAGTAAACAGTTTCTTAAAATAATTGGTTTCAAGACGGGAAGTCATTTTCTTCGCAAATATAGCGTTAAATTATCTAGTTTCATCAAATACAAATTATGTATAACTTTCAAAATCTTCATAGTAAATATATACGGCATAATCTCGCTAATCCGGCCTCTCAATTACCTGTCATACTCTGCGGTGTAATTGCCCATGCGATTCCGTTTCCACGAAAACCTTATCATGTGACAAATCTTGTTTTCTTATTTATTCAAATTTCATTTTTGTGTACAGTGTAACGCGCCGTATTATTTACCCGCCTGCCTCCAAAACGAGTATCAAAAGGTGACAGATTACGTAATTTAATAGAGAGGTTGCGGGCCGAAGTTTTCGTCTGTAAAACGTCAACGTCGAACGTCGAGCGCCGCTTACAAGATAGCGGCGCTCGACGTTCGACGTTCACGTTTTACGGATGAAAACTTCGGCCGCAACCTCGCTATTGCCTTTAGGTCTCTGCACTCGCGGTCGTTCGGGTGCCCTTCTGTGTAAGAAATTACCGGATTAGCGAGATCTTGCTTTATCATGTTAATACTTCGACAATAACAGAATTATTAGAGAGGTTGCGGCCGACGTTTTCATCGCGAAAACGTGTACGTCGGACGTTCAGTGTTGCCTTCCTGTAAGCCTAGAAGTTTGACAATGGCGTTTGGAACGTCAGTGGAATCATGCTCGACGTATCAAACGCCATTGTCAAACTTCTAGGCTTACAGGAAGGCAACGCTGAATGTCCGATGTACATGTTTTCGCGATGAAAATGTCGGCCGCAACCTCTCCATTATTACAACAAATAATAATATAATTTTCCACGTTTCGGCGAAACCACTCATGCATGCATATCACACGCATACATTACAGTATATATATCTACTTTCTTAAACAATGTGCATAGAAATTGATATCCTTGACTAGTGAATTTATTTTTGAATTAGCATACACTTACTTGAAGACTTGAAATTCAAAAATCAAATTGTTTTTACTATTTACTTCTAGGAAATTTATAAATGCATTTACTATGAATTATTTACTACAATTCTACAACACCACAGAATTGTTTTCTACAATTGAAAACTTCTTCTTAATTAAATTTTTTATAAGAAATTATTAATTTTTCTTTTTATACTTGTATGTGTAGTAATAATTGCAATAAAAAAAACTGCACATTAAGTGTTTCTGTAGTGTTTATTTACTCATTTGGCAATCATCCAGCTGGTGAAGAAATGAATAAGTCTACGGTCGAATTTTCCTCATTTAAAATTTATTCTATAAGTTATTAATGCCAAAATTTAAATAAGGAAAAACTATAATGTATTAACTGATTTAAAACTCAGCCATACAATAACACAGAAAATAAAAAGTCTAATTAAAATATATTTATGTATCAAGTACCCATAAACTTTGGAATGGAATGAAAGTTCTTCATACTTTTAAATTTATTTAAATAAGTAGACGTTTTCTATTTTTAAATAGATGATTTAAATGCTGTTCATATAATTAAAATTAATATGTATTTATTTTTTAGAAAATACAAGAGAAGAGGCGCATCCACCGCTTCCAACGACGGCACGCCACTGCTGTATACATACTATTTAGCTGCAAGGATCCATATTCTGTAGCAAATAAATTAGAAATTCGGATTATTTACGAATCAATAATTATTCAAATTATAACATAAGCATATTTTATAATATATTTCTTATTCTGTAATCTATAATAAGAGTAATTACTGACTAATAAAGTTTTGAATTTGTTTAGCAATAAATAACATTTAAAATATATTAAGTACAGTACGTATACATTTTTAAGCAACTTTTAACCCCCCCTTCTTCCGTGTTGTGTACAATGATGTGTTTTCCCAACGCCTTTTACCCTCTAGACCTTTTTTCGTGCTATGCCCCACCTATGCCTTTCTAAAATTCTTATGCCTCCCCTAACATATACAGCGGCTATACGGTTAACTTAAACTCTGGATAAGTCCATTTTCGAATTGCCTCCCTTAACAGTCCAATTCCCCCAACGTGGGGCATAAGCCCCACGTTGGAAAACATTACAGTCGACCCCCTATAACACTGTTGATTATTCCGTTTTATATGAATTCCATGTTGTACGAGTCATTTCGATTTTACAAATACATGAGCTGTTCACAGCCCGGCACACATATTTGTAAAATCTAAGTGACTCGTACAACATGGAATTCGTATAAAACAGAATAATCAACAGTGTTATAGGGGGTCGAATGTACTCTAGACTGCCGGACAGCCCCATATTTACTTGTATTTAAAGTAAATAATACATTTTACTTATACTGTATATTAAAATGTATTAATGAAATATGCTTAGTTATATGTTTTTTTTTTTTTTATCTGATTAAAACGTTCAATTCAGTAGTCATATTTTAAAGGAAATTTTTTTAAAGAATACAAAAATATATTCCAATGCTTCTAACACTTTCCTGGAGAACGTTGAATATATTTATGACTAAATTTCTTTTAAGTTTAATGACATATTCAACGTCATTAAACTGGAAAAAAATTTTGTTTATGCGGAGATAATATAATTAACCTTCACTTAATTAATTACTTTGTAATAATGTAGTTTAAGTAACTAATATAATAATAAACTATAATATAATAATAAAATATAATAAACTTATTTCCATTATATAAAACTGTATAATGTAGAGTTTAACCTATATATTTGTTGGTGTGAGTGTATAATATAAATTTTGTTCTGTGTAATAAGAAACAATAGATAGGCCTAAGGGTGAGACTATGCAGACGCGAGCGAACGAGAATATCTGGCGAGAAGCGATAAATATCAAACCCTGTCAGATATGTGCGAGAACCAGAAATTCGCTCTCGCTAGCGATATTTATCGCTTCTCTCTTGTGCATGGTTTTTCTTTGCGAGAACTATATCGCTCGCAACCTTCGCTCGCTCTATATTCGCGTCTGCATAGTCGACCCTAATTATTAGGAAAATTGTGAGGAGAATAAATACTGTAATAATAAAAAAATAATAATAAAAGACCAATAATAATTAACCTGTTAACTTAATGTAACAAGATTCGCTGGTAATTCTATACAGTATTTTCTATATTTGATTAAATCAAATATAGAAAATACTGTATAGAATTACCAGCGAATCTTGTTACATTAAGTTAACAGGTTAATTATTATTGGTCTTTTATTATTATTTTTTTTTATTTAAACTGAATTATTTGCTGTTAGGATGTATAAATGCTCTAATTTTTTAGTTTAATTCATTTATAAGCCTGAAGCTATACAAGGTATAATTAAGTAAAAGCTACAGTGATTTTTATATTATTAAGTATACTAATTGAAAGTTACTTAAGACAGGAAACTACTATGTTCGTAGCAACTAGGTCACGCTCTTGCAGACGCGAGAGAGCGATAATATGTGGCGAGAAGAGGCGAGACGCGATAAGGATGCGAGCGATATAGTTCTAGCAAAGGAAAACAAACACAAACGAGAAGGGAGAATTATCGCTGGCAAGAGCGAATTTCGGGTACTTGCAGGGTTTGATATTTATCGCGTCTCGCCTCTTCTCGCCACATATTCTTGCTCGCTCGGAAAATTCGCTCGCTCGCGTCTGCATAAATTGCATCCTAAGGGTACGACTATGCAGACGCGAGCGAGCGAATTTTCCGAGCAAGAGAGAATATGTGGCGAGAAGAGGCGAGACGCGATAAATATCAAACCCTGCAAGAACCAGAAATTCGCTGTCGCCAGCGATAATTCTCCCTGAAGCGATAAATATCAAAACCTGTCAGATATGTGCGAGAACCAGAAATTCGCTCTCGCCAGCGAGATTTCTCGCTTCTCGCTTGTGTATGGTTTTTGCGAGAAATATATCGCCCGCAACGTCTCGCTGGCGTCTGTACAGTCGCACCCTTTTTTTAAATGAGAGATAAAATTGTATAATGTCGCTGATATTCGATTTGATGAAAGTATCTAAAACCGTTTATTAAAGTTAAATAATATAAAATAACAGAATTGAATAAAATAATATAAAACAGGAAAATGTCGAAATAATAGTAAAAGTACAGTAATATAAACAAGGAAAAACGTCGAAATTTTTTTTTATTAATTTAAAGAGGGCGCTGATTTCGCCAGATGTTTGCGCGTGGTGTTACGCGCGTTACTAGTGATTGCTAGGCAACGAAGGATGAAACCCTGACTTTAACCGCGTTTGTTTTAATTAACCACGTGGATATGTTTAGGTAAATTTTGTCAAAATTGTACACAGTGAAGAAAAAAAAAAACATGGCCGTCCTCAGTACTTTGAGAGAAATGAGTCTTCCATACAATTGTTACGAAGTGGGACATACTTGGTCTCCTTTCTGTACCGATGCCGCTTTGAAAATTGCCTTTGATTGCATGAGAGAATCGCTAAAGATGTACGCTTCTCTATACGGGGTGAGTGTATCTTTTTACATATATTTTCACCTGTCGCTTCTATAATAACACTATAACACGTGCATCACTAGAGAGCAGTTGTGTTGGGCACAATCGGTTATAAAAGAACAGATGATTCGATTGTCCTTGATACAATCGAATAAAAAATCGATTGTGCCCATCACTAGAGAGCAGTTATGTTACATTACACTTTTTATTTAGGTCAGAAATTTTCATGCATAATTAAAATTTATTGTTAATGAGTGTTGAACTCTTTAAAACTAAATATATTTATACATAAAAATAACAATATTTAGACATAGTTTTATTTATCTCTCAGTTATCTCAGATACTTCAGAAGAAATTTTCTATTGAAGCGTGTTTGAAGACTTTACAAAGCAGTATAACGTCATCTTGTTTCCTCTCGTTCAATGTTTTTTCATTTGTTTTCTTTTTTTGTTTACTTAGGTGAGATAAACATTTTTCTTTTATTTTACTTTTATTCTTATTATTATTACAGTCGATCCCCCTAAAACACTGTTGATTTTTCCGTTTTATATGAATTCCATGTTGTACGAGTCACTTAGATTTTACAAATACGTGTGCCGGGCTGTAAACAGTTCAAGTATTTGTAAAATCTAAGTGACTCATACAACATGGAATTCATATAAAACGGAAAAATTAACAGTGTTATAGGGGGTCGACTGTATTATTATTTTTTATTTAATTTTTTATATTATATAAAAGTGTATATATTAATCTAAAATTCCTTACTTTGAAATTCTATTATTTTATTTTCAGTTTGACATTCTGTAAACCTGTTTATTTAAAAATATAAAAAAAAAAACACCGTAACCTTGTTTTATTACCCGAAAAATACTTTTGGAACGATGTTGGCCCCGTCTTTAAAGCCCACGTGCGGAATTTGTGGAAGTTTTAAGATTTATAAGAAATTTTGTACACTATAAGCTTAATAAGTCTTGACACCTGTTAACTGGGTTGTGGTGTTTTTTTTGTTTTTTGTTTTTTTTAAATAGGTTATTTCTTGAAACAGTATATTATGTAACTTTAACTTTAAAAAATATTTTTTTAATGTTGTAACCACATGAAAACATTTACAGGAATTAATATTTAAACGTCATTTTGAAATAAAAAAAAAAAAGAATTAATTTATCTGTTAATTTTGAACTTCTAAAAATGTTAATATTTAATTGAAATTTTCAGAAAGTTTTTCTTCTCTAGATGAAGTTTAATGTTAAAAGTGAAAATATTTTAAAAGTTTTAAATTTTTTTATGAATTTAAATAAATTCTAACTTAATGCCTAAACGATTTCCTTTATTATTGGGCTATAATAAAGATTAATCTGTCTTATTATAGCTCTGTAATATTGAAGATTGTTTGGCATTAATTAAATATTGGATTTATTGTTTATTAATGTGAATCAATGTTTCTCAACAGGGGCGATATCGCCCCCATGTGGGCGTTTTTCCATGTTCGGGGGGCGATTAGTAACAATTTATATTTTGGGGGGCGAAAAACAATATTCTGGGTGATATAGTAAAACATTATATTAAGAATAATTAGATATTTTATTCGTTATATCGTACAATAATTAAACAAATAACATTATACTAATCACTAGTCTATTCGATGCAGTACGAATTTGGCGTTAGCCTTGTCCCTCGCCATCGGAATTTTGTAGTGAAGGGGGTGATACTACGTAACGATTTCATTGAAGGGGCGACAATTCATTAGAGGTTGAGAAACACTGATGTAAATAGTTTGTTCTTTGTTACATATTAAACTTATATATTTTTCAACTCACCTCTAATCAAAGTTATGCTTTCTTTTATCTCTAATCTTTAGTTTTTTTCAATATTATTTTCATTATAGTTGTTCAAGGATTTATTTAATTCTTGAATTCGCCAACAGTTCTGATAATGTATGAATTATACAGTATATTAATTCTGCAAAAAAAAAAAGGCAAACTAGTATGTAAACATTACCATTTATAGTCACCGTATATATTCCTTTTTTGCAATTTTTATTAAGTTAAATTTATTGTACTATAATGGAGCTTAATTATAATATTTATAATTAAATTCTCTCATAATGATTATTTTGCAATAGTTACAGTTGCAGTTACAGCAATTATTTATCAGTTAGAGGTTATGAGAAACACTTTAATATTGCTGCAAATGCAAATTGTATTGCTAATTAGATTTTTATTGTTTACATTTTAGGCAAACTTTAGAAAAAGGATATATATATATCCTTTTTCTAAAGTTTGCCTAAAATTTAAACAATAAAAATATCAAAATAATATATAGAATAATATAAGAAAAATATATATAGGATAAAGGATATATATATATATATATCCTTTATCCTATATATATTTTTCTTATTTTGATATTTATTTAGTAAATTAAGTATGATTAAATTCTACATACGTTTTACTTTAGATTATTTAGGTCAAAGATCAGGAGAAAGATTTTTCTCCGTTCCGTGACCTATTATTTGAAAGACAGCAACTTCAACTTTACTAATATAATTAAAAGTTAAACAAATAAAATGAATAGTAAAACAGATTTTTTTTATTATTTAGTTATCAGTTATATGGAGAAAGTCAGCATTTGTTTATTTCTTTTATTTGAAGAAAAAAAAAATACTTTAAGCTAACTGAATTATTTACCATTGTATTTTGGCAACGCTCTAGATAGCTAAGTAGAAAATTGGATTTGATGTATGAAAAATTTATCAGAATAACCTAAAACAACAGCTATTTCAGTTGTGTTCTGTTGTATTTCAATGAAACATACTATCTGTAAACAGTCATATCATATAAGAAATGATTATTTGTAAATATATTTTTTCTTATACTTTATATCATGATTGTTATACCAACAAATAGAATGTATCCAAAATGTCAAATTTAATTCAGAAATCAAATAAAGCAGTATTATTAAGAAAAGAAAGAAATGTAACAAATTACATTGTTGTTTACTCACTATATTTTAAAACATTGAGTATTTTGAAGTTTAGCAAGGTATTGTATTTTTGAAAATTTTCTAAAAAGGACAATACTTCTATTTATTTAATTTGTGATGATAAAAATAAAAATTTAAATTAAATTAAGGAAATAATCCTTTATATATCAGAAAAATTGAATTTTTAAATTAATAAAAAAAACAAAGTTGAACAAAACGAAATTTGATTACAGGAAATGGATGGGGAAATTTTATTACTTCCATTGTTCCTATTTACCAGGTTTTGCTGCAAGTTTTCTTGCGATATTGATTGAGAAAAAGAACAGGTTAGTAAGGATATTGCACCTTAATTTTATTATAAATGCTTGAGAGTAAAACTTTGTATACATATATACTTTTTTTTAGACAACAGGCTTTGGCTTTATATGTAACAAATGTGGTGAGTTAAATTTCTGATGGCAGTCTTAAATTATTTACCTCCTTTAAAATATTATTTAATTATATATATATATATATTTTAAAGTATTATTATGTAAGCTAAGTTTATTTAGTTTTATATCAATTCAAATTTTAATTTTGCTAGATTTTATTTTTATTCCAGATTGAAATAGTTTAAAAAATTATCTGTTAGTAATGTCATTTATGTTCTGAACTGTTAAAAAGAGAGAGGGGGAAATCACTAAGAGAAATTACAAATAAAATAATTGAACTACAGAACATGTCATTGATAAATCAAAATGAACCTATGAGATAAAATATAAAAGTTTTAATATGAATTAAAATATATTAGTATTGATTGTATGTTTTGAATGTGCCAGATTCATCCGCCATAAAATTAAACTTTTCTGTTTGATCAATATAAATAGAATAAAACTAGATTATTCGGAAAAACTATCTAATCTCTAATACAATTTAAAAAATATATTTAAAATATAAATTTATTACAAATATTGATTATCTAGTATAAAAGTTTATAAAGTAAACAATTATAAATAATAATTTTATTATTTTTATATTAAAGTTTATGTTGGAATTAATAGAGTAATATTTGTATAATAATTTATTTATTTTAATATTCGTAATTGCCCTGTCCCCGAGCAACAACTAATAAAGATTATTATATATTAAAGCATATATTATCTAAAAGAGGAATAATTATATATTGATTTTCAGGCAACTGAGACATTATTTAGAATGTTTGCCAGTAGAGGAATTGTTAAACCCATTCCACATGGTGAGGTGAGATTTTTATAATTTATTTTGCAATGCAACAGTTTTAAATTATAAAAACAAACATCGAAATTGGTTGTTTATTAATGTTTAAGAATCTACAATTTTAATTAAACAATACATAATAACCTGCTCTAGGAGGATATAAATATTTTAAAATATATTATTCCTCTTATATATCTTATTACATTAATAGATTTTTATAGATGTTAATATTTTATACTTTTTAAAAAATTCTTTATACTTATATTAATTATTTGCAGGTTTTATTGTTTGGCGGAGTAATGGCATTTTTTCTTTATTCTAGCCGGTAAATATCAAATAAAATTATCGACAAATTTACTTTATATCGGAAATTACAAATAACAATTAGTATGTTTTTTTTTGTTACAGCAAATATGGTTATTCCAATGATATTGTTAGTGCTTGTCTCCGGTATAGTTCTTTATCTTTTCATTATATTTAGTTATAAATCCATTTTATTGGTTTCAACGTAGTTTTATTATTTTTTTTTTTTAGTTATTTAATTGGTACAGAAGAAAATAAACGGTCTCCTAAATGTAAAAATGTTGATAATGGCGTGCCTTATGAAACCTTAATAGATGATGATAATCATAATAAAATTCAAAAAATAAAAAAAATCTTTCGGTATGAATATTTGAAACATCATTCATGCCCTCATAACGATATATGTCCTATATATGTGTCAAAGGTACATTAAAAATACTTTGAAAATAATTTATTATATTTTTGTTGTGTATATTTTTTTTTAATTAAAATAATTTTGAATCATTACAGGGATTTTTATTTAATTTTGCAATAGGTTATGGTGTTAAACTGGCATTAAAGATATTGTCAAAGCCAAAAGCATTTGTAAAAAATCCTTTTATCATATTTAAAGAGTTAACAAATACTAATTTATTGAATTCTGGATTATTTTTAGGAGGATTCTCAGGAATATATAAAGTAATTTTAATAAGTTTTTTGTTAAATTCATAAAGTAAATATATGTTGCTATTTTATAATCAAATATTTTTTTATAGCTTGTATCATGCTTTCTGAGGTGGACACAAGGGAGAAATGAAAATTGGCATGCGATTCCAGCTGGAATGTTAGCAAGCTGTAGTATGTTTGTTTACCCTTCACCATCATTAGCATTATATCTTTTTTGGAAAATTATTGAAGTATGTTGGAATTTGATTTGATTTTTACATATATTTATTTCTAGCTCTTAAAGTTAGATTTATTTATTTTTAGTTGTTAAGTAATTTTAATATATTAAAGTAAAATAAAATTGATATTTCATTGTAATTTTCATGTTATCTAGAAGCTATTTAGGTAGTTTTAATTATGGATTCTATATAGTTTCCTAACAATTTTCAGTTCTAAATTGTACTTAGTTTTATGGAAAATTAGGCAATAAATAATTAATAACGCCTATATTATACTGTATATTTGTTATTCAGATATTCTTGTTTGCCTCCTCACAAAATCAAATCTTATCTGTGAAGGATATTTGTGATTATTCATTGTAATGATAATTGCTATTTATGGGGAAACGTTTCTATTTCAGTATGGGACTTTGCACTTAAATAATCTGAATTAAAATTAAATAAACAGTGACACCTGTATATAAAAATCCAAAAGCTTTGAAAATCATATTATTAGATAATTTGATAGACATCTACTAACAGTTTACTCATAAAAATATTACTTGTATAGCACAGTTAAAAGAATAAATATTAAACGTATACATAATTAAACTTTATTATCAAGAGAAAAACATATTCGTGATTATTCTAATTTTCACAATTTTATTACTTAATAAAATTTGAAAATTAAATATTTTTATTTGGTTACTTGACACTAATAATAAATATCTAAAATGTTAAATAATTTTCTTGTAGTTAGGAATATTTTAATTGTTAGTATCAAAACTTTGATTCTTAAAAGCATCCAAATTGGTAAGTGTAAAATTATAGTTCAAAATGAAGAGATGATAAATTTAGAGATAAATTCAATTTACAATGTTTTGCTGAAGAAAAGTGACAAGATTAATCGATTGAAGGATGTAAAGCCAAATTGGAATTCTTGACTTATCTTAAATAATTAATTATTTTATTTATCTTTAATTTAAGATTATTTAAGATAAGTCAAGAATTCCAATTTACAAGTATATATAATGAGATTGTTATCAAATTGAACTTAACATATAATCCTACAAGATATGAGTTCAAAATGCTTACCAGTAGACGTTAAGAAAGTCATTTTATTCAAAGTTAAAAAAAATTGTATTTCAACAGTTGAACCAATTATAAATCTACTCTAAATATTTGATTGTCAAATGTTTTTGGCTTCATAGAAATTCACAAGTGCAGAAATTTAATTATCCTGTAACAGAGAAATTTTGATCAGTAAAGGGGGACAAAGTGTTTTATGAAAAATAAAAATAAACCAAGTCAATTTGTTACAAAAAGAGTTTATGAACAAATAAAGTTTTACAAATAAATAAATAATCAAGTTTAACAATGGAAAAAGAATTTTTTTTTAAAGATTGTATTTCCTGGTACATTAAATTTTCAACTGGTTAAAAAATGTTTGTGAATCAGTAAAATAATGATTTACAAAAAAAAACTTGATGTTTTTAAAAGAAGGCTTTTTGTTTTTAACAATGTATGTATGAGGATATATTCCAGGTGATCATAATTAAAGTACCAGTATTCAACTCTGTCTAGAGAGAGATTTAACAGTCCTAATGCAACTGAATTTGGTATGGCAACAATTCAGAACATTCAGACATTTTTGTATAAAAAGAAATTAATAACAAAAAATTTACCATTGGCAAGTTTTCTTGCATTTGTAAGCATAAACATTTTGTCTGTACAAGGTAGTCATGCTATAGAGATCTTCACAATGTAAAGAATATTATTTGATTTAGTTCCCATTCTGAAGGTGATGAACAGTGTGTTTCATGGCCAACCATAATTGATTCTCTGTGATGTTTCTCATATGCATATGATATTTTCTTTCAAGCCAAATTTCAAGTAAATCACACTTTTTAAGTGTGATTTACTTTAAATTTGGATTACGCATAGTTAGATCCAGAGAACAACTAATCCCTTTCTTTTTGATGAAATGTTGTTGCAGAAACTGCTGTATGAGGTGTCAGTTATTTGGAGGTATTCCATCTTGCATGAAAGTTGTTTACTCAAGGCATTTTTACTATTGCAGTTGGGATTGAGATATGACAAAAGTTCAAACTCTGCAAACCTGGAATATATCTTACAAAATAACAACAAATTGAACTTTAAAAGAAATTCCAGGATAATCTATTAGGCAATAGATTATCCTGGAATTTCTTTTAAAGTTCAATTCATTACTATTTTGTATGATGAAAGTATTGAGCATCTCTCAATATCAAAGAGCATGTCACAGGTTCATTGAGGACTAACTTCTACAAAGAAGAATAGTCCAAGAATGAATATGGCTGTGAGTGCACCAGACTGTAACTTTAGGCAAGTTCAGTTGAGTCTGCAGGAAAACATAGGGATTTTCCATAAACCTAATGCAACAGTTATGGACATTTACTGTTCACTGAGATGAAAGTGTTTCGTCACTCCAAGGGAATTTTTATATTGTGATGTGTCCACTTCCATTCTGGCAAGGAAGATGAATGCAAAGGTCAGCCAGGTTTCTCTATTAGTAGCAACAACTGCTAGTTGTGGCTGATCTTACATAGATAACATTGCATAAACTTTCTTGATAACTTCCACATTGTGCCCTAGGATATATCCAGATGCTAAGACACTGTATGTGACTCCCAGAGCAAGCAAATTATTCATTGACTGTTTAACGACAGTTATGGTAACATCTTCAACAACTTATAACATAATAAGTTCATATCCTTGTCCAGGTGAACTCTCAGACTCCAGTTTCCTCAAATCAAGTGATCATTTTTCTGAGAGTTTGTGGAATCAATGGTTCTCTGCATAAATTCTTACAATGGAAAAATTTTTGAGTTGCAGCCACAACATTACTATTGATCTCATCAAACAGCTTTACAAGAAATGCACATTCTGGCAAGGTGACAGCCACCATAACTGATAAGAATGACATTCAACATTGTGGCCACTTTTATACTGACAACTTGGCTGCAACACATGTACAGTACTTATGCAAAGGAAACCATTTTTCATTGTTTGCAGTTTCAAAAATGTAGTAGTGGTGAGTTTGGTACCAAATTTTTTTTAAATGTAAATATCTTCTCCATATCTTGAAGTGTCACTATTTCAGATTTGGTTGCACATGACTGTTGAATACCTCTTTAGATAGCAATGAACAGAGGTATGGTACTTCAATTACAATCCTTCAGTACATAAGAACAATTTATAGAAACATCATCCAAACCCGATATATAAAGCTACAAACCAACAGACTGCCGAAAATCTATCGGGCTAGTTTTATGCTAATTATTAAATAAATTACGTAATCAATTTGGCACTAGAGGTAAGCGTTAGGCGCCATCTCTTATTAATATTAATAATTATAAATAAATTAATTAATTTAAATAATTTAGAACCGCTGGGAGAAAAAATCGGCTCGGAGCGGGACTCGAACCCACAACTCCTGCTTACCGTGCAGATGCGTTGCNTTAAATTATATATAATTATTTGTGTAGAATTTGTGTTAAATTTATTATCCTTTCCTCTTTATCCAGATGTTAGTTATCTCGGTTAACCGCGTCGAACATTCTTCTATTAAAACACCACGTGATTGTATTTTCTCACGTGACTACTAGACAAACAGTTATTGGCTAATAGAAACGTGTCTTGGCATGTCTTGGCAGCGGTTGCCGCGAAAGCTAAAATTCAACCAGCTTTTGCGGACCGAGAAAAGCAGCACAAAATCGACTTCTGCGGCGAGAAAAAGTGACGTCATTCCGTCGCTTTTTTTTGACGCGCCGCATGTGTGCATTTCCCTTTAAATCGTACATAATTTTAGACCGACTCATCTAAAAATTTTCTAATTAGTCTGAAAACAGAAGAACCTAACTGTTGCATTCTGTGAAAACGGGTAAGATTGGCTCTAATGTAATAATCTTAATCTTCGCTATCGTTACTTTTCGCTCAACAACGCCGGGCACATCTGCTAGTCTCCATATAGAAACCCTGTAGAAAATTTTAAAAAATCGAAAATATTTAATTTAAATATTTTCGATTTTTTAAACACAAGAAGCAGCGATGTAAAATGATAAATACCGATTGGTCTTCCCTTGTATTCGGGCAACAATTCGACACTTTTCGGAGTGTGGGAGACGACGACATCGACGCTCAAGTCGGTATATACCGATCGAATAGTATTCCTCTGAACTTTGGCACTCTCCCTTGTAATTTCAGTCTTCTATTTTTCTGACAAAACATGTATTCGCGAGACTGTCGGGTAGACACTCGTTGAGTTTTGCATCTGCTTTTCTTTTCGAAAGGTGAGAGTATAATAGCAAAGGTGGAGAGTGGGCAGACAATGCCTAATGTTGCTGGGCAGTATGGCATGAACAGATCTACAGTAGGCCGCAGTTTAATCTTATTTAAAAAAAAATACTGTACTGTATAATGAAGAAGACTTAAGCGGCTAAAGGAGTAACATAAATCACATCTGAGAAATAAAGAACATCGAAGAGTTCATAATGGAACCTGAAACGGATCTGACGACACAAGAACGCCAAGAACCCTTGAATGAAGAACACGAAGAAACTCGGCGAGATATGGTTTCTTCTGAAAATGCGGACTTAAGCCGATATCTGTTATTAAAGATCTTTTGAAGAAGTGGGAGGATGTCAGAACAACAGTGTTTGAATGGTATTCAAACCAGGTTGAAATTAATAGGCTTAGGGATTTCTACAATTACAATGCTATTAATTACTTCTGAAAAATCCTAGAGAAGAGAGAAAAGCAATCGACAATTGACAGATTCTTTAACCCTTTCAAACGGAAAAAACATGACTAATAAAAATGCAAGACTGTGTATGTATGTATTTTTATTATTACATATAAATACACGTAGTAAGAAAGCACCAGTATATATTATTTCATTTTTGGAGTCTCCAGAACGAATTAATTAAATGCCCATTAAAACCTATAGTTAATCGATAATCGGTTAACGAACAATTCGGATAGCGAACAAAGTCTTGGAACGGATTATGTTTGTTAACCGATCACTCACTGTATTTGAGAGATGAACAATATCTCAAACAAAGCCAATAGAAAAACTCAAAATTAATAAACTTAATAATTTAATTAATTTAAATAAATATTGATATATGGATATTGGTATTTTTATAATTTGATTATTTTGGAATTATTTCTATTATTTTTTATGTCAATAAATAAAGTTATAACTTAATGAACTTGTTTATTTATTACTTTTGTATTTAAAGTTTTTTTTTACTATATTAAAAAATTACTTTTATCTAATGTCAGGAATTTTTTTATTTTATAATTTATAGTTTTTAATTTGCCTAGTCAGACTTTTCTATTAAAAAGTTTTTCTTCATTATATGTTAAATGCGAAAGTGAAAATATTTTCATTAAAAATTATCTGTCTATTTAAATTTAAACTAAATAATTCCCTAGTAAATTACATCAAGAGGTCCAGAAAAATTTTTTATTAGGTTAAACATTTATGAAAACCGTTACGTTTCATCTTTAGACTAATCGAACACAAGATTAAGAACAGCATCCCAGAATTATTTTTGAATTTGAAATTTCAGATTTTACAAAAAATTGAACCAAGACATTAGTTTTTATGTAATATTCAAACACTACATTTAAAACTTAAAATAGAAGAAAACCACAATTGCAAAAAAAAATTTTTTAATAAATATCTTCTTTTTTAAAAACACAAACCATCAGATGTATCATATGATGTTTATCTATCTGAACTCAAAAAGACCAATTCTTTCTTAAAAATGTTTTACACTGTTGTTATAACATTATTGATAACAATAAAACCAAGTGTATGCCAACATAAAGATGGAATCTCCTCCTTTTGGTCCTCTGCTTAGAGTACTTTATCAGCAATACTTACAGTTTTAAATCACTATCCTCTTTCCTCTTATTCAGTATTGATTCTCACATAATGGCTATAACGGACTTATATTTATAATGGCTACATCTGTAATGTTTTTGAGATTATTCTCACCTACTAATAAGCATGTTTATTTTGCTGTTTGTTTGATGTTAACATGTTGTTTTGTGTTAGCATTAGCATACAAATTTTATCTTTTAGTGATTACAACAAATTTCATAAAAACGATATAAAAGTAAACAATGATTAAGAATTATTAAAACAAATTTAGTTTTTGAAACATTTTTATATATTAATTGGGCTGCATTTTCAAAAATTGTAGACCTATGGTTTCAGTCTATCTGTCCTTCCTCAATCTTGAGAATGGAGTTAGATGAAAGTTGAGACCAGATATAGAAAGCTTAGGGACAGGAAGCCCCAATTAACTATATATGAACATTCTGTTTCAGAAATCACGTTACTTCAATTTAAAAATTTTCTCCAGAACTGAATTAGATACTGGGCAAGACTCCATTGTTAACAGGAAAAGTATGATGTACAGAGGCAGGACACTAAAATTGAGAGCATTATGATGAAAAATTGCAGCTTGGCAATGTGACAATATCACAATAAATAATTTCTCATTTTATACTAGAGAGGTTGAGGCGCACGTTTTAAACGTGTAAACGTGTACGTGTGACGTTCATCGCCACTTTCCCGTAAGCCTAAAAGTTTGACAATGGTGTTTGGATAGTCGGTGGAATCACGCTCGACATTTCAAACACCATCGTCAAACTTTTAGGCTTACGGGAAAGCGGCGCCGAACGTCACACGTACACGTTTACACGTTTAAAACGTGCGCCTCAACCTCTCTATTGTTTCTATATTATTCTCATTAATATAGAATTAATATTCTATAATATTCTCATTAATGTTGTTTCTATGTTTTCAATTTAGAAACAATATAAAAATGTATAAGTGTAATAAATAATAAAAAAAATATTTAAAATATACATACATATTCTTGAAAGCTCATGAATTTGTGCTTTTTTTTTTTTTTTTAAGAGAGGATATCTAAATGGAATGTCAAAAGGAGTGTTACCTTATATACCAGGAGGAATATTAGTACTTTATGCAGTATCAACTGCACTTCTACTTTATGCAGTAAGTGTTGTTTAATATAATTTTATTTAAATTAAAGAATTTATTTATTACTTTAGAATTTTTTATTTTTAGGCTATTCTTGAACCCCATCATTTAAAGCCTGCTTATTTAAATTTTCTCCAGCGTGTAACAAATAATAAGTAAGTAAACTGTATAGATTCTAATTTTAAAAATTAACTATTTTAATTATATAGATATATAAAAATCTGTATGTGTGTATGTGACTTGTGTAAATTTATAAGAATATGTTTAATATTTAATAATAATAATAAGAGATGTACAAAAAAATTGCATCAAGTGCTGCGTTTGGTGTTAGATATTGAAAAAAGTAACTAGGCTGCATAAAACTCTTATAAACAATAGAAAAAACAAAACACCACTTTATTTCAGCACTTTTTATTCATAAACAGAACATACTTATTTAATGAATTAATTAAACCTAATAAAGCCAGTTTTAACACAACTTGTGAAAAATAAAAGACAAGTTCACTGCTGTGTCTATCATGAACAAAAGGAATGTTAACAACAGATGTGAACCAAAAGTGAAAACATGGACAGTAATAACTTCTGTTAGCACTAATATTTGGTGAGCCATCTTTGACCTTGATCACTTCGTGATGCTTTTATACCACCAAAAGAACAATGCAATCACTCCATATTGCAGGTGGCATAAAACAATTTTATTGATAGCTGAAGCAACTTTCCAGCTTGTAATGAAATTTCACAGTTCATACTGATCTTGAAATCAGAGACAACCTGGCAAAGTCTGAGAATTTTAAGAGTTGTCAGAATATTTTAATTTCATGGAAATAAATATATATTGTTTTTAATATTCAATAATTTAATGTGACAGTGTTTGACATAGAATGACTCATAAATTTTATCAATAAATCAACAAGGCCATACTTAATACTTAAAGATATGGTTTTCACTTAGGCAGTATTGAGGAGATAATGGCTGACCTGTTTGGCATGTTTAACATTTATTTGCACAAAAAAAAAATTTCTAATGCATTGGTGGAACAACAATGGTGCAAAGCGTTCAGCTGAACCAGAGTACCATGGTCATAGGCTTTCTGCATAAACTTTTGTCATCATGTCAAGCAAAAAGTCTATGACCATGATAAAACAATTGTTTTTATCATGGATTGGGTGATACTTTCAGTAAAGGACTAAGGGTTTTTTTGGGATATAAGTCATGTCCTTTACAACAGGTTGAAAGAAAGAGGAGCTAAATTAGAATTTCAAACTATGACTATTCACAATATTTCAGGCCTGAAATGATACGTCACACAACCAGTACACTATACACGTGCCTAAAGTGAATTGTTCTGCCTCTGTTCTAATAAAAATTGCAAACATGAATTTTACTTTATTGTTATCTTTTAGAGAACCTGTAGAAACTTTAAATAAAAAAATAGTCATTTTTAGGAATCTAAATTTTTAAATTTAAAAATATTTATAAAATTGAAATCATTTTTTCCTGCAATTCCATTATGATCTCTGAATGATTCTGTTTAAAGTAAGTCCTCACTGATTATTCTACAATGATCAGAAAATGATTTTGTCTTCTGATGTGTAAATATAGCAAAAACTTTAATTAAATTCTAAAGTTTTTTAATTTAAATACATACAAAAGTAATTTTCTAATTATTTTGTGTCCACAATAATTTTAAAAAAATTTTTTAATATTCAGTTAAGAAGTTAATCATTCTATATGTACATATAAAATCTTAAATAATGTAAAGAGATTTTGACAGGAATCTATGTAACAAAAAGTGATAATTGATGAAGGAAATGACACTAAATAATAAATATCAAATTTTATTAAGTAACAGAGAATTATGTAACATTTTAATGTGCAAATATTACACTTAATAAATATTGTTTTTATGCAAAATTATATTACTATTAATGTTTGAAAAAAATGCTTTACACATCTTTATTATTGGCAAACTTAGAATTATATTATAATTTAATTTCATTTTGTCAAGGAAAACATAGATAATGTATTAAAAATTTGTTCTTAATACAATTTCCATATTCATTATTTTACAACTGACACAAAAAATAAAAATTTTCTTAGAATTTTATTAATATTAAAAAGTAGTTTTATTTATAACACAACTTTTACAAGTTATAAATAAATGTATAGTTAAGGAGTTCCCATATTTTTATTTTTACTGTCAACCGTCTTTTTTTTCTAATACAGTTAATAATAATAATAATAATAATAATAAACAAATATAAATAAATCTGGTGTCCTGAACACTGTCACATATAACCATTGAACTAATTGTTTTTAAAGTTGATAAATCATTTGTAATTAAATTATTAATAAATTTTAAATTAAAAAATTATATATTAAAATTTAATAAACATATTTTTTAAGGTTGGCTCAAATGAACAGGAATGTATTGGATATTTTTGGTACACATGCTTCAAAATTATACCAGGATTTCTTTCCTGAACTTGATTTAAGATACACCAGTCATTCATTCCAAGAAACAGTATTAGTCTGGCTTATTCATTGAGATGTTTAGACCCACCGAATTGTACTCAATAAACAATTCTGATATTATTTTTGTTTGTTAAATTTAATTATTTCCTTATAATTTTTAATGATTATAAATATTTACAATTCTTACTCCAAAAATGTTAATATAGATTTATTTTTAATTGAAATATCTATTTAAAAGTATTAAATATGGTTTATAATAATAAATATCAAATGAATATATTAGTTTTAATACAAGAATTAGTGTAAAATTGTGTTTAAAATATATTAAAAGAGATAATTATCTTGTTCATCTGTTGTTTTTTTTTTTTAGTGTTTTCTGCAAAATGTAAAGTTTAAACATGTTTAATTTCAAATGATTATTTTATATTGTAATAAGACAGTATCTGATTAATGGTTATAGTGATAAAATATCATTTTTCATTTGTTATATTTGTTGTTTATCATTAATATTTACTATTGATGCGTTCATTCATCATTTGATTGACATGCAATGATATTACTTGATATACAATCTGTGATGGTGGTGGTAAGAAATGTTATATTTCATATTAACTATGAAATAAATTATACTTTGCATGATTAGAAATTCATGTGAAGATGTTTAATAACATACAGGGTAATTTTTCTCAATAGGAAACTCAGGACTTTTTGTATTGCTTTATGAAGACCTGTTTTTGTAAAATTCAAAATAAATGCATATAAATTTTCATAGGAAACCATAAAGCAATAAAACAGTTATTGAGAAATGTTTGAGTTCCCTAGGGAGAAAATCATCCTCAAAGTATATTCACAAAAAAAAAAAAAAAATCTAAAGTATTAGCATTTATGAATGTTATCAATATCTGAAATATATTTACTTTTTGTTATTTGTAATTTCAAACTTGTATATTTTTAAAGATTACTGTACCAGCTAACTGTTGGCATGTTCGTTCATTATTCGACTGACATTCAGTGATATTAATTGATATAGAACTGTGATGACCATAAGGAATGTTATATTTCATACTATTTATGAAATGAATTCTATTTTAGTAAATAAACAAATTAATTCAAAGATATTTGTAAAGTAAAAAATATAAACATTTAATATCTATACAGTGTTTTTTTTATAAGTCATCTGCCATAGGAGATTGTACAGAGAAACATCAGATGATATTGTAGACAAAGCATCAGGGAGAAATGTATGCTGTGCTGATTATATGATGCATCATTTCGGGTCTACAATATTGCCAAAACGGAAATTAATTGCACAAAATTCATACATGGTCGAATCACTTTTAGCTAATGTAAATGTTGCCGGAAAAGTTAAGCAACTCATTGCTGGAATTTCTTTAATACTCAATATACAGTTGATATCAAGAACACACGTCACCGGTTTTTTAATGTTATTTTTAATTTATTTAAATAAAATTACCAGTTTTTTTTAATTATTATTATTGAACTTTATGTTTCGTGTATTAAGTAGAACAATTTCACATAGTTTCTGTAACTCACAATACACTATTTGTGAGTTACAGAACTATGAAGCTGGGCCTACATTAGTTGAAAGTGAATCGATCATGTATATGAAATTTGTGCAATTAATTTCCGTTTCACAATATTCCAGGCCCGAAATGATACGTCACACAACCAGTATACTATACACGTGCCTGCAATCTCCTGTGACGTACGAAAACACGCAAAAACAAAAGAAAAATCTGTAAATGTGTTTTTTTTTTATTATTTATAGTTTTAAAGTTATATATTTTAAATGTATGTGTCATTCTGTGTATATTTTACATTTAAAAAGAGGTTTTTTTTAACCATTTTTCTTCATTTGAATGTATTATTATCAACCATTGTCTTACATAAGTATTATGCATGATTCAAATATTCTTTTTTACAAATAAAAATTAACTTTTAATTTCAAATTAAAATGAAACTAGATGCGTTTTTTTTTACATTCTCGTTAATTACATTTAAATATTGAACGAAGGTAAATTGTTGCAAGAATAAACATGTTTATTCTTGCAAAAATAAACGAAACGTTTTCTCCCGTTTAATACGTTACCACGGTTACCGCGGGGATCAACCAATCAGAAGACGACAGACGTTAGTTTTTACGTATCGTTTGACGTATTCTCGGATTAATCTCGTCGGTTGCCATGGAAACGTTTACGATTAAAGAGCGAAATTATATTTATTTAGTAAATATTATTTATTTACGTATTAATTATTAAAAGTTGCCAAAGCGAATCCGGAAAATTGATTACATATTAGAAAAATAACAGACGATAACGCTATGCTTTCGAGAGTTTCTACTACAAGTCGTCTGCTACTGTCTTCCATTTTGTTTTTTTTTTCCCCCTCACTTTTCTATCTCAATTTCGTTTCGTTCAAGATATAATTTGGCAACTGCACAAGAAAAACTGATGCAAAAAATGTTTTATGTGAGTATTGAATATATTTTGTTATCAAATACAGTAGCCCTTCGTTATACCGCACGTTCGGATATAACTCTCTTTGTTTTCCACATATAAGAGCGATTATTAAAAAATGACTGGCTAAGGCATTGAATTTCTCTCATTTCAATCATTAAGACAAATAAAATCGGTTATAACGCGCCATTTGATATATCGCTGGTTTGGCTTGTGATATAACGAGGGCCCCTCGTTATATCGCAAGCTAAACGAGCGATATATCAAATGTGCATCCGCATGGGGGGAAAATGGGCACTTGCCCGTGTAACGTTACACTCTCCGCCATATTTGATGCCATATGCCTCTGGGAAGGTATCCAACACCCACAATATCTCCTAAATACGCCAAGGATTCACCGTAAACGTGTATTATCGACATTGAGTACGAGCTAAGCGTTCTATAATCTATTTGCGAAAGAAAATCTAGCAACCAGTTGCATTACTTTCCCGGCTATTATGACATTTTGTCATAAAAACTAAATGTTAACGAGTAAAAGTCTTCATTAAGTCGGACCCTACTCGAGATATGCAACATGACAATCCTCTTGTCCCTGTACATCATACTTTTCCTGTTAGATGACCGGCAAGACTCTATTGCTAACTCCTTTTTGAATTGAAATAACGTGTCTTCCGATGTATATAGTTAATCGAGGCCTCTTACCTCTAATCTTTCTATATCCGGTCATGGCTTTCATCTATCTAACTCCGTTCTCGAGATTAAGGCAGGACAGATAAACAGACAGACGACAATGGGAAATTTATAGGTCTACAGTTTTTTCAAATTACAATCCAATTATTTGTCTCAAAGCTTTGTCGCCTGGAAAATTTTCTGCGGTTGTCCATGCGAGGGGCTACTGTATGTAAAACATTCTACCTTGTATACATAATTATACTGTATACAAATGACAGGTATGTTTCAAAATGGCAATATTATACGGTCGACTTTGGAAACTTAATTCTTGAAATTGCGTTTATAATACAAATAATTAATTTTATTAATTAAACACACAAATTAGAATTAAATTAAATTGAATTAATCAGGACTCTACGTTATNATTCTGTTAAGCATAAAAAGAACTCTATACTATTTTTTCTCCTTGAATGAATCTAGTATCAAAAATAACTTTACTTGAAAAAAAAAAAAAACAGTATATTAAAAAATCAGATGCAACGATTACTTAAAGGTATGAATTATTCAAGTAAATATGGTAATAATTAATTTTATTAATTAAACACACAAATTAGAATTAAATTAAATTGAATTAATCAGGACTCTACGTTATAATCTGATCTTCAACTATCCGGTTACGGGTATTTTACTCTTTTTATTGCCGGATAAACAAGTAGTTTTTTTAAGAACAAAGTTGGCAAATCTTCCAGAAAAAAAAACAAATGTAGGCGAATTTTAGTTTCCAAATAAACTACTATTTTTTTTTATTTAATTTTGTTTCACTTTATTTCAATGTCTTTAAAATAAAATCTAAAGTTTACCATCTAGAATTGAAAATAAATGAAAGTCTTACAGGTTTTTTACTTCTTCGTTACTGAACCTAACCTAACTTAATCTGTCTTCAAATTAGCCCCAAATTACACATAGTGGTTCGTATTATTTAGAATTTCAATCTGCCTATCTCCATTCTCGTTAATACCGGATTACAATGTTACAGATTTATTACAAATTTAAGCATGTAGTAAACCTTTCCAAAACAGCTATAAGTCTATCAATAACCGACATCGCTATTTTGAAACATATAAGTAGTATATAAACGTTATATAAATTGTTTGAAAGCAAAATAATTTTACATTAAACTGCAGATATAAAAAAAAAGAATGATGTAATGAAAAGTAACATATGGATTCACGAAAGTGTCGTTAATAAGGACGTCGTACGGTAATAATGCGATCATAGAATATTATACGTCTAACGACGAAGTACAGTACTATAGAAGGTGTCTTGTATCTTCACTTCTGTTGACTACGGCCAATAAGAAATTCGAAGTTTTACAGCTGGATTTGGAGCATGGATCGAAGAAGGATGGTGATACGGAATATTAAAGTTAAGAAATTTTATGTTTTTTTTTAAAATATATATATCAGTTCATAATATAAAGAATCGTAATAGCTTTAAGTGGAGAATATATTCTACAGTTTATGAGTACAAATGTATTCAGAATATTTCATTAGTAAACTTACAGTAAAATCTATTTTGAATTAAGAAATAGTAGAAACGAAGTCGTATACAATTATATGTCTATTATAACGAAATGTCAGATTAATAAAATATAATCTAACACAATGTATCTTACAACTTGATTATGTTATAGGCCTAGATATATCAGAAACAGAACAGTGCAAACGACATTCATTGCCAATAAGTAAAATAATATATGTAACGTCGAACCGATACAGTATTACATAAAGCATCATATATTAATATGTAGCTAATTATTCTAACTTAGATGATGATGATTGATTAATGTGAACATTTTTCTACAGCAGATTAAAAACTACCGTTAAAAAAAGAAGACAAAACACGAATACTCCCTTGAAATTGGCATATATTCTCTTAGTTGGCTATATCTTTATACTCGCAATCATTGTTCGTTGATTAAATTAAAAATTACTCTTTTTAATCACAATAATAATAATAATAATATAGTTTTAAATAAACTTATTTAACATCATTAATGGATAGAGGCAGCGACGTAACTAAGATTTTGCTCCGGAGGTGATAAAGGAGGATAATGTAAAAAGTATAATTAGAATGAAGAAAAATTAAGCGTCCCCTCGCTGACGAAAAATGTTGTAAAATGTTCCCGAAACATCTAGAAGGAAACTTCAATAACAAACGAGAACAAAGTAATTTTAGATTTGTTTTTTTTTTTTTTTTTAGACGAATTTTGTTTTAGTTTAAATTTAATTCCTAAAGCCTCTGGGAAGGTATCCAACACCCACAATAATCCCTAAATACGCCAAGGATTCACCGTAAACGTGTATTATCGACATTGAGTAGGAACTAAGTTTATTTCTGCCATCTTGAAATGTTGAATAACGAGACCTCTGCAGTTGTAAAAACATACGACACAAATTAACGACATTTCAATTAACAATATGTTTTATGAATACGTTTAAATGTTATAACAAAATACCGTTCGCGAATCCAGTCCCTGTTTTTTTTTTTAATCTATTTTACTGTAATCAATTATATAAGAAGAAGATAACTATTTTAAACGGATGTTGAGTTTATCTTAAAGAAATATCACTCACTGTAATAAAATTTCGAATATGTATAATTTTTATTTTTTTAACACAACCACATAATTTGCAAAAAATTATTTTCACTAATACCACAATTTAGATAATTATCTAACGGACTATGATTTAAAAAAGAAAAGAAAAGAAAACAGAAATCTATGCAAGTTAGGCCACGTTTGTGCAAAGGTAATCAATTACTATATACAAAGTAAAACATAATCCTATAATTTGCATAGATGTCTAGTTACACACAATTTGATAAACTACCGATACAATTCAGTCACAATTTTGGTATTTAATAACCAGCAGGACAGCTTATATATGAAAGATTTAATTAAATCTACAAAACTGGAACTATATAAAATCACAAAATGGCACACAACGCCGAAAGTTGTGTTGGACGGATGAATAAATTGTTATTTTGTTCGTGGTTTTCTTTATGGTTTTCTTCCTCTCCTTATTGTTGAGCTCTAATATAATTTGATTTGTCTACTCAGGATGAGCGGGGCCGAGAGGCTTTTAAGCCTGTATGTAAAAGTGTTGCTCATTTTGTTTTATGAAAAGAGAACGTGCGGTCCAAATAATGATATAATATATGAACCAGCGGGAACAATAGTTATTGTCAAACTTAATAACGATATCGACAAAACAGTTAAATATAATAATAAAACTTTTCACAAATTTTGTTACACAAATCTTGCGCGATGATGAAATTATTAGAACATTACTATAATTCAAAACTATCTTATCTATTGATGATTAAATTAGAAAATGAGTTTTTTTTTAATATTCGGGTGTAAAACCAGATATTCGAAAATCGTTATTCTCGGACACTGATTTTTTATGAACGGGTTTTGTTGAACTTTGACACGAGAGAGCAAACTTTAGTTCTCGGAACATTTCTTTGCATATAGATTCCTGAAAGAGAAGAAACAAAATAAAAATCTTTACATCGCTCCTTTGTTATTTATTAAGTGATCTGTACTATATTTACCCTTTCGGTTGCTGATTGTTTTCGGGCTTTCCATAAAAATTCCAAAATAGCAACGACCGTAGCCATTCCGAGACCAACTAGCAGGACCACAAATACGCCACCGACATTACCTAAACCTAATTCATTAACATTACTGGAAGACTTTTTACTTTCATCGCTGCATCTCCCTCCGCCTCTTTTTTGTTTCCACCAGCGATCTCTCAATTGTAACAGGACACCCGCTTCTTGCAACTTGAGAATGCCATTAGACAATATAGTCCGATAATGAGAACCTAAAGTAAACGGGAATTAATCAATAATTCTCGGTGTTTTGCTTACTTGACTAATATAAAATTTTATATACCATTTTGTGTAGCAATTCCGTATCCTTTATTGTCCAAGAGCCCACCTATGTTAGTTAAGTTGCATTCTCTTTCTTTCTTGTACTCGATACTAGCAGATTCCATAAAGTAAGCATAATTTCCTTGAAGGACTCGTTCTACTCCATTATTATTGTTGTCCACTAAATAATCTGGATTTTTTTTCATAACTTCTCCTAGTTTTTTATAAGCTGGTACTTGAGTTTCCTAGTAAAATGCGTTAATGAAAATAATTGCTGTAATTTTAACTTAGACGTTTAAGCTGTAATTTACCTCGAAAAACGTTTTTGTAGATCCGCTCCTAACACAACCATATTTAATTTCCGTTTGATCTACTAAATCTTCGGCTTTAGTGAAAGGATCGACCGAATTTTCAACAGTCAAGAAAGCGGCTAAATTAGCAGTGTAAGATGATATCATAATTAGCGTAAAGAAATACCAGATTCCAGCAATCGTTCGAGTAGACATGGCTCTAGAATGAAATTAAAATTAATCGAATGAATCATCGTTAAAATACGCACGTAAATTTCCTGTACTCACTTAGGCGCTACGTCAGATCCTTGCTGCATAAGTGATCCTATAGTAAACCACATGCTGTTGAGTAAACTAAAACTATTCTCCAAAACTTGATCGTCCTGGCGACACGGATGAGGATTATCCCACTCGTAAGGGCTCAAGCGACCGACCAAAAATAGAGTCACAGATACGCCCAAATACGCTCCCATAACGTAAACCCAAACTTCCATAGAAAATGGTGAGAGAAACGAGAAAAGAGTAGTGACTTTCGTAGTCGATTTTTTATATAAAATACTAATTCCCGTCGTCATAAAAGGCATAGTAAAATCTACTACTTCTTCTCTGGAAGAAGTGATTGTCAGATCTACTAATGCCACATCCGCTTTCTAAGGAGGAAAAAAAAAGGAATATAAGCAAACTTTTAAAAATCTTAACGAAATTATTTATTCGAAAAAAAAAAAACAAACTCACCCCGTCTATTAATTCTCTAATCATTCCATTCCATCCGTCGTCTTCTTTTTTGCCATACTGTCCATCTTCAGCTTCTCGTATTTCGTAGTTAAAATGCAAATCTTCAGCTAACTTGTTGATCAGATCTATACAGAAACCTTCGTATCGATCGTTACCCTTCAATGTATCTATGGATTCTTTTAACATTACGTACGGGTCGTTCTGCATTTCAAAAACAATTTTAACATAATCATACCATTTTTTTTATTTATTACAATATTTATTTAAATAAACGTATCTCGTTGACTTACTTGAACTGTAGTTACTCTCAGTGTTTTATTTCTAATTCGATCGTAATCGAAAACGTGCGATACGTCGTGACGAACAATATGTACCCCAGCTTCTGGAGTCCAGTGACCAATCTAGTTTAAAAAATTAAATGATTTTTTTTATTCTTAAATATAATTATTTTTGCAATTTATTATTATCAAATTTCTCATCACCTTTACAACACCTTCTTTTGTCAAATGCAGAATATCTAAAACAAATTCGGACGACCGAAATCCTTGAGAATCGAAAGAAACTTTTCCCGTAGAGCCTTGTAAGCTTATCTGAAACCGAAAAAAAAACAAAAAGAAATTGAATTCAGAGACATGTAGGCTATATTTTATTAAATTCTTTACCAAATATAAATCATTTAAAACAAACTTGTTACATATTTACTATAATACATGCATCAAATACGTATAAAATAACATTTTTCTTCTCTGCTTATTTATTTATATTTATAAGAAGCGAATGGAAGATGTCATTTAGAGAAGGCAAACGTATAAGTTTTGTAACCCAGTCTAAGCACAATGATTAATCATCAAAAATAATGTTTGGATATCGCTAAACTAACAACAGGAAAAGAAAAATCAATAGAGCACCCAAGCCTAGAAATATCACTGCACTATCTTTAAGCAATTCTCAATCTCAATCCACACGGCGAAAATATCACAAATTATTAATTTACGCTCGTCGTATTTATATCATTTCCTTTTTAAAACAAGCACGCTTAAGATTAATTTTATATAACAAAAAAAAATAGATCTATTCTAAAAAAAATTAAGATAAGTAATCAGAGTAGACTACACCAAATGCTTCTTACTAATATGTTAATACGAAAAATAACGCATGCATTATTTTAAGCTTAATTAAATGCGAACGAAGTTATTTATGCCTGTGTTTGTTTTAGATATTTTTAAAAAGGATGGTTGTTATAAAAATTCACGTCACGATAACTGTCGTGACGTTACTATCTTAAGAATTGTTTCTTTAAAATTTGAATTCCGAGCATAAAATAAATTCCGCCTTTAAGTAATTAACTTCCGCTTTCTATACTAACTACAAAAGCCGAATAAATTCCCTGCATTTTCGCGTCAGAAAATATTAAATTTACTAGTTTTAAAGTTAGATCGAAATCGAAAGCTTAATTTATTATCTTAAGATTTACTTTAAATAATCAAACACTTACGGGTTTCATATAGTTAATAATACTCGTTCCGTCTGATCCTCTAACACCATTTTCACACGAAATTGAGGGGAAATCTATCGTTCTACTCGCATCTAAATCTTGCAATGCCATAGCAAATAACTTCACCGCGTCGTACATAAGAGCAGTCTCTGTCTAGAATGTAAAATAAAGTCAATTTCCATTTAAAGTTAACATCGTGTAAAAAAAAAGGGGGAGGAGAAAAACTTACTCTGATATTTTCTGATTGATTCGTTCTGTTCCTCTTCAATCCTTTATATAAATTTTCATATTCTTGGCTTTCGGTTTTCACTAGACGGAATCCGGTAATATTAGTGTATCCGTAACGAAAATCTTCCAAATCGATAGTGTGAAAATCCTTTTAAAATAAAATTCCATCGGTTTCGTTAATTGGAATTTGTTAAAAACTTTATCAACAAGTAAAATTTCGCATTAAATAAACTTCTCCGTTAATTAATGAAGAGCGTTCGGTCTCACATCATTAATACTTTCCCCTATGAGATTTATTACTAAATTACAGATAGTTGGGTATCATTACCTGTTTCGACGATAAACGTCTCCCATTTACAAGTTTAATACTGTTTCTTGATCAATAAACGCTATTATTTAGGCCCCACAGATAATACAAGTTATATGGAAAGTATAGAAAACAAAAGAGATATACCGCAGATGGTAATTAAACTATCAATTATCCGAGCTAATTTCGTTGCCCTTTATTATTATTATTTTTTTTTAATATAACAAATCAATCGATTTTTTGATTTAATAAGGAAAAAAACTCACTAGAGAAGTGATGAGGTAGGCGTGATTTTCGGTCATCATCCCGACTTGTTGAGCCTGAAAAATTTATAAATTTAAATCTAGAATAAATATATAAAACGTTTTATTATTTAACGTAGAATATTAACTATTTGCATCACGTCAAACTTCGATAATCGGTCATTTATTAAAATTAAAAATTAGTGTTCACGCTTTAGAAAATTAACCGTTTTAAGAAAAATTGTAACAAGGCAATGAACCTTATTTCTTTTTTTTTTTATTTGACTTTGAAATCGTTCGAACGAATCTGATTACTTTCGTTACGTTACAGGTTTTTTTATTTAATAAAAAAATAGGCAAGTAAAATAAATAAAACTAATTTTTGCTTACGTGTTTCAGGACGATTTCAATATTTTCCCGTTTAACATCCAAGATGATATTCCTCTCTTTCTTAATCGACCAAAATAAATCTCGGTAAGGTTCGGATGGTTGAAACTGATAGAGATTGACTTTCCAGCGTTTCCTCTGTGCTTCCTTCAGGAAATCTTGAAGGCGTATGATGCCTGCAGATTATAGGAAGAGGACTGTTGAAAGGCTAAATGACTCGTAAAAAAAAAGAACCGTTTTCCTGCTTTACCTTCCGGTTCTTCATAGACTAGAGAGAATTCTGTCCATTTCCATCCGTCCACTAAATCCACATAGGCACGACTCAGGACGGAAGGCCGCGGAAATAAATTAATAGATAAATCGTCTCTTTGCGATTGGAAATCCCAGCGTGTTTCCACGTGAGGCACATCCAAGGCATCACATATTGCTTGAACGTGCATGCTGGTGACATCAGATTGGGGACCAAATATACCAGCTATGCCTTGCTGCAACAAGCTACATACTAAAAGAAATAAGAGGCTATCAGATTATTCTGGAAGTAATCATAAATTCTGCTGCATTTAATTACGATTTAATGTTGTTTACGTCCAACAGAAGATACGAAAACAAGCTTAAATCATAATTTCTTTATACGTATCCGTCCTTTCTCTTTGTGAAATATTTTGATTTGGAACAGGAGCGAAAGGAGTTTTATCGATTCATAAATTGGTATATCTCGGATACTTGACGTCTCTGCACGGCAATTCGGAGAAAAATTCGATTGTAATACTAGCTATTTGTCCATAATATATTTCCAAAATTCAAAAATAAGATTTTTAAACTAAAGCAGAAGAGATGGGTCATCCTTAACAAACAAACAGAGGGGGGGGCACGCGAAGAGATCGGAAGAAATGCCTTTATATATATATATATATATATATATGATTAATCAATGTCTGCAAAACTGTTGGAGAAAGTAGAAAATGGAGTTATCTCGTGTAATTTTAGTAGCACCGAACGAAAAGTACTGTACCTCCTTTTGTTGTTGTTTCTTTTTTTTAATATTCAGAATATCGCATGCAGGATATAGGATGCAATATATTAAGATGGGTATCTATCCGCTGAAGAGAGATGGCGTAAACTGGACGGTATAGATGAAAACTATCGATTTTACGAAAGTAGTTGACCCTGTTTACGTTAAGATAAAATAATAAACACGTTCGAAACAAAAAGAGAAACTGTTCTAAATATTAAAATGGAGGTATGTTAGGGTGAAGAATCGATTTATTCTTCCACTAATTGCTACTGAACTAGGATCATCGGTTAATCGATCTTAATACGTCAGTCAAAATCCAGCAATACTTAAGAATATATATATATATATAATTTTTTCGAAAAATATAAGCCTCTACAAGTATTAAAATAAGTTATCGTATAACTTGATATTTTCACAAGAATCTTCTTGTTATATAAATAATAATAAAAAAAAAGGAACAACGTATAATACATTTGAATAAGTAAAACAATGTTTTCTTTTCATTTATGTATGACGTTTTTCTTTTGCAACTCTGGTTGGACGTAGAAATTACTAAGAATTAATAGATTTTATTTATAGTAGATTAGTTACTGCTATAATAATATTTGCGTTTACTCACATTATCCAATCAAATAATTAAACTATTTGTCTAAATAACATATATTTAATCATGTTATTGATCGATTATACAGAGTTTACGTTCTCCGTCCTGTCATCTTTATTATAATTATTATTAATTTGATTTAGAAAATAATATTTTTATATCCTTTTTTTTTTACTAATTAAAAAAATCGTAACCTAGAAAAATCATACTTTTTCATATATATATATATTACCTTTTTTTGTGGCTCTAAAGCTGTCATCCGGTCCTATTCGTTCTACTACAGCCTTCAGCTGGGTTCTTGGAAGTAGAGTGCTTTTATCATTATTGATATCATCGATAGCAGTCTTGAATGCCCACTCTTGTTCTTCATCTTTGGTATCAAAAAGACCACCTGAAACAATTAATGCCTATTTTACTAAACTAATCTCCTATTTAATTCTCAAAACCCTCATATTTTCCTATCGATAAACAAAGCTGCATCACGTGTTAAGGCATTAAATTTCTCTGTAGATATCGAACTGCTAATTCCGATATAGAGAATGGTTTGATGTTACAAGTTACTTTGTTAATTATTGATTGTTTCCTTGATGAATCGGATCGTTATAGTTTGTAAAGTTTTATAAATTTCCCTTATTTCTTTCTTTCTTTCTTTGTTTTTGTAAAGAGAAATGTTAATCAACTCAATTCAACTATGTCAAGTGTAATGTATTCTGTTAAGCATAAAAAGAACTCTATACTATTTTTTCTCCTTGAATGAATCTAGTATCAAAAATAACTTTACTTGAAAAAAAAAAAAACAGTATTATATTCTCTCTATGCTTTATATTTTATTTACATAACAAAATATCAATTTAATTTACGGCTGCACAAAGTTAAATATTTAAACAAAACTAATACATTAATACAGATAGAGTTTTAATGACAAATATCGTTTATTAAAGTTTCATATAACATCCAAACTAGATTTGCAAGAAAGATGATTAATTTTAATAATTCAACTATCAGGAAACCATTTATATTGAGGTCTATCTCATAAATATTTAACAATTTACTTTAATTGCAATTTAATGTTTAAAAATGCAATTGATAATTTATTGACTTTATCAAAAAACATGTTAAGGTCTACGTACTTTGAAGGGACGTTTAACGAGTCGCAAGTTAATATATATAGGCTATACAAGTTGAAAGGGATAGCTAGGATTGATATCAAAAGATTATTTTTAGATAAATCTACTCTAGGATACAAGACATACCACGCGATCGGGATAAAACAAACATCACATCACAATTCGTCTTACAGGAAAAAAAATCCTACCTAATTTAATGATAGCAGGTAGTGACGTCGTTAAATGGAAATAATAACATAATATTATGCACAGAGCGATACTCGAACGCCACATTTTTTAAGTCGTGATCGAGTTTAGAAAGACATGGCGGTAGAGTGCTTTGGACACTAAAACACTGCGTCAACTCGGAGGGTGTTTGACATGCGCAAAATTGTTCTGTCCTCATCTCGCTTCTCCATCTTTGCTCTCCATCCTCCCCGCTTCTCTCTAGGATGTACGCTCGTCTGAGGCCTTATAAAAACATTTAAACGTTTTAAAAGTAATTATTGCTTTACGAAATAATCTAACCAACACCTAATCTACGGTTTTTATAATATTTCGACTCTGTTTATATTATTATTATTATTATTGTTATCTATTTTTATTACTTTTTAAAATCATTTTAAATTCTCTTTTCTCTTAGCTTCGGCATGTTGAATTCTTAAATAGAGAATCGGTCTTTTGAGAAATTTTAATCTGTTTAGTTTGGTAATTTGGAACAAAAAATAAGCTATTCATATCAATTTTTCACGACAAAATGCCATTCGAAATCACTTTTCTAACATTGTTTTCAGTTTACGATAAGAAAGAACGAATATAATGGGTAATATAAGCGAGATATATTCTAGAAAATGAGAACTAATTTACGTAATAGAAACCAGAAATGTATTTACAGTAAGCACGTCCAAATTCTACTACGTAATCATAATTTTAAAATAAATCTATTCAGTTTCTGCGAGTAAAAACATTGTACGACTTCAGATATTTCTACTCGATTTGTTAAATTAATCGAGTTTTTGTAGTTTATTTTTAGAAACAAACTGGGTTAGAAAATGATATAGCTAAAAAAAATAATAATAATAAACTACTTTTCACTTGAGAAGTTCAGTTTATAAAATATTTAAACTTCAACAAATATCATATTTGACACCCAGCATTTATTTCATAGATACTCTCAAATCTCTCTTTTATAGAAATATTAAAAATTATTCGAGAAAAATTTACTTATCTAAATTTAATAGTGAAATTCTAATTTAATGAATTTTAAATATGCTTTTAGAGATTTTTTTTTTTAAGTGGATTACATTAGAGCACGTATCGAATATTTTATCTTACGAAGAAAGTTTTTCTTTTCTTAGAAGCAGTCAGTCATCTACTTTTTAAAAAAACAGCGAGGTAGATGTTGTAGTTTATTCCTGAACTTAGGTCATTCTGCGAAGATGCTGGTGAATAACTTTTAAAGTTTAAGTTGTAAATTGTAACTTTAGTGAATTGTGACACTGCCTGTGATTCTAGTTTTTCTTTTCTTTTATTATATAAAAATTGCTTTTATTTATTAGAAATTATTGTGAAAACCAAGTAATTAACTTTGCTTTAGTTTATTAAAAAATATATATATATGTAACATCACCATGTTAGAATGAATTAACTCAGAATATAGTTTCATTTTTTTATTTTTTTACAAAATAAAAAATAAAGAAAAAGTAATCATTACTTAAAACTTGTAATTTTTGTAATTATCTACACAATTAAAAAAAAAATGAGTGAGCTTTAATGTACAACAGATCTTTATTATGAACACAAAAAAGCACATTATGACAAACATAACAATTCTGCTGTGTTCAAGAATTCGCTCCGAATCAACCAGTGACCGGACGAATCCGTTACAGAATCCCAACCAATAAACCAAAATGGAGGAATTGAGTAACTTTCAACCAAAACCAATAAACAATATATATAGACACACTATCAACATTCAAAACACAAACATAAACTTGACTTACAACAGAAAGTAGCTGTCATAAAATGTTATTTATAAATAACAAGCAAAATAGATATCAAATGTAGTTTGTGAACAACTTTCTTATTTATATTAAAAATAATATAATAATAATAATAATATAATAATAATAATAAATGAAAAATTCCCCAAGTTTTCAACAAACCACATTTGAAATTTGTTAAGTTTTATAAAATTAAGCCCAATCACCCATTCCCCTAACAGATACAACAATAAATGTTGAACCTGTCTGTTTCGACAATAACTCAATTGCCAGAAGAAGTAATTGTGGCAGTGCACTCTCGCGTAGTATTCCGCTTGATGACACTTGGTTCTTCAGTATGGCACATAGAACACGAGGGATTGTACGCGAGAGTTTTAGACAGTGCTTTTCCTCTGACGAGAGAGTTGTTGCATTAATAGAAATCGTTAAAAGTTCATGGCTGTGAGTAGCTGTTATATCACAGACTGCGATGAGAGGAAGGGTAATAGTCTGGCGAAGGTTCCGCAACCGGTTCTGGCGTAGTGTACAGGGGGTTGGGAAAATCCGGTGGATGAGGCAGTGGTCCTGAAGTTTTTGACTTGCGCCTGTAGGCCATTAACCAACAGGATATGGCTACAGCTACAGCTACTAATGCTAGAAGGGTCGTTATCACCAAAGAGATAATGAGTCCAAGTTTTGGTAGGCAAACATTATCAATCTCTTCAATTGTTGGCCCTTTAATAAAAACTTTCAATTAGCATATGCATAAATTTTCCTTTTTCTTTTTTTATATATAATTTTTTTAATATCTTACCTTCTGTAGTAGGTGCAACTTGAGTCTCTCTCCTTTCTATTGTGAGTATTGCATTAGATTGTACTGTAATTTCTTCTCTCAATGCACCCTCTTGGAAACTGTCTCCTCCAACCACCAAATCTCTATTGTCTGCTTGACGCTTACGTCTTCCGTGAGCATCAATACCATTACAGTTAATCTATAATAAATATAGTATTGATTTAATAAAAGAAATTTTAATCATAAACATTTACAAAAAAATTTTCAATTAGAAATTACCGGTGGGCAGGAGCCGAAACAAACTCTGATATTGCATTGGAAACGTAAATTGTTACTAGTAGGAAATTTAAATGCATTAAACCTTGCACGAAGTGTTTTATCAGTATGATTGAGTATCCAATTTCCAAAAATTTTGGGTTCAGTGGCACATCCTTCATTATCTGTAACTTCGTATTGTATTTCTTCATTGTCTTCCATTGTTTTAGCCACACAACTTCGAGCAAAACCTCCATAAATATCTAGATTAAAATATTAGTTTAATCTTACTACAAGTATGTTTATAATTAACATTAAAATAAATAATTTTCTTCTAAAATTACTTACAGTCAGGTTTCACTTCCACTTTAAGTAAGAGATTTTCTCCAATCTCTGCACTACTGACTTCTTCCTCCCTATCTGATATAATAGTCATCAGACAAGTAGGTGGTGGACCAGTATTTGCAATTGTTCCAGATGTTGTGATCATACTGTAAATTAATTGTTTTAATGTTACATTATCTTACTTTCAAATCTTACAAAATCTAAACCTAATTTCACTATTATTTACCTGACATTAAATCCAAGTGTAATTGTCTTTTCTCCAGTACTGTATACACATTTTATATGATAAGCTCTTGCACGATATGTCACTAATTTAGGATGTTTTTGAATTACCAAAATAAATGATGCTTCTCCCTAGAAACAGAATAATTATAATTTAATATTACTATTAAATAAAATATTTAAAATATTAATAATTAAAAACTTACATTTAAGTGAATAAGACCACACGTGTTAAACAACACTTTGAAATCAATGATTTCTCTCTCACTACTACTGACTATTCGGCGACACTGTGGATCTTGGCTCTGTCCTTTCACATAAATGACACCATTAAAACCATCTAATTGTATAGACACTTGGATGCCATCTGCTAAGCATACAACTAAATAAAGGACAAAATGTGTTAAAATTAGTTTTTAATATAAATAAATTTAAAATGGAGTTTGGTATTTTATTATAGAATTCTTACCTGATAAATCGCTTGGAGGTGGTGGAGTTTCTGGTGGTTCTTCTATAAAAATTTATAAATTAAATTAAATAACAATTCATTTAAATGAAAATTTATAATTTTTTAAGTTTTTGTAATCTTAAATGTACCCCTCTTGTAGCATCCAAATGTCGTGTCATACGGATCTCCTCTGGTATGCGGTGGACAAGTACAAATAGCTTCGTGATTAGTGACTGTACAAGCAGCACTTTTACCACATCGATAACATGGGTCTAGCAATAAAACAATAAACATTAATAAATTGCTAATTAATTTTTATTTCAGATATTAAGCTAATGGTTGTACTTACTAATACATTGTCCACTACCAACACTGCATTCTTTATCAGAGGGACAATCTTCATTTGATCGACAACTCTTATCAATAACTTCACCTAAATGATTTCAAACATTAAATTTTTATATTTAAAATCAATATTTACGTTTTAAAATGTTTTCAAAATAAAAAATAACTTACATCCAGTGATATATGCATCACCAATAGTGCCTGCTGGACAAGTGCATCGACGACTTCCCGGTAAATTGACACATTTGGCACCGGGTGCACAGGGATGTTCAAATCTTTCACATTCATCAATATCTGAAAGAAATACAACATATTTAAATTAAATTCCTATTAAAAAGATATTTTTTATCTAATTAATGGGGCTGACCTTTACAAATTCCATTTGTCATTATTTCATATCCTCTGGGGCAAACACAAAAACCTAACATTTGTCCAGTGTAAAGACATTCTTCATTGGATGGACAAGGATTTGTAGTAGTGCAATTTCGACTTGTCACTAAAAAATAAATATTTATTTTAATTAAACTTACACAGTTATTTATGATAATGTGACAGTAAAATTCCATTATGAGAATATTTACATAAACAATAATCTCCAAGACGCTGATAATCTGGTGGACAACCACACGTTTTACTATCCAAACAAACAAGATTTCCAGGACATGAATAATCTCTGCCGCAAATTTCCTCTGAAATAGTAATTTTAATTTTTAAAATTATATTTGATACCTTATCAGATACTAAATTAATCTTATTAAATTAATGTGAAAACTTTGTAATTGTGATATTAAAATATAAAACTGTAATACCTCTATAACATCCAGAATATGCATTTCCTACATAGCCCGGAGGACAAGAACATTTTGGTTTATGATTTTCTGCACGGCACAAAGCATTTCTTCCACAATGTTGTTTTAATGAGCAAACATCTAAAAATTTTAAATAATCATGCATAAAAAATAATTTTATTAAAAATTTATTATTATTCTATGATTTAGATATTACCATAGCATTCTTTAGTATGAAGATCACAAGCTTCGTTATATCTACATTGGTGATCGCTTGAACATCCCACATCTTTACGTCGACAGATGCCATTATACGGTTCCCCCTCAAATCCACTTGGACAATAACATTCATAACTTCCAAGTGTATTTCTACATTCTGCTCCATCTCCGCATATATCAAAGCCACCTTCGCTACATTCATCAACATCTAAAAAATCATACATCAGTTTATTTTTAAATCTTAATATATATCTTTTGCATTTATTCATTTAAAAAAATTTACCTATACAAACTCCAGTTGTAAGTAGTTTAAATCCTCTTGGACACACACAGAATCCAATATCACTTCCAACATATACACACTGTTGGTTTTCTGGACACGGATTAGTTGTTGTGCAATTTATACTAGTAACTGTAATATAAAATCGAGGAGTATTAAAATAAATTTTATTGTTTTTATCATCACAGATATAATTTAAAATGTGCAAATAATAAAAGCAAAGTATTTATGGTTTATATCAAAACCAGAAAATATAAGTATGAATAAATAGAGCAAAAATAATTCAGTATTTAATTAGCAGCAATAAAAGCCAAATGATTCAGAAATGCACAAAAACAGGAATTTATTAAAAAAGAAATATTTTATTCTTACGAATGCAAAAGTCCGAAAGTCGTCTAAATTCTCCCGGACATCCACAGTATCCATTTGGTAAACAGAAGAGATTTCCAGGACAACTTTGATGGCTTTGACAACCCTGAACTGAAGGATTTATTTTATTATTTTCTATCCATGTTTTTAAATATTAATATTAAAAAGTAAGTATTAATATGTTAGACTTACTGAAGAAACAGCCTCTTGTTGGTTCACCAGAAAATCCAGCCCTACATTCACATTGAGGAATGTGCTTACGAACGTGACATTCGGCATTGCGTCCACACGGATTTTTAACTATGCATGGATCTATTTTCATAAAATCTCGACATTAATATCTCTAAACTTGATAGCTATATTTTACAAATCTAGCCATTATAATATTTATTAATTACCATAGCATTGTTGAGAGACAGTATCACAAGCTAGGTGATCTGGACATTCGCCATCGTGAAGACAAGAACCTTCTGGACGATGACCTAAATTAATAAACAAAATTAATTATAGCTGAAAATTGACAAAATGCGAACATACATTAAAAATATACATTACAGCCTGAAACGTAAGGTTCTCCTTCAGTTCCTGGAGGACACTGACATCTGTAACTGCCAACAGTATTGAAACATTGTGCACCATGTCCACATGGGAAAGGAGTCTGCTCGCATTCATTCAAATCTAAACATGTCAAGGAAAATATAAGTATAATACAATATAATTTTCTCCATTTATTTACAGTAATCTAAAAAATGTTACCTCTGCAGATTCCATTAGTCATTAATACAAAACCACGTGGACAAACACAGAATCCGGTAGAACCACCAGAATATACACATTTTTGATTTTCCGGACAAGGGTTGGTTGTTGTGCAATTTTGACTAGTCACTGAAAAAATATACAATCGTTTTTGAAATATATGAAAATAAATTAACTTTCTGAGAAATTTTAAAATTTAAAATGTATACTTACGTATGCAAAATACTCCAACTTGTTTAAATGGTTGAGGACAACCACAATAAGAACCGAGACAGTGAAGATTTCCCGAACATTCTTGGTGCGAATGGCATGTTTCGACTGTACAAAATATATAAGTTAATGATTATAATAAAAGATGTTTCGTGTTATTAATCAATACTTACAAACACTACATTCGACATAAGGATTTCCGGAAAGTCCCGACGGACAGTAACATTCATGCCGATGATTAGATGCCTTGCATAGTGCTCCTCTTCCACATACTCCTCGTTTTGTACATACATCTGCATTGTTTGAAATTATTTTAAATTTTCATGGAAATATATCAATAAAAACAACTACATATTTATTTTTTTATATAAATTACCATAACATTCTTTAGTCAGGGTGTTACAAGCTTCATTATCGGCACAATCGTGGTTGTGCGTACATCCTGGTATTATTTCATGGCCTACACGAAATAAAATAAATAAGTAAAATATATTCTAAAAATAACTGCAGGATAATTATTACTCTTACATCTTCCTTTGTAAGGATCTCCATTAAAACCAGGTGGACAGTTGCATCTGTAACTTCCAGGAATATTAGTACAAATAGCACCGAAGGAACAAGGACCTCTATCCTTTAAGCATTCGTTAATATCTAAAATTTAGAAAACGAAGTATATTATATATTTTGAATTATTAAAGCTTATTATTTTTTTTAACTAAAGGTTACAACTCACCTTTACATTGATGGTTAACACAGATATAACCAGAACCACAGTCACTGTTTGTTTCACATTCATATCCCACTAAAAAATGGAAAAAAGTATTTTTAATGAATTTATTTACAGTTAATAACATATGTCAGTTCTCTTGGCTAGATGGCTGAGATGGCAAATGCTTCAGTCTGCAATTCTAATAGATCAGATCTTCAGAAAATTTTCACAAATAGACTATCCCCACATTTTTTCAGCCAGTGGACCCCATAGAAGTCTGTGGAACTCTGTGAGGGTCTGTGATTCATCATATTGTGGAGTTTTAGGAGTCTACGACACAAGAAACTTTGAGAAACACTGGTCGAGCCTAGATAACTCAAACCTATCTCTCGCTAGCCAGCCACTACACCATGGGCCCACTGGATTTAGTAAAAGTCCATCTTAGGTACAATGGATTTAGTAAAAGTCCATCTTAGTACCCATGGGGCAAAAAGAATTAATAATAATATATAATTTACAAACTTACACAGAGTGCACTGCGTGTGCGGATTTCCTTCGTAACCCGGAAGACAAGTACATATTCCCGTGTGATTGATCGGACGGCACTGGGTGTTAACGCCACACAATTCTCCAACATAGCAAGGATTCTGACATACACGATTAATACAAGCTTTGTCAAATGGACAGTTATCGTGCGTTCGACAACCAACTAAGAAAAAACGAAAACAACAATAGTAAAATTTCTACTTTGAAAGAAAATAAAGGTTACAAGAAAAGTACATACATATACATTCTGATTTTGAACATATTTGTCCGACTGCACAATCGGAATCTCTTCTACAACCTGGTTCCGCAACTGAATAAAAAATTGAATTGTAATTTTTATTCTTTAATTTAAAAAGCCAATTAATTAAACTTCACAAATTACTTACTCAATTCGCATGCAATTTGTGGATTGTCACCAGTATATCCAGGCGGACAACTACAATGAGCATGATGGTTAATGGGGGTACAGATGGCTTGTCTTCCACAAGCTGCACTAAACTCACATGGATTCCTACAGACGTGCTGATGACACATTTGATCATAGGGACAATTGTCATTCGTCCTGCAGCCCGCTACAATATTTTCCAAATTTAAACATAATCTCATCAAAACTATAAAATAGTCACACTTCTTAAGATAACTTACGTATGCAACGCGTATGTTCACAATAGTAGCCAACGGTGCAATCTTTGTCATGGAAACAAACTTCTTGGAAATCAACTAAAAGATAATTAACAGTTTGTTAAGTACAACGAAGAATTTTCTATATAATTGATTTAATAAAATTATTTACTTTTTGTGCATTGCACTCTAGGATCACCCTGATGACCGGGGAGACAAATGCATTCTCTGTCATGATTAAGAGGTTTGCATAGAGCGTTTTGACCACAAACGCCAGCAATATTGCAGGGATTTTCGCAAGCTTTGTTTACACATGATTCTTCAAAGCCACAACTGTAATGAGTTCTGCAGCCATCTGAAAATAAAAATAATAAATATGTTTTTAAGTTAAATTATATTAATGCTAAAATTTAGAATCAAAAATTATAATTACTTACCAATACATTTATTATGTTCACATATTTTTCTTACAGGACATTCAAGATCATGTTCACAATAGTCAGAAGGCACTAGGTAAGAAATTTAATTTCTTTTTAGTAAGGTTTGAATTTGTGGTACGGAATTTTTACTAACAGTTACAAAATCCCAAATGTTTTGAGCAAAGGTTATTAATATTTAAAATGTTTTACCACTCACCAAGAGTACAAGATATTAATGGATCACCACGATGATTCGGTGGGCAACTGCAAACCGGTCTGTGCTGCCAAGGATAACAGTCGGCATTTGTTCCGCAACTGCTCGGTAACAGGCAGGGATTCTGACAACGTCCGCTTATGCAAGCCTGATTTTGAGGACAGTTATTATCATGTCGACAACCCTCTGAAAATGTTTCATTTTAAAATTAGTAACTTTAAATAGATTAATTTTCGATAATTTTAAAAAAATTGATTTTCATCTTACCAATACATCTATGATTTTCGCACATTAAACCGATAGAACAGTCACGATCAACATAACATTCTTTAATATCCTCTGTAAAATACATATCGTAAAATTATACAAATCAACTTAAATGTTGATGATATAACTATAGTATTTCGAATAAAGGAATTTGTTGCTCAGAATTACTCGAATAGAATTTTTAAAATTTATTAAAGTATATACTAACCCTGACTGCAAACAACATTTGGATTTCCTTTGAAATTATGAGGACATGCACATTTGGCTTCGTGATTAAATGGTTTACAAATAGCATTTCTTCCGCAAGCTCTGTATTGGCCGCAAGGATTCTGACACAATCTATTGATGCAAGCTTCAGTCAGAGCACAATTCTGATCAGTTCTGCAACCAACTAAACAAGAAAATATTTTAATTAGTATCATATTTATTTAAATAAATCAATAATAATAAAATTATTTTACTTACTGATGCAATGTTCATATTCACATATGTGCTGTATGGGACAGTCCGTATCTACTCGACATTCTGGTGGCTGAACTGAAATTAAAAATAAACAATATATAAATGGAATTCTTCAAAGATTTGATAACTTTGAGAATGATATATTTACCTATTTTACATTCTACATTTGGATCACCGACAAATCCAGTAACACACGAGCAAATTGGTCGATGTCCTTCGCCTCTACATTCTGCATTTATGCCACAAACATTAGACAACCTACATACTTTTTGACATCTTCTCTTTGAACAGGCCTCATCTGGTTCACATTGATAGTCATTTCTGCAACCAGCTACAATAAAAACAAATAAATAAATTTTCAATTTAAAATTTTATATAATAAAAAGAACTCTAAACAAGAGGGAGTGTACTTACGAATACAATTTCCACTTTCACAGATTTCGTGTTGATTGCAGTCGCTATCAACTGTACACCTTTCATCTTCTCTATCTAATTATCATATTATAAAATATTAATTTGGTAAATTAAATAATATAAAAATCAAAAAATAAAGTGGTGTCTTACCTAATGTACATCCATGTTTTGGATCACCTCTGAAATTCTCAGGACATCTACAGTTGGCTTGATGATTGACAGGATAACATTCGGCATTACGTCCGCAAGCATTATAAAAGCTGCAGGGATTCTGACAACGTCTGTTGATACAAGCTTTGTCATAGGGACAGGTATCGTGAGTACGACAAGCATCTATACATTCGTTGTTCTCACAAATAGTTCCAATACCACAGTCGGAATCTCCAAAACAGAAATTAGATGGTACTACAAATTGAAATGATATGCATTGTTACATTAAATGACTAAAGACATTTCAATAGGATAAAGTATATAAGACTTACATTCTTCACATTTTACATTTGGATCACCAGTTAATGGTGCAGGACAGGAACATATAGGTTGATGTCTTACTGGAAGGCATTCTGCATTTTTACCACAAGCATCGGGGAAGGAACATGGATTTTTACATTGCCTGGCAATACATGCTTTATCGTAAGGGCAGTTCTCATCTGTACGACATCCAACTAAATAAAGAAAAATATAAAGTTAAAAACAGGAACATTTAAAACGATCTTTTAAAATATACTATTGAATTAATTTAATACAAAACAAATAAACGAATAATATCAACCAAAAATATTGCTTACCTGTACAACGTGAAGTTTCACAAATATGTCCAATATTACAATCAACATCGGCAATACATTCGACAAATGGCTTTGGAGGAACTAAAATACAGAAAATGTAAAACAATAACTTATTTTAGTTTAAAAATAAAATCTTTACCACATCTTAAACAGAAATAACATACTCTTATCACAATAGTCGTAAGGATTTCCACGATATCCTTCTAAACATGTGCAGTGAGGTCGATGTACGACCGGACGACAGAGAGCATTATGACCGCAAGAGTCCCTAGAAGTGCAAGGATTTATACAATGACTATTTCTACATGCCTTATCAAAAGTACAATCAGAATCTTGACGGCATCCAGCTATAAAAAACAAACGAACATTGTTCATATTATCTTTTAAACTGAAGACACTACTAAAGCTAGTATTAATAATATGATGTTCACGTACGTATGCATTGTTTGTTTTCACATATCTCTCCGGGATTGCAAGCAGAATCTGATCTACATCCAACCTCTTCATCTAAATAATTATTCATATTTCATTGTTAAAATTAAATCTTAATAAAACTACTGAGACAGTCCATTAATTTAACTTACATATGCAAACATTATTTCTGCAAACAAAACCAGAATGACAGTCATTATCTGTATGACACTGAACTCTGTCTTCTTCTTTCGGAACACATCTAACTTTTGCATCTCCCTTAAAGTTGGTCGGGCAAGTACATTCCACCTGATGGTTATACGGTCTACAAATAGCTCCGACACCACAACTGTGAGGGACCTGACAAGGATTGCTACATCTTCCGTGAATGCAAGCTTGATCCAGAGGACAATAGTTGTGATTTCGACAACCCACTACAGAAACGACAACTGTCATCAGAATGTTCCATTTCTAAAATAAAAATTATTTGAACTATTCCTTACCGACACATTTGTTGCTGATGCACATCTTTCCCGGTCCGCAATCTTTGTCGACGTAGCAGTCGACGGGAACTGAGAAATAATAAATTGTAAATATCTGCATTTATTTTATTATAATTACGATGTATTTCGATTTATACTTACTTGCAGTACAATGCCTCTTAGGATCTCCAGTGTAATCGGGAGGACATTTGCATATTTCCATGTGATTCGCAGGAGTACATTCTGCATTAGTTCCGCAAGGATTAACTTCACAGGGATTTTCACACTTCAATCGAATACAAGCACGAGTAAAGCTGCAATCGCTGTTGCTTCGACATCCATCTATAAAATAATTCAATTTTTAAGAGGAATTTATTTACCGAACGAAAATTATCCTTTCTCTAGTAATCCGTACTTACATATACAATCTGCATTTTCACAAATCTGTCCTTGATGGCAATCATTATCAGAGGTGCAACCTTTTACAACTATAAAAAGACAAATAAAATAATTTAAATATTAAAAAAATAATAATTGAAAGGTAAAATATGAATTGAAGTCTTACTGTCGCAACTATTTTGGATACATTTCTGTCCAATCGGACAATCACTGTCTCTCCTACAAGTTCCACTGACTAAAATATGGAATTGAAAATTAGTTGTAAGAAAACTTAGTTAAAATTAATATTTTGATTTAGAGTTTTGGAAACTTACTTTCTTTGCAGCGAATTCTTGGATCACCAGAGAATCCTGGCAAACAAGTACAAGTGGCTCTGTGATGCATTGGTTCACATTTAGCATTTTCTCCGCAGGCTCTTCTCAAATGGCATGGATTCTGACACTGAGAATTAATACATTTCTGATCTAATGGACAATTTTCATCGGTACGACAACCAACTGGAGTATTTAAATTCGATTATTAATATTTAGTATTTTTTAATTTACATATTACAATATGTATTTAATTACTCACGGAAGCATTTATGATCTTGACAGATGTGACTTTGTGGGCATTCGTGATCTGTCTGACATTCTTCCTTAACTGAAGACGAGCATTTTATTTAGCAATTAATTTCAAAATTAAAAAAAAAAAAAAAACAAATAAATGTAAAATTTACTTACTTATACAGTTATGGTCTTTACAAATGTGATTAGGTGGACAATCACTGTTATATTCGCATTCTACCTCTTCTGCAAATATAAATACGTAGATAAATTTACATAATTTTAAATTTATAATTAGAACAGAAAACACAAAAATATATTTAATTTTACCTTTTTCGCGACACTCATAAAGAGGATTTCCTTCTAAACCTTCAGGACAATAGCACTCGGGGAAGTGATTTTCGGCTCTACAGAATGCACCAACTCCACACACGTCACTGAAGGAACATGGATTTTGACATTGACGTTCTACACAGACTTTGTCAGTAGGACAATTTTGATTTGCACGACATCCAACTAAAATAATAAGTTTGATTTAACAAAATATATCCATAAATACTAACTAAGCAGTATAAAGACTTGATTATCCAACCTAAACAGAGAATTAATAGATTTCTGATCTAATGGGATAATTTTTGTCAGTACAGGCATAGGGTAACAAATAACCAGAATAATTCATTATATACATAACTATATATAATATGTTTTGTGTATTTTAAAACAAATTGTTAAATAGGTTTTATACCATTAATGAGACTATAAAATCTTCACCTATTCATTTTCAATCTTACATGCATGGAGTACGGGGGCATCCGTTAACTGTGTGTACAGTTTTTGAGCCATATTTGACTTCCTTGTGATGCATATAATGATGTATTTTCAGCACAACAGCAAAGATCACATAATCAAAGAGTGGATAATCAGGACTTTGTCATATATAAAAATATATGTTTACTTACCTATGCAATGGTAATTTTGACAAATCTTTCCTTGAACGCAATCCGAATCAATGATGCAATCAACTATAATTATGAAAAAAAAAGAAATAATTTAATTTATAAATAAATTACATAGGATAATATACATTTACTTTACGATGTAATTTACCTTTGCTACATTCTACTCTTGCATTACCAGTGTAATCTGGTAGGCACGTACATACCGCTCTATGATTTAAAGTTTGGCACTGAGCATTTTTACCACATGCTGCCGGACTAGCACATGGATCTATAAAATAATTTTAAATTAAAAATTTTTGTAGAAAATGAGAAAAAAAATCTAAAAATGTCAGATGTGTAGGTGATAACTTAAAAATGAAGAAAAATTGTAATTAACATCAAAAAATAGATTTGGAGTAAATTGATGATAATTTTGAATTTAACTAAATGGAACTTCAGAACAATAAAGCCACTATTTCTAGATACTTACTTATACATTGATGACTGATACATTCTTCGTTAAATTGACATTCGGAATCGACACGACATCCAGCTGCAAATAATATGGAATATAGTTAACCCTAAAAATAAAATATTACAATTTTTATATATAATTACTTACCTATACATTGTCCTGATTCACAGATAAATCCATTAGGACAACTTCTGTCACTCGTGCAAATTACTGTTAAAGTAAAATGTTTAATGAGTATCTAATTTGAATAATTTGCTTATTAATAAGCTATAAAACTATTATAGTTACCACTGCATCTTCTTTCAATACATTTTTCATTATCAAAGCAATTGTTATCACTACTGCAGGTTACTGAAAATCATGTTTTGAGTTAGTTAATTTGATAAAATATATTTTAATTTTTGTTCTTATAATTCTACAAATTACCTCTACAGACGGAAGCTTCGCAGTACCTTCCCAACCCACACTCGTCGTCTGCCTTACAGTAAACGGCAACTAAAATGTTTATTTATATTTAATATATTATATATTATACTTCGCAAATTTAATTTGAAAATCTGCGTTAATTAATTCAATTACCTCGAATACACTCGGAATATGGATCTCCGGTTGTTTCCGAAGGACAGGTGCAATGTACTTCATGATTAACGACTTCACATAATGCATTTGTACCGCATTTTGCAGTACTGCTACAAGGATCTGAAATAAAAACAAATATTTAAAAGTTGTTCAATAGCCAAGGTAATAAAGGCAGAGTAAATCTNGGACAATTTTGATTTGCACGACATCCAACTAAAATTTAATTAAAGGTATATTAAGTATGTATTGTCTTCTAACAAAAACAGTTTTCTGAATTAATAATATTTTTTATAAAATAAAAATAATAATTACCACGACAAACATTCTGTTCGCATATTTCTTCAGAAGGACAATCCCTATCTCTAAAGCACTGAATGCGACATCTTCTGTCAACACATCTCTCATTAACAGCACAGTCTTGCACACCGATACAAGTGACTGAAGAGACACATCACTTATTAGCCATAATTTTTAAACAGAAATCAAAAGAATTTTTTAAAATTTGCAACATACCACTGCAGTGTCCGTTATAGCAAACGGAACCAGGCGGACATTCAGAAGAAGTAGTGCAAGTAACGAACGGACGAATACAACCGACGTTTGCATTAGGTCGACCAATGAAGCCAGTCAGACAAGTACAGATAGACTGATGATTTATGACTTTGCACTCTGCGTTGGGTCCACAAGTGGCACTTGCTTGACAAGGATCTATTAATTATTTAAATTATTAATTTAAAATATTTTAAATTCAATAAAAGAAACAAACAGATTAATAAAACTGTATAAAATATTAATTTAATATTAAATTTTAAAAATCATACCTATACACTGATTACTGATACAAGCAAGATGATCCAAGCATTGCTCATTTGTTCTGCATCCAACTAGTTAAAAATAAATTAATTTAATTATTCATTCCATTTACTTTAATAAGATACAAGTAAACTACTAAATACCTTGGCATCTATTTCGAATACAGATTTCTTTTGATTGACAATCTTCATCATGACGACATAACGCTGTCGGAAAATAATTACTTGTTTTAAATATTATAATTAATAATAACTGAAGACGAGCATTTTATTTAGCAATTAATTTCAAAATTAAAAAAAAAAAAAAAAAAACAAATAAATGTAAAATTTACTTACTTATACAGTTATGGTCTTTACAAATGTGATTAGGTGGACAATCACTGTTATATTCGCATTCTACCTCTTCTGCAAATATAAATACGTAGATAAATTTACATAATTTTAAATTTATAATTAGAACAGAAAACACAAAAATATATTTAATTTTACCTTTTTCGCGACACTCATAAAGAGGATTTCCTTCTAAACCTTCAGGACAATAGCACTCGGGGAAGTGATTTTCGGCTCTACAGAATGCACCAACTCCACACACGTCACTGAAGGAACATGGATTTTGACATTGACGTTCTACACAGACTTTGTCAGTAGGACAATTTTGATTTGCACGACATCCAACTAAAATAATAAGTTTGATTTAACAAAATATATCCATAAATACTAACTAAGCAGTATAAAGACTTGATTATCCAACCTAAACAGAGAATTAATAGATTTCTGATCTAATGGGATAATTTTTGTCAGTACAGGCATAGGGTAACAAATAACCAGAATAATTCATTATATACATAACTATATATAATATGTTTTGTGTATTTTAAAACAAATTGTTAAATAGGTTTTATACCATTAATGAGACTATAAAATCTTCACCTATTCATTTTCAATCTTACATGCATGGAGTACGGGGGCATCCGTTAACTGTGTGTACAGTTTTTGAGCCATATTTGACTTCCTTGTGATGCATATAATGATGTATTTTCAGCACAACAGCAAAGATCACATAATCAAAGAGTGGATAATCAGGACTTTGTCATATATAAAAATATATGTTTACTTACCTATGCAATGGTAATTTTGACAAATCTTTCCTTGAACGCAATCCGAATCAATGATGCAATCAACTATAATTATGAAAAAAAAAGAAATAATTTAATTTATAAATAAATTACATAGGATAATATACATTTACTTTACGATGTAATTTACCTTTGCTACATTCTACTCTTGCATTACCAGTGTAATCTGGTAGGCACGTACATACCGCTCTATGATTTAAAGTTTGGCACTGAGCATTTTTACCACATGCTGCCGGACTAGCACATGGATCTATAAAATAATTTTAAATTAAAAATTTTTGTAGAAAATGAGAAAAAAAATCTAAAAATGTCAGATGTGTAGGTGATAACTTAAAAATGAAGAAAAATTGTAATTAACATCAAAAAATAGATTTGGAGTAAATTGATGATAATTTTGAATTTAACTAAATGGAACTTCAGAACAATAAAGCCACTATTTCTAGATACTTACTTATACATTGATGACTGATACATTCTTCGTTAAATTGACATTCGGAATCGACACGACATCCAGCTGCAAATAATATGGAATATAGTTAACCCTAAAAATAAAATATTACAATTTTTATATATAATTACTTACCTATACATTGTCCTGATTCACAGATAAATCCATTAGGACAACTTCTGTCACTCGTGCAAATTACTGTTAAAGTAAAATGTTTAATGAGTATCTAATTTGAATAATTTGCTTATTAATAAGCTATAAAACTATTATAGTTACCACTGCATCTTCTTTCAATACATTTTTCATTATCAAAGCAATTGTTATCACTACTGCAGGTTACTGAAAATCATGTTTTGAGTTAGTTAATTTGATAAAATATATTTTAATTTTTGTTCTTATAATTCTACAAATTACCTCTACAGACGGAAGCTTCGCAGTACCTTCCCAACCCACACTCGTCGTCTGCCTTACAGTAAACGGCAACTAAAATGTTTATTTATATTTAATATATTATATATTATACTTCGCAAATTTAATTTGAAAATCTGCGTTAATTAATTCAATTACCTCGAATACACTCGGAATATGGATCTCCGGTTGTTTCCGAAGGACAGGTGCAATGTACTTCATGATTAACGACTTCACATAATGCATTTGTACCGCATTTTGCAGTACTGCTACAAGGATCTGAAATAAAAACAAATATTTAAAAGTTGTNATACTTATGTAACTAATTAAATATTATATTCTCTTTAATTAAACCTTACTTTTGCACATGAGAAGCCCATGATCATCTCGTTCACAAGCAGCAGTCGGAGGACAATCGGAATTACCACTAGGACACTCATTCGGTCCTCGACCTATCATTGTAAGAAAGTATAATCATCTATTTTAAGTACAATTATCTTTTTTAAACTTGAAATACTTACATCCTGGTTCACCATATGGATTACCAATACTTCTTTCTGGAGGACAATGACATTCGTAACCACCAAATTTCACTTTGCATATAGCATTGGAATGACACGGGTTGTTTGCACAATAATCAATTAAACGACAGCCAGCAATAGGATCACCTTCATAACCTTCGTGGCAACGACAAACTGCAGAATGAGCTTGTGCAACACAGTACGCATTATTGCCGCAGAAATTTTGCAATTGACATGGATCTGCATAATTTTTGAATGATTAATGCAAAACATTTTTTTTTTAAATAATATTTTATTTTAAAATATAACTCACCGACACATTTATAATTTTCACAAACTTCATTATGGTGACAATTTTCATGCTTTTGACAATCCACTAAAGTACAAATAAATAATATTTAATAACTTCAAATATTTAATTATTAAACCAAATTATTTAGTGATTTGATAATGTTTAGATTCATACCTGGATCACATCCTCTATTCAATGGATCGCCAATGTATCCTTCTTGACATTGGCAAACGGCAACGTGATTTCTGGATAAACAAATGGAATTGCGAGCGCAAACAGTAAGGGCACACGGATCTATAGAAAGTATAATAAAATATATTCATGCTCCTCATAAAGAACTTGTCTGTAATCAATAAATTATCATCATACCCAAGCAATCCATATATCCTTGATCTCCTCTGCGACAGGCAAGAGATTCATCACATATATTATCATTTTCGCATCGATCAACTGAAAAGGGAAAAAAAACAATTAATAATCTGTACTATTAAAATGTTTATGAGTGCATTGGATACAGATTATTACCAGTTTCACATGTTCCTTCCCTACACGCTTGGCCTTGGGGACATTCATTATTTGATCGGCAAACAGCTAAAAACAAAACCATATTTAATAAACATTTTATACCTTATTCTATTCTTTAAAAATGAAAATTGATTTAAAACATACAGATACATCTTCCTTTGTCACAGCGATCATTTGGACCACAGTCTCTGTCAGAATTACAGGGTACTGAAATGTTCATTACAAAATTTTTTTAAAGTTTGTTTGAAAGAAAGAAACATTTTAAATAATGTAGTTTTAATTAAAAAATTTAAATAATAATATATAATACAGGATATCATATAAGTCCAGAACTAAAGCAGTTACGTTGATATTTGCTTTACTTGTAAGTGAATAAACTAAGTGCCAAGTAAGGAGGAATGAATTCAAGTTATTTTAATGTTGGAGTCAGAATAAAACTGCCAAAGACTTTAATAGGCTGCATCCAGATTTTCCACTGATCACAATCTAGACGCAACCTGTTAAAATCTTTATCAACTTCATGCCAACTACTCATCACCACCATCAAAATAACTTGAATTCATTCTTCCTTATTCGACACTTGTAAAAGAATAAAGAAAGATTAACAGAACTCCAATGATGAGATACTCTCAATATAAAAAGGTAAGAAATATTATAAGACATAATATACTATTTTCTACATCTTCTAATACAAATAATACATACCCATGCATACACCTTTTTGACACAATTCACCAGATGGACAATTAAGATCGACTTCACAAGTAATAATTTCTATAACATAAAATAAAATTTTGTTAATTAAACAAATCTATGTATCATTTTAATACAGCAGAATTCTGGAATTCTGAACCAATTCATCCTGCAGGTGATTCAGATAATAAAACTTTAGATAAGTGGATTAACTTAAAAACAATGAAATTACAGGGTAACAGCACAGTAATGTACAGTAGAGCGTCGTTTATCCGAAAGCTGGTTATCCGAAATGTCGGTTAACCGAAAGCATTCCAGTCAGCAAATTTAAATTTTCACTAGTGCTGTGGCGCTGCAATCTTTGGCTATATCTTGGTCTACTCCAATATTTTTTTTTGTTGGTGTGTGTGTGTGTTTAGCTGGCAGCACTGGCACTTTTGTGTGGTGTTTTTCTGAGGACTGTGTCATAAATCAAACGTTTTTGATACTGGATTAATTTCTAAAGTATTTTTTTTTTGGTTTTTATATTTTTCAATATATTTATTTTGTTTGTAAAAAATAAAGAAATAATTTTTAACGATACAATAGCCACAATTATTATTTTAAAAAGTTTACACTAGGCTTAACATCGACAAAAATTCAACACGAAGCGACATGCAACAGAGAAAACTTTCAGCATGGAATAGGTTAATTAATATATTTTTTTGTACATAATTGGTTATCCGAAAAATAAGTTATCTGAACAACCCCAGTCCCCAATTGATTCAAATAAACGACACTCTACTGTACTTATTTATTCATCAATGTACGATCCAAATGATCCTACTCATCATTTGGATCTGTCATAGCAAATAGGTGTCGTTAATAATGCAGTCACATGATGTAAGATAATTGCAGTATGACATCAGTGGGAGAGAGAAAGGAGGACAAATGGTGGTTCGGATAATTGAACATTTGGTTAATCAGTTTTTGGATAATTGAAATTCTACTGTATTCATTATAAAAGTATGAAAGGTATAAACAGTAAAATATGAAACAAAAATATTAATATCCCATGTTTCATCATTTATCACAAATGTTTAATCATGGGCATATAAATCAGGAAAGCAAAGGACATTAATTCTTAATGCTCTCTGCTCCCGACTCGTATGCAAATTTAATTAATTGGCATACGAATCAGTTGTTTGTGTTTTTATTCATGTAAAGTTTCGAGCAAATCAACCCCCATTTGCCTCTTAACCAAAGTTTTCCCCTATGCCTACATATTTAACCATCTCTATAATAAAAATAAATGTTAGATTTATTAATAATCTAATATACATGTTACTTACTTCTACAGCCAGCAACAGGATCCCCATAGTAACTGTCTTTACATCTACAAGTATAACTGTGCGACTGAGGAATGCAAACTGTATTTTCACCACAAACGGTAGGTGCCTTGCATGCATCTTAACAAAAATAGATTAGTTTATTTTATAAAACGATACTGAATAATATATAAAAAAAATTAAATATTTCATAAACTATTATATAAAAAAATAAATAAATGTTCTTACCAATACACTTATAAAGATGCTGATCGCATATCTCGTGATCCTTGCACTCATCATTTCTCAAACATTCCACTGCATTTGGATAAATGAGCATTTAATAAACTTTAGGACGATTACAAAATTTATTATAATTTTTAAAAATAAAAATCTCTTACATTTATCACATCTGTAATAAGCATTTCCTGTATATCGTGGCGGACAAGAAAACTTCATTATGGTGACAATTTTCATGCTTTTGACAATCCACTAAAGTACAAATAAATAATATTTAATAACTTCAAATATTTAATTATTAAACCAAATTATTTAGTGATTTGATAATGTTTAGATTCATACCTGGATCACATCCTCTATTCAATGGATCGCCAATGTATCCTTCTTGACATTGGCAAACGGCAACGTGATTTCTGGATAAACAAATGGAATTGCGAGCGCAAACAGTAAGGGCACACGGATCTATAGAAAGTATAATAAAATATATTCATGCTCCTCATAAAGAACTTGTCTGTAATCAATAAATTATCATCATACCCAAGCAATCCATATATCCTTGATCTCCTCTGCGACAGGCAAGAGATTCATCACATATATTATCATTTTCGCATCGATCAACTGAAGAGGGAAAATAAACAATTAATAATCTGTACTATTAAAATGTTTATGAGTGCATTGGATACAGATTATTACCAGTTTCACATGTTCCTTCCCTACACGCTTGGCCTTGGGGACATTCATTATTTGATCGGCAAACAGCTAAAAACAAAACCATATTTAATAAACATTTTATACCTTATTCTATTCTTTATAAATGAAAATTGATTTAAAACATACAGATACATCTTCCTTTGTCACAGCGATCATTTGGACCACAGTCTCTGTCAGAATTACAGGGTACTGAAATGTTCATTACAAAATTTTTTAAAGTTTGTTTGANAATTAATAATTAATATTTAACATTAATGTTATAATATTTAAAAATTAAAATTAATTTTTAAATATATTTAAAAATATTCATTTTATAACTTACATAAACAATGATTGCTGAAACATCTTTCCCCAGCAATACAATCTTTATCAGTCACGCACTCAACTGAAATTAATATATATTTTATCTTAATATTATAAATATATCGATTTAATGATATTCTTATATTTTGAAAAATATTTAAACACTTTTTGAAAAGATAAATGTAATAAATCTTATATTTTATATATTTTATTCAACTTAAAAAAATACTGTCTAAATCCAAAATCCATGTTGCTGCAAAGAGAGGTGAGGAGAAATGAACGATCCATGAATCAGAAAAGATAGCCTCTAAATGTAATTGGCATCACCTGAAATTTTTAATTTTTCTTTAATTTTTCATTCAACTTCATGAAGTGTCCTTCGGTTATTTGAAACTACAGTGAATTAGTTTAATTGGTTCTACTAGAAGGTGGCACTAAGCACAATGTTGTGACTCTCCTGTCTGATTCATAAACTCCTCATCCGAGTCTACAGCACTGCAGATTTTGAATATAGACATTATTTTTCAAGCTAAATTGAATAAATATATATCGCTTTTATGTGAAAAATAGATTAAATCTAATAAAAAGATTTTAAATTTAGTTTATAATACCGAAAAATTTAATATCCACTCAATGAAAACGAAATTTTACCTCTGCATTTTCCATCAAGACAGAAATGATTTGGAGGACAGTCGGCTTCACTATGGCATATTGGTTGAACTAAATAAATATATTTAATTTTAGAAAAAATTTATCATCCAAATTTTAAAAAAATAGAAAATCTTACCTCTCTGGCATGCAATTGTTGGATTTCCTGTAAAGCCAGGGAGACAATAACATTCTTTTCTATGATCTAATACTTTGCATAATGCATTGGTACCACATGCTGTTGCACTTTCACATATACCTAAATAGTAATATTTCATAGAAATTAACAATTTGAATGCATTTCATTTTGAACAAATAACAAATATTTATTCATAATACGTATTTGATTGAACTTACTTGTACAACTATTTGATAAACAGTTTTCTGTACGTAAACAATCACTATCGGTCCTGCAGCCAACTGTTTTAGAAGTAAAATCATTTATAATTTTAGCATAACCTTACTCTTATAAACAAAGATAAACTTTGAAACAAACAGAAACAGATTTAAACCTTACCGCTACATTTATTCGCAATACATATTTCTCCAGTCAAGCAATCGCTGTCTGTTTTGCAGCCCAAAACACAATGCCCGCCTCTACAAAGTTCTCGGATAGCACAGTCACTATCGGTGCGACACGGAGCTATAAACGTAATTCGTTCATAATTTAAGAATAAATGTTTCCGTTGAATAAATTTGCAATTTTTATTATTACGTTACTTACGTCTACAACGTCTGTTTTCACAAACTAATCCTCCTAAACAATCGTGATCAGTATTACATACTTCAGGAACTGAAATGCAAATTTAAAAAATTAATATACTTATATCTTGCATTAACATACATAAAAAATTACTATATTTAAATAATAATAATAATAAAAAATTACCTCTTATGCATCCTCGAGTAAAATCGTGAGGGTTTCCAGTGAAACCTGGTGGGCAATAACATACAGCCGCATGATTCTCCATACGACAGAGTGCATTTAATCCACAGATATCCGGTTTCTGGCAGAGATCTGTCAAAAATTATTTTATTTATATACTTATGTAACTAATTAAATATTATATTCTCTTTAATTAAACCTTACTTTTGCACATGAGAAGCCCATGATCATCTCGTTCACAAGCAGCAGTCGGAGGACAATCGGAATTACCACTAGGACACTCATTCGGTCCTCGACCTATCATTGTAAGAAAGTATAATCATCTATTTTAAGTACAATTATCTTTTTTAAACTTGAAATACTTACATCCTGGTTCACCATATGGATTACCAATACTTCTTTCTGGAGGACAATGACATTCGTAACCACCAAATTTCACTTTGCATATAGCATTGGAATGACACGGGTTGTTTGCACAATAATCAATTAAACGACAGCCAGCAATAGGATCACCTTCATAACCTTCGTGGCAACGACAAACTGCAGAATGAGCTTGTGCAACACAGTACGCATTATTGCCGCAGAAATTTTGCAATTGACATGGATCTGCATAATTTTTGAATGATTAATGCAAAACATTTTTTTTTTAAATAATATTTTATTTTAAAATATAACTCACCGACACATTTATAATTTTCACAAACTTCATTATGGTGACAATTTTCATGCTTTTGACAATCCACTAAAGTACAAATAAATAATATTTAATAACTTCAAATATTTAATTATTAAACCAAATTATTTAGTGATTTGATAATGTTTAGATTCATACCTGGATCACATCCTCTATTCAATGGATCGCCAATGTATCCTTCTTGACATTGGCAAACGGCAACGTGATTTCTGGATAAACAAATGGAATTGCGAGCGCAAACAGTAAGGGCACACGGATCTATAGAAAGTATAATAAAATATATTCATGCTCCTCATAAAGAACTTGTCTGTAATCAATAAATTATCATCATACCCAAGCAATCCATATATCCTTGATCTCCTCTGCGACAGGCAAGAGATTCATCACATATATTATCATTTTCGCATCGATCAACTGAAGAGGGAAAATAAACAATTAATAATCTGTACTATTAAAATGTTTATGAGTGCATTGGATACAGATTATTACCAGTTTCACATGTTCCTTCCCTACACGCTTGGCCTTGGGGACATTCATTATTTGATCGGCAAACAGCTAAAAACAAAACCATATTTAATAAACATTTTATACCTTATTCTATTCTTTATAAATGAAAATTGATTTAAAACATACAGATACATCTTCCTTTGTCACAGCGATCATTTGGACCACAGTCTCTGTCAGAATTACAGGGTACTGAAATGTTCATTACAAAATTTTTTAAAGTTTGTTTGAAAGAAAGAAACATTTTAAATAATGTAGTTTTAATTAAAAAATTTAAATATAATATATAATACAGGATATCATATAAGTCCAGAACTAAAGCAGTTACGTTGATATTTGCTTTACTTGTAAGTGAATAAACTAAGTGCCAAGTAAGGAGGAATGAATTCAAGTTATTTTAATGTTGGAGTCAGAATAAAACTGCCAAAGACTTTAATAGGCTGCATCCAGATTTTCCACTGATCACAATCTAGATGCAACCTGTTAAACTCTTTATCAACTTCATGCCAACTACTCATCACCACCATCAAAATAACTTGAATTCATTCTTCCTTATTCGACACTTGTAAAAGAATAAAGAAAGATTAACATAACTCCAATGATGAGATACTCTCAATATAAAAAGGTAAGAAATATTATAAGATATAATATACTATTTTCTACATCTTCTAATACAAATAATACATACCCATGCATACACCTTTTTGACACAATTCACCAGATGGACAATTAAGATCGACTTCACAAGTAATAATTTCTATAACATAAAATAAAATTTTGTTAATTAAACAAATCTATGTATCATTTTAATACAGCAGAATTCTGGAATTCTGAACCAATTCATTCTGCAGGTGATTCAGATAATAAAACTTTAGATAAGTGGATTAACTTAAAAACAATGAAATTACAGGGTAACAGCACAGTAATGTACAGTAGAGCGTCGTTTATCCGAAAGCTGGTTATCCGAAATGTCGGTTAACCGAAAGCATTCCAGTCAGCAAATTTAAATTTTCACTAGTGCTGTGGCGCTGCAATCTTTGGCTATATCTTGGTCTACTCCAATATTTTTTTTTGTTGGTGTGTGTGTGTGTTTAGCTGGCAGCACTGGCACTTTTGTGTGGTGTTTTTCTGAGGACTGTGTCATAAATCAAACGTTTTTGATACTGGATTAATTTCTAAAGTATTTTTTTTTTGGTTTTTATATTTTTCAATATATTTATTTTGTTTGTAAAAAATAAAGAAATAATTTTTAACGATACAATAGCCACAATTATTATTTTAAAAAGTTTACACTAGGCTTAACATCGACAAAAATTCAACACGAAGCGACATGCAACAGAGAAAACTTTCAGCATGGAATAGGTTAATTAATATATTTTTTTGTACATAATTGGTTATCCGAAAAATAAGTTATCTGAACAACCCCAGTCCCCAATTGATTCAAATAAACGACACTCTACTGTACTTATTTATTCATCAATGTACGATCCAAATGATCCTACTCATCATTTGGATCTGTCATAGCAAATAGGTGTCGTTAATAATGCAGTCACATGATGTAAGATAATTGCAGTATGACATCAGTGGGAGAGAGAAAGGAGGACAAATGGTGGTTCGGATAATTGAACATTTGGTTAATCAGTTTTTGGATAATTGAAATTCTACTGTATTCATTATAAAAGTATGAAAGGTATAAACAGTAAAATATGAAACAAAAATATTAATATCCCATGTTTCATCATTTATCACAAATGTTTAATCATGGGCATATAAATCAGGAAAGCAAAGGACATTAATTCTTAATGCTCTCTGCTCCCGACTCGTATGCAAATTTAATTAATTGGCATACGAATCAGTTGTTTGTGTTTTTATTCATGTAAAGTTTCGAGCAAATCAACCCCCATTTGCCTCTTAACCAAAGTTTTCCCCTATGCCTACATATTTAACCATCTCTATAATAAAAATAAATGTTAGATTTATTAATAATCTAATATACATGTTACTTACTTCTACAGCCAGCAACAGGATCCCCATAGTAACTGTCTTTACATCTACAAGTATAACTGTGCGACTGAGGAATGCAAACTGTATTTTCACCACAAACGGTAGGTGCCTTGCATGCATCTTAACAAAAATAGATTACTTTATTTTATAAAACGATACTGAATAATATATAAAAAAAATTAAATATTTCATAAACTATTATATAAAAAAATAAATAAATGTTCTTACCAATACACTTATAAAGATGCTGATCGCATATCTCGTGATCCTTGCACTCGTCATTTCTCAAACATTCCACTGCATTTGGAAAAATGAGCATTTAATAAACTTTAGGACGATTACAAAATTTATTATAATTTTTAAAAATAAAAATCTCTTACATTTATCACATCTGTAATAAGCATTTCCTGTATATCGTGGCGGACAAGAACAAACATGTTCATGATTAACCGTTCTACATTCTGCATTTCTTCCACAAGCAAGAGTATTTTCACAAGGATCTATTGAAATAATATAGAAATTATAATTATGTTTAAAGACGAAGCAATTAAATTTCTTACGTAAATTTCTTCAATTAACCTTTGCAAAATGGTTCTCCGTTTATCCGTATGCATTTAGCCGTTTCTGGGCAATCCTCGTCGCCTCTCGGACACATATTAGGATCGTGACCTGTTTCGCAATTTTTAATAATTTTAACTTATTTTCTAAAATATAATCGTATAATTTAATTTATAAAAATATATTTACATCCAGGATGAAGAAGTGGATCTCCGACTAGTCCAGTAGGACAACGACAACTGAAACTACCGGGAGTATTTTCACAAACTGCGCTACTATGGCAGGGATGTTGCTTACATTCATTGATATCTTTAAAAATATATTTAATTATTATGAATAATAATTATTATTATTAAATTATAAAATATTTTATATTTATTGTTACTAACCAATGCAATTCAACCGCCCGTTATTTTCGTAACCAGGTTCACAACGGCATAATGCTTGTCTGTCTCTTATCACACAAGTTCCATAAGGACCACAGTCCACACCACTGCAAGGACCTGCAAAAAATTGATAAATTGATAAACTGTAACTATGTACATGTACAGTACCTACATATACAGAATTACATTAATTATTGTAAAAAGATATTTACTTTCGCAATAAAATTCTCTGCATTGTTTATCTGTTGGGCAATCTGTATCTCTTAAACATTCCACTGTTAAGAAACAAAATAATTATTAGGTTACTATTATTTTATTTATAGTAAGTTTTAAATTATATTATTATACCTTTGATACATCCTTTATGTTTATCATAAGGATCTCCAGTGAATAAATCGATTTTTGGACATGAACATTGAAATTGATGATTTGATACCAAACATCTTGCATTTGGTCCACAAGGTTCTTCACCACATGGATCTAAAGATCAAATAATTCACTTTTAAAACTTTCAATGAAAAGTTTTATACTGTAAACGATTAAGCTGTGTTCACAAATAAACTTTTTTTGTTTAATTACATCTCATAAAAATTGTTTAATTACATCTCATAAAAAAATAAAAGCATAATACGTACCGATACATTTGGGGATACCATTTTCATCTTTTCCGCAAGCAGAATTTGGAGGACAATCCACGTTTCCGTTTGGACATTCTCCAGGACTTCGACCTGAATGTGTTTTATACAGTTATACTAAATATTTGTGTTAAAACTAATTAAATTACTAATTAATAAAATAACTTACATCCCGTGTAACCATCTCCGATATCGCCATCTCTGCAACGACAGAAGAAGCTGCCGGGTGTATTAACACACACGGCCGTGCTATGACAAGGATGAGATAGACATTCATCTTCATCTAAAATAAAAATTAAATTAAAATAATGTGAAAATAGAAACATTTATTTTTTAATAAAATCTTTTTTGTATTATTTTTTTACCTTTACAGCCAAGTGGTGTAGAAATAAAGCCCTGTTTACAAAGACAACGATTGCTTGTACATAATTCATTTAATTGACAGTCTCCATCTGTACGACAACCCACTGAAGAGAAAAATGAACTTAAATAAATTTCCAACAATCTATTTTAAAACAAAATGTCATAATACAATTAAAAATATCCTTGCCTTGACAGTATTGATTAATGCAGACTTCACGTACAGGACAGTTGCCATCCGAAGAACATATAACTATTGAATCATTTAAAGTAAGAGATTAAACACACATTAAAACAATTATTTTTCAAATTAAAATGTACTTACCCATACAGACACCATTAATGCAAACTTCTCCATCGACGCACTCACTGCATGGTGCACGGCAACGTTCTCCGACGCAAATCAATCCCGTCGGGCAAGGACTAGTAGGTGAACAACTACTCACAACTCTTTTACAACCAAGAATTGGTGAAGGTGTTCCTTCAAAACCAGGAGGGCATTTACAAGTGGCATTGTGAAGGCGAACTTCACAGAGAGCATTCGTGCCACATATACCCTTAATAGTACATGGATTTTGGCAGCTGTTTTGAATACAAGCTTCTGAAGACAAGCAATCATTATTATTTCTACAACCGAGATGGCAATATCCAGCAGATATACAAGCTTCCTGTTGCAGACAATCAACATGTGAGAAACATGGCTGTACACAATGATTATCAATACATCTCTCTCCTGTTGCACACTCCTCATTTTTAGTGCAGAATAATCTGCATTGCTTATCATCACATTCTTGATGGTCGCCGCAATCATCACTTTTTGAACAGAATACGGAAACACGAATACAACCATCTTGTGGGTTTGGATTTCCATGAAAACCTTCTGGACAGACACAACGCGGCTGATGATTAACCACACGACAAATAGAATTAGGTCCACAATTAAAGTGATCACAAGGATTTTTACACATTGCTTCCCCGCCAATATCGGATAGGCAAGCAGATTCCGAAGCACAGTCTATGTCTCCATTAGGACAAGAATTTGGATGACGGCAGCCTTCATGATAAGGATCTCCTATGTAGTTATCCGGACACTGACAAATATAACTTCCAGGTGTATCTATGCATTTTGCCGTTATATGGCAGGGATGATATTCACAATGCTTTATTTCTTCACATCCAAGCGTATAAGGTTCTCCCGTAAATCCCGGTCGACAATGGCAGACAGATTTATGATTCTGAGCTACGCATAATGAATTTACACCACAGGTATCAACACATGGATCTGTTTTGAAATGAAAATGGTTAATCACTAAAGTTTTATCTAACATTTTAAATTATACCCAAATCTTCTACATAATGAAAACATTACCTTCACAATGATATCCAGGTGCACAGTATCGTTTATCTGAGCAATGTTCGTCGGATAAGCATTCAACTAAAAAAAAAAAACATTAAAATTAGCACTTATCTTACAATGTCATTACACAGTTCTAATTTTGAAAGTCTGCCTTTACCTTGCCGGCATCCATGTGTAATGTCGTAAGGATTACCAACATACAATCCATTTGGACACTGACATTGTGCCTTATGATCAATAGTTATGCAAAGGGCATTAGGACCACATTTTGTGGATTCACAAGGATCTAAACAATAAACAAAACATTAATCAATTAATACCAACTTAAATATAGATTATTTTGTTTTATTTAATATACGTACCTGTGCATTTTCTCGTTCCTTCTCTGTCGGACAAACAAGCTTCATTCAGACCACAGGTAGAACTAATGTCGCATTCATGTCGTTCAATAGCTAAAATTTTATTTTATAAGTGAATTATTATAAAGCATTATATTTTGTATTTATAAGCAATTTCTGTACTTTTTATGCATCTAGAAGATTATAAATATATGTTGTTTAAATACTTACGAATACATCCTTCACGGCTATTTGGATCTCCCGTGTAACCTTCTTCGCAATGACATCTACCTCTATGATTCAATGCCACACAATTGGCATTTGGTGAACATGACAAATCTAAACAAACCTCTGGAAAAATTTAATCAGAAGAAGATTTATGAGTCGTATTGCAAAAAATATAATCCAAATAACATATCTTTGAAAACATTACCAGCACAAGTTAAAACACCAAGATTATCTGCTTTGCAAGTTGCAAATGTAGGGCATTCAGCACCAGCTTTACATTCATCTTCTGGTTTTACTATAATTAACGGTATTTACATTAAAATGTTAATTTATTTGGCCAATGTAAATATATAATTTTTGCATTTGCAATAAAAACTACTTACAAATGCATGCCATTATATCATTGCGATCTTTAATATATCCTTCTCTACATACGCATTGATGATAATGATTAGTTGCTACACAATCGCTATTTGCTCCGCATGTAACAAATTTACAAGCATCTAGAATGCGTAACAAATAAATTAATTGGTTTTAAAATGTTAAAATATTAAAACAAATATATTAAAATTAATATTCAAATAAAATTTTAAATTACTTTTTAACTATAAATAATACTAACCTACACACTTCTTTATGCCACTGTTATCCGATTTGCACACATCACTTGTTCTTCTACAATCAGTATCATGTTGGCATTCGTCCAATTTAGGTGGTGCTGTTATTAAATAAAATTTGTTTTCATTTTTTAGAAAATTTCAAAAGTTTGAAAATATTCCAATACGAATTCAAACCAATAACATCCCATAAATTTACAATAATATCACAATTCAGAGCTAAAAATATTATTTACAGAATTTAAATTGGAAAAATAACCATATAATTAAACATCTAAATTATTGATTTAGATTCTTGATAAATTCAGATCTTTGATGATAATTTAATTAGCAAGTGAGCCAATTTAATCATAGTTCTATATATTGTTTCTATAATTCTTTATAGAAACAATATATAGAACTATGATAGAATATTATATAATATTCTTGCTAAATTCTATTATTAGCAAGAAGACTTAGTCCTATATACATATGGTTTATATATTATATCTGTAGTTTAGTTCTATAGAGACAATCTATTTTTAACTATTAACAAAATAATGAAAAAATTTAATGGATACAAGTAAGATAAATCAATTAGTTTAATTAACTGTATCATTAATATTTACCTGAATCATATTTTCATGATTTATGTATAATAAAACAAATTAATTTACTTACGTCTACAACCATTGACCAAATTGAAAGGATTTCCTTTGTGATTAGGCAAACATTCACAAGTTGGATGATGATTTCTTACTATGCAATTGGCATTAGGTCCACATTGAAGGAAAGAACAAGCATCTACAGAAGACAAAATGTAGGTTTTTATAAACTTTTATCTCTTATACACAAAGAAATAATGAAAATAGGTGTTAAATATACATACCAACACAATCTAAAATTCCTTCGGGAACATGTCGACACACATGGGTCATTGGACAATAACTATCATCCTCACATTTATTAGGTTTGATCACTAGTTTAGAATAATTTCAATTAACAAAATATCATTCTCATTTGAAAAACAAATTATATATTTATGTATCTTTTATACATACATTTACAGCCATCATGTACATCAAGTGGATCTCCAGTGTATCCGGCAGGGCAACGGCAGATGGCAACATGATTCTGTGCAATACATTCAGCGGTTGGGCTACAATCTGCATAAAGGCACACAACTGCAAAGAAATTTATGTAAGAAAAATTTAATATAGGTCTTTCCTACTATTTAAGATATTAATGTTTATTTTTAACTTACAGACACATCTCCTTATTCCATCTGTGCCAGGTCGACAGACTTGATCATGAGAGCATCCACTATCTCCCACACATTCATGAGGTACTAAATATTAAAGATTAAGTATTATTAGTAAGAAAATATGATGAAAGATATAAATTTACTTATTTATTTTCATTCTTACATTCACATCCCTTGACTAGATCATATGGATTTCCTACAAAGCCATCTACACAAACACACTGAGACTGATGATTTTCTGTTATGCATTTTGCTCTTACACCACAATGAACACTTTCACAACCATCTATAAATAAAATGTAACAATTTTTAAACGTAAATACTAAACACAATCTATAATTCAGTTCAACGCAAAAAAAACTCTTTTCTTTGCATATAAAAAAAAGGAAGTTTACTAACCAAAGCAATCTTTAATTCCACGATTATTTAGTCGGCAAATAGAATTTGAAGGACATTGGTGATCAGTTTCACAAATATGTTCAGCTATAAATAATAATAATTTTAAGCAATGTTAGAAATTTTAATTGCATTCATAATATAAAATTAAGCAATGTTATTTTCAATTTAAAAGTTCATATAGATAAATAATTGCTTACGTTGTCTTTCACATCCTAAATCTTTATTAAAGGCATCACCAAAATAGCCTGGTAGACAATTACATAATGCAATGTGATTTGATACAGAACATAAGGCATTCTTCCCACATAAGACTTCAACACAACCATCTAACATAAAATATAAACTTGCATAAATATTTGTACCATATATAGAATTAAATCTTTGAGATATATTGATTGAAAGTATAGATAATTATATATAATTTTATAAAATATACCAACCTATACAGTCCTTTATACCTCGCTGATTAGTTCTACAGATTTCGGAACTGCTACAGTCACTATCTGATTTACAGATGTCTCGAGCTAAAAAATACATTACAAATATTTTAATTATCACCATTTTTACCATCTGCAAAATTAAAATATAAATATATTTTAAGTTCAAATAATGAGTTGCCAAAAAGAAAAACTTACGACGGCATCCTATTTGTAAACTTTCAGCATTTCCTTCAAACCCTGCTTTACATTCACAATGATGTTGATGATTAGTGGCTATACACTCAGAATTCTGTCCACATCTTTTGCCTCTACATGCATCTACAATTTACAAGTTATACAAGTTATATATTATCTAACAAATAAATATAAGATAAAATTTCTATACATTATAAACATGATTTTTTTTATTTCTAAATAATAAATAATATAGTTCATTTAATGTTGTTAAGATTTATCATTTTTGAAATATCCAATATTTATTCTGTTTATTTATTAATAAATTAAATAAACTTTAAATTTAAACAATATATAAATATTTACTTACTAAAGCAATCTTTGAATCCCTGTCTACTCATTTTACAAATATCGCTATCCGGACAATCATGATCAGTTTCACAGCGATTTGCTATAACAAAACATCATAGTGTAATTATTTAGATTTAAAACACAAATCATATGCTTATTATAAGAAATCTTACGTTGACATCCTTTCTGCATATTATGAGGATCACCACCGAAACCAGTAGGACATTCACAAATTGCATGATGATTTCGACCAATACATAATGCATTAGGACCACATTTTCTATTTTGACAGACACCTTAAAAATATACATAGTTATTGTTTTAAACAATTTTCATTAAGTTTAAACAATTTACAGTAAATTTAAATTTAAATGAAACTATACTTACTGACACAATCTCTAATACCATTTGATGTCAATTGGCAAACATGATCAACATTACAATCTGCATTTATTTGACATCCATCAACAATTGGTGCTGCAAATTAATATAAATATTAAATTGTATTTCTAACTCAAAAGAAAAATTAAAACTCGTAATTATTTAGTATCAAATTTTAAAGGGCAGTGTTAAAATTTCAGGAGATTTTAAAATAAAATATACTAAAATAAAAACACATTATCAATGTTCTCAACAGTGAAAGCTGTGAGAAAAATGATTGTCATATCAATAATGTATATAAATAATTATATTTAATATAATATTATACAATTATAAGTGATTCAAATAAATTGTCCATTTTGATTTCATATATTCTAAATACAGAAACCGAGCAAATTAAATTTCAAGGAACACTGTATTTTTCTATACTAAATGCATTGTTGCTTTCTCAAAAGATTTGGTGCATTGCCAACTAATGATATATCATAAATATCACAAAATAAATTCAATTTGATAAAATAGATTCAGCTAATAATAATTGTAATAATCACTCCCGAAGTTTTAACAAAATAATAAGTTTATCATATATACTAGTTAAGTTAATATATATAATTTTAATGAAAACAGGTAAAGAAAATTATGTTTTGCAGTAACATTACTATTGTATTTCTATTCAATTTATTATTTTAATAAGCTATTGTCATTATTATCAGACTTACGCTTGCAACCATGGAGAAAATCAACTGGATTTCCAGTGTATCCAGGATTACATTCACAAACTGGTTGATGTGCTCGTCCTATACATTGGGCATTTGGTCCACAACGTGTACTTTTACAGACATCTAAATAAAAATATTTGATTATTTATTGCAAGCTTTTTGAAATTATTAAGATTATAAAAAGATTAAAACTTACCAAAACAATCCTTTATATTATTTTCATTTGATCTACAGATTTTATATTCTGGACAATCTCTGTTAACCTCGCATATATTTGGAGATGGTGCTAAAATATATAATTTTTTAAGCAATCTAAATGTATCAAAATTAAATTATAAATATTAAAATATAATTACGTTGGCATCCAATATGATAATCATTTGGATCTCCAAGATATCCAGTATTACATTCACATATCGGTCTATGTAATTTTCCAATACAATGAGCATTTAATCCACAGTTATGTTGAGGACAAACACCTGTATGTAGTTTACAAAAGCAATTTTAAAATTTCTTATATAAAAACAAGAATTTTTTTAAAGTATTCTAAAATATTAATATATATTTAATATATACTTACGAATACAATCTTTAACCCCACTTTCAGTAGGTCTACAGATTTCATCTCCACTGCAATCAGCATCATGTGTGCATAGATCACGAGGAGGTACTATAAAATCATGAAATTAAAATTAAAAGAAAAACTGTAAGTAATGATACCTTCAATTTTAAAATTCATATATTAAAATGCTACTCACATTTACATCCTACATTCAAATCATATGGATTACCGGTGAATCCAGATGCACATTCACATATAAGTCTATGATTTCGTCCAGTACATTGAGCATTATCTCCACATTGCTTTTCTTCACAAACATCTAAATAAAATGGAAGTTAAATATATAGGTTTAATAAAATAATTTTATACTTTATAAAAATTTTATAAACATTTATATTTTATAAAAATAATATATTTAAACGACTAAAATTTATGTAACCATATAATACTTATGTATGTACAATACTGTTATAAATATATTGATTAGTTGTTATTGGAACCACAAATATTTTATTAAATATACATAAAAATTTTACTTACGAACACATTCTTTGTAGGCATCGCCTCTAATAACTACACAAACATGTGTATCTGGACAGTCAATACTAGATGTACATCTATCAAACCTTATTACTAAAAGTTAAAAAAAATCAATAATTTTTATATGTTCAAACTAAACTATATCTAATTTTAATATATAAAAAAAATTTGTAATTATTATTTAGGAGGTATAATAAAATCTAAAAAATTAATTGATCTTTTTAATTATAATTTCAACAGGTTTTTTTACTATCCTACTAACACAATTAAATTATTAGTTAGTGAATATTCATTAACTAACATTTTAGTTATGAAATTTTACAGTTATATTTCAATTTTAATAAATATATATTTTAATTTGCATATTTTATTTTAATACATATGCTCAGAACAGCACAATTGTAAGAAGCAGTGGTTGGTGAGAAAAAATAAAATGCAGTTTAATCATTAACAACAATTTCTATAATGCTTGAGGATGTCCTTTTAAAAATGGATGAAAACATTCGCTTCTTAAAATAATTCTTTTATGTTGGTTCATTAGTTTTATGATGTAGTGGATCTCGACTTCCTACAATGTTCTATTGTACTGACAAAAAACTTCATAACTTGTGTAAATATATGTCTAAATTCCTTCATTACAGTAGTTCACTCAAGATTTTATCTTAGGGAGCCAAGTTGAACAGATAAAAAAAACTTTTAATGTGAACTCAATAAAATTCCCATCTTACGTGACTCCTAATTCATACATAATATAGAACATATAGAAATAGAACACATTACACAATATAAATAAAAAAAGATTTTTAATTAGGAAAATATTTTTGGAAAATTTATTAGTGTTTCTTTTCCTTTTATTTTGGGAGTGCCAGGACCCCTTGGCCACCCCTGTATGTGCCCCTGAACAAAACAACCAAGAACCAACCCAACTTCCATACTGTGTTGTCAATATCTATAACCAATCAACCTTCTGTAATCATATATATTTACAAGAAAGGTTTGATAAGAAAAATCTCTCTCAATAATAATATGAATTTTCAAAAAATAGGATAAGGTTTATTTTATATTAGTATATAAGATAAACCTTATATTGATTATATATATCATAATATGTCATAATAGTTATGATATATAATATGTCATAACAATTATATCAGTGTCATAACTGATGTAATAATTAAAGCATAATGTACATCAGTATTATTATGCTGAAATATAATTTTAGCATGATGAGACTGGTGACATATATTACATGTTTCCTAAAAATCAAACATTGCTACAAATTCTTAAAATAATAAGATTATTGTATCTATACCAATCCAATACATTCCTCTCAAAATTTACTCAATTATTATGTTAAGCCTGAAACTTTTCACAGTTATTAAATATCTAATTTTTATGAAATTTATTAAATTAATAATTTATAGTAATACTTACATGTACAACCAGCATGTATATCATTAGGATTTCCGGAATATCCAGGTACGCATTCACAAAAATATTGATGCCTTCTACCAATACATTGAGCATTTGGACCACAATGAACATTTGAACATACATCTGAATCAAATTATCTCATTTAATATTCAAATTACCAAATTATCTAACATTAAAAAATATTAACAAATATTTTAATAACAGTATATATTTTGCATTACCTATACACTCGTTAAAACCTTCATTGTTTATTCTGCAAGCCGAATTTCCTGGACATCCAGAATCTTCTTCACATAGGTTAGGACTAACTGTCGGAACTGTAGGAGCTAGAGATGTTTTTAAAACAATAAATTTTAACATTCTATTTGGTGATTTAGGTCTTGCAATTTACAAAAAACTTACTGCTGCATCCTATTCCTGGATTACTTGGTTCACCAAACATTCCACTTGGGNACCAGCATGTATATCATTAGGATTTCCGGAATATCCAGGTACGCATTCACAAAAATATTGATGCCTTCTACCAATACATTGAGCATTTGGACCACAATGAACATTTGAACATACATCTGAATCAAATTATCTCATTTAATATTCAAATTACCAAATTATCTAACATTAAAAAATATTAACAAATATTTTAATAACAGTATATATTTTGCATTACCTATACACTCGTTAAAACCTTCATTGTTTATTCTGCAAGCCGAATTTCCTGGACATCCAGAATCTTCTTCACATAGGTTAGGACTAACTGTCGGAACTGTAGGAGCTAGAGATGTTTTTAAAACAATAAATTTTAACATTCTATTTGGTGATTTAGGTCTTGCAATTTACAAAAAACTTACTGCTGCATCCTATTCCTGGATTACTTGGTTCACCAAACATTCCACTTGGGCAATGACAATTTCCACCTTCGCAGAAAGCATTTGGACCACATACAACACTATCGCAAAGACCTATAAAAAAATTCATGTAATTTAAGTTAAATATTAAAAAATAAATTAAAAATAAATATAGAGAGTATATTTACCAACACATTGACCGTTTCTACATGCCTCTCCATTAGGACATGTATTATCATTTCTACAGGGACACCTTTGTCCGGCTAAACACCGAATTTCCGCTACAAAATATTATAAGTTTTACTATACTTGTTTATTTTATATTATTGATAGCTGAAAATTTAATTCTCAATAAGAATGCAACCGTTTCTATTTATTCAGCAATATATTCTATTTATGAATTATAATTTATTAACTAATATTTAAAAATCTTTATATGAAATAATAATAATAATAATGTGATATTAACTGATTGGTAAACAGAATATGCATTAGGAAAAAGACTTACTACAAGCAAAAAGAGGATTTCCAGTTCTTCCAGGTGGACAAGCACATAAATAACTTCCAACACTATTAATACAAGATGCACCAGTACCACATGGATTAGAACCAACACATTCATTTACATCTAAAATATAAAGCATAAAATTTCTTAAATTCACATAATAAATGATTTTACATGATAACAATAAAGAAAATTCAAAATAAAGATTTTAATTTTGTTAAATTAAAATTATACTTTAGATATGTACCATCTTTAATCTATGTAAAGGCATATTAATGAAATTTACTAAAATACATTAATATATTTATACATTTCATTATTTCAAATCTGAAAATATCTATTTTGTGTAATGTAAGTCTATATTTGTATTATGATGTTTACCTCTACAACTAATATATGGGTTTCCTTGTAGACCTGCAGGACAAACGCAATCCACACGACGTTGTCCTTCGACACAGTTGGCATTATTTCCACAGTCAGTGTTATCGCATCTCCTTTCCGTTCCTAAGTATTTTATATTTTATTTAATACAATATTAAAAAATAAAACTTTCACTTAAACATTCTAAACTGTATTTGTGTGATAGTTTTAGAAGTTATAAACTTTAACTTCTATAAAGAATATATTTTTTAATATATTTTATAGTACATATATTAATCACAAAATAAATTACTAACCACAAAGTCTGTAAGGATTTCCACTATATCCAGGATTACAGACACAACGATTTGGCACTGAATATACACAATGAGCATTAACACCACAAGATGGTACACAAATTGGTGGAAGTAATGCTGAAATAAAATTGTGTTTTTAATATAACTCATATACTTATATGCATTATTAATAAAAATTAGTAATAATATCTACACATAATTAACGATTTTATTTAATTAATTAAAACTTACGTGGTACGCAAAGAATGCGAGGATTTCCGATGAAGAAAGGTAAGCAAATACACTGTCCGATTCTTCCATCACAACGTGCTCCCACGCCACATTGTAGTCCTTCACACCTTTCTATAAGTATTTAAGTTTAAATTTATTTGTTTTAATATATAATTTTAACATTATAATTTTTACAAATTGATAATGAAAGTTTACACTCACCTACACACACTCCATCAATACATTCTTGTGTTGGTCTGCAAGAACTAGCACCTGTACATTCACGATCTAAATAGAATATAATGTATTTAATAGACAATTTTTCTTTCACATTATTAAATACTATTATTATTTTCTGTATTATTCATAAATATTTCATTACTTACCAGGGTAACAACCACCACCTGCCCAAGGATTTCCAGAAAATCCTTCTAAACAATGGCATGTACCTTCATTTGCAGAGTTAACAATACAGTGGGCATTAACTGCACACCATACACCAGAACATGCTGTAAACATGAAATAATACATAGCAAAGTGAAAACTATTATAATTAATTTTTATAATTTACTATAATCATAATACATACGAGAAGTACATCCTTTTTCTAAATCATTTGGATTTCCTACATAACCAGGTAAACACTTGCATACAGCTTTATGATCTTCTGCATAGCACTGTGTATTTGGACTACACCATGTTGTTGAGCAAGGATCTAATATATATATTTTAAGTGTATTAAATAAAAAACTGTTAAACNTTACTCCCTCTCCGCAACTCCTTTGCCTCTGGACGTCCAACAAAACTCGACCAATCTCAAAATCTTTATCACTTTATGAATAATAAAATGTATAAACTGTGTAATTACCGAGTTAAATTTAATAAAATGCAATATTACCGAGTTAAATTTAATAAAATGCAATATTACCGAGTCAAATTTAATAAAAATGCGATATATACTTTATACAATAATGCAATATTGTTCATTAATGCTGTATAAAATGCAATAATGGTTTTTAATATATTTTATAGTACATATATTAATCACAAAATAAATTACTAACCACAAAGTCTGTAAGGATTTCCACTATATCCAGGATTACAGACACAACGATTTGGCACTGAATATACACAATGAGCATTAACACCACAAGATGGTACACAAATTGGTGGAAGTAATGCTGAAATAAAATTGTGTTTTTAATATAACTCATATACTTATATGCATTATTAATAAAAATTAGTAATAATATCTACACATAATTAACGATTTTATTTTATTAATTAAAACTTACGTGGTACGCAAAGAATGCGAGGATTTCCGATGAAGAAAGGTAAGCAAATACACTGTCCGATTCTTCCATCACAACGTGCTCCCACGCCACATTGTAGTCCTTCACACCTTTCTATAAGTATTTAAGTTTAAATTTATTTGTTTTAATATATAATTTTAACATTATAATTTTTACAAATTGATAATGAAAGTTTACACTCACCTACACACACTCCATCAATACATTCTTGTGTTGGTCTGCAAGAACTAGCACCTGTACATTCACGATCTAAATAGAATATAATGTATTTAATAGACAATTTTTCTTTCACATTATTAAATACTATTATTATTTTCTGTATTATTCATAAATATTTCATTACTTACCAGGGTAACAACCACCACCTGCCCAAGGATTTCCAGAAAATCCTTCTAAACAATGGCATGTACCTTCATTTGCAGAGTTAACAATACAGTGGGCATTAACTGCACACCATACACCAGAACATGCTGTAAACATGAAATAATACATAGCAAAGTGAAAACTATTATAATTAATTTTTATAATTTACTATAATCATAATACATACGAGAAGTACATCCTTTTTCTAAATCATTTGGATTTCCTACATAACCAGGTAAACACTTGCATACAGCTTTATGATCTTCTGCATAGCACTGTGTATTTGGACTACACCATGTTGTTGAGCAAGGATCTAATATATATATTTTAAGTGTATTAAATAAAAAACTGTTAAACTTAAATTAAGATATATAATAGTTAATATTTTAATAACTTTAAATTCAACTTACCAATACACGTACCACCTTTAATATCACAAATTGCATTATGTGGGCATTCATTATTTGATGTGCAACCAGGAGCTCCTCTACCTAATAATTAAAATTTAAATTAAGTATTTCAATCTTTAAAAGGTTTCAATTTATATTAAAAATATAAATATGAATTTTCTTACATCCAGTTTCATAAGGATCTCCACTTGTTCCTGGAGAACATTCACATTGATAACCACCAACAATATTTATACATACAGCTCCAACTGCACATGGTCCATTAGGATCTATTGGCAAATTAGCTACACATTCATTGATATCTAATTTTAAAAAAAATAAAATGTAAATATTAATAAAACACTGTATAAAAATAAGTGAAGAAAATATAATTAAAATATGTTTAAAACTAATATAAAGTTATATAAATTGTAGTTATTGTTGAAACTGGAACATATAGGGAATAAATTAATTTTTAAAAACTAAATAGAATTTATATTTGTGACATACATAGATGAGAGATAAGAAAATATTTGTTATAAAGAAAAACATCTGTGAAAACAGAAAGTTTACACTATAATACTTTATCAACTTTATATAATATGTATATTTGCTTTTAAATGAATCAGAAGAATATGTATTTATATCTTATGCTAAAGATAATATTTCTCCAAACAAAGCACCTTTAACATATCTCTTGAGAGCATCTTGAAAGACTAATGGCATTATTTTATAATAATTCATTTATTTATTTATTTACAAATAATTGAAAAAGTCTGAAGACAATTGATTTCTGCCCCCATGTTTATACTGTTACTGTTTTATCCATTATTTTACAAAGAAATGCAGTAGAATTGTAAAATAATTTTTAAAATTATATTTGTATAAAGTTTTTATCATGTATATTTTAAGCTTTGAATTTTCTATTTTCATGTAAGAGAATGATAAAGCATGATTCTTGATCTCTTTGCTATCATCTTTGTAATATTTGAATTAAATTATGAATTTAAAAGATATTCATATAATCAATTTTACTACAGATATGTAATATTCATATTTAAATTTTACATATTTATATTATATTATTATAAAAAATCACTATTTTTAGCTTTAATTGTAACTATAAAGACAAATGAAATCAAATATATTAAAGGATAAATCTATAATATAAACAAACAAATAATTTATTTAATATACAATAAAAAGTTTATCATTTACCGTAGCATCCTTTATTTGGATTTCCAGTACAGCCCTTTATACACTGACATTGAGGTCCAGTTGATGTGAGATGACATTCAGCATACTGTCCACACTGTTGCAAGTCACATGGATCTAAAAATAATTTCAATAGCAAAATTTTATATTGTAACAAATTATATGAAAAAGCTTATTTTTTAATACACTGTTTATATTGCTTACTTTTACATGTTTGGCCTTCTAAAACAAATGGCCTCAAACATTGACATTGACCATGAATACATTTCTGATTTGGAGGGCAATCATTTCCATGACAACGAATTTCTAAAGAAGTTAAATAGAAATAAATTTAAAGAGTTCTATAATAATAATAATAATAATAATTTAATCAAATTAAGTTATTTATATTTTTAATTAGAAATGAATACCTATTAGTTTGCATCCTTTCCTTGGATTTCCTGTATAACCAGGAGCACAGATACACTCATATGATCCAGGTAAGTTATTGCATTCTGTATATGCACCACAAACGGTCCATTCTTTAATTTCAGTACATTCATTTATATCTAAAAATACAGAAAAAATAATTATAAATAACAGTATAACATAAATCAATATGCTAACAGTTTATATAATATATGAACCNATATTTTAACCATGATAAATACATATTTGTCAAATTTGTTTTTCCTTCTTTTCCTATTATATAAGTATGCACCACTTAACAATGGGGATATGTTCCGAGAAATACATTGTTAGGTGAACACCATAGAGTATATTTTGGCAAATCTACACGGTATAGTCTCTGCTCACATAGATTATACGTAACACAATAATAAATATTTATGTATCTAAACATAGAAAAGGTACAGTAAAGGCAGCTATGAATTTTTTAGCTCCATTATTATCATATGGGACTCCATCATATAATATTAAGTGCATTCTGTTGTTAAGTGAAATTTCATTAAATGGCACATATCCATTTCCCAATTTAGATGATTTTAATTTTTACTTTAGAAATTAATAAATCACAAAGAAGAAAACAAGGAATGAAAAAAAAAAATAAATCCAAAACATAAAAATAGTATTTAATTAATTTAAACAGAAACAAAACATGCCAAATTTAGAAATAAAAATCAAATAAACATCAAATAATTTAAAAATTAAACATTCAGATATTTTCTAAAATGTCACATATAGGAAAGGTTTCATATTTAATATACAATAAAAAGTTTATCATTTACCGTAGCATCCTTTATTTGGATTTCCAGTACAGCCCTTTATACACTGACATTGAGGTCCAGTTGATGTGAGATGACATTCAGCATACTGTCCACACTGTTGCAAGTCACATGGATCTAAAAATAATTTCAATAGCAAAATTTTATATTGTAACAAATTATATGAAAAAGCTTATTTTTTAATACACTGTTTATATTGCTTACTTTTACATGTTTGGCCTTCTAAAACAAATGGCCTCAAACATTGACATTGACCATGAATACATTTCTGATTTGGAGGGCAATCATTTCCATGACAACGAATTTCTAAAGAAGTTAAATAGAAATAAATTTAAAGAGTTCTATAATAATAATAATAATAATAATTTAATCAAATTAAGTTATTTATATTTTTAATTAGAAATGAATACCTATTAGTTTGCATCCTTTCCTTGGATTTCCTGTATAACCAGGAGCACAGATACACTCATATGATCCAGGTAAGTTATTGCATTCTGTATATGCACCACAAACGGTCCATTCTTTAATTTCAGTACATTCATTTATATCTAAAAATACAGAAAAAATAATTATAAATAACAGTATAACATAAATCAATATGCTAACAGTTTATATAATATATGAACCTCGACAGAATCCGTCGGCTTCAACTGTATATCCCCTTGGACATATACAGAATCCATAAGAGGGTCCGGTAAAAACACATTCTTGATTTTCAGGGCATGGGTGTGTTGTTGAACAATTTCTACTGACCACTAAAATAAATGATAAAATTTTATGTATAAACTCAAAAATTATATAATAAATCTTAGGCGATTTTTAATACAAGAAAACTTTAAATTAAATAATCAAAAACCTTCTCAAAAATCTTTAAACAATTTATTAAATACAATGCAAAAAGTCTAACTAAAATAAAATCTATAAAAATAATACTTACAAATACAGTACTCTCCTTCTTGAACAAAAGGTGGAGTACAACCACAATGCCCACCATTTTCATGCAAACATTTTGTATTACCTGGGCATTCATTATCTCTTCGACATTTAATAACTAAGAAAATATGAAATTGATTATAATGATATATTAGAAACAGGCAGAATATTGTAGCCTATATTATATTACTATTTAAATTACTAACCATCTGGATAACACACACTATACGGATTTCCTGCATGACCAGGAGGACAGTGACAAACATAACTTCCTTCTAAATTAGTACAGAATGCATGAAGACCGCAAGATGGTTTATGACGAATTTCTGTACATTCATTTATATCTACAAACATTAAAAATTACACTTAAATAATGTGTTAACAAAGAATTTATTAATAAAAATTAATTTATAATTATAAAATTTAAATTATATATTATCAATTGATATTGTTTCAGTTATATTTATGTTAATTAAAGTAATAATTACAGTCGACCCCCCTATAAGATATAGATACGTTCCAATTTATTAGGAATCCGATTTCTTACAAGTCGTTCCAATCACAGCCCGACACGTGTCAAGTTTACGGACTACGGCTGATTGAAAGGTTTTCTTCCATAAAATTAATCGATTCTACACTAATCCGACTCAACATTTCCAAAATACGTATATTTTTTCGTAGTTTTATAGGAATCGTAATTATAGGGNTGAACTACAGCAAATTGAGTGAATGATGTACAGCAGACAAATTTCCTATATACAGCTGTGTTTAAGAACTTGTTTTAAAGAAATAAATTTATTGAAAAAAGTAAGTTACATACCAATTGCAAGACAACCTTTATAAGGATCTCCACTAAAACCTCTCGGACAAGTACATTCAAATGATCCTTGCAAATTTCGACATAACGCATTCTCACCACAATGAGAGGGGCCATCGGAATCACATTCATTAATATCTAAATAAAATTTTATATTGATATATAATTCATAAGCTTTAAATATTAATCATCAGATTACTACATTGTAACCTAATTCCAAAACTTACCAATGCATCCAGGTAAGCTATTACTGCGTCCCGTAAAACCAGCTGAACAAACACAAACTGGATCTCCACTTGGATCTAATTGGCATTTTGCATGATCTCCACAGAATATCTTATCACATGGATCTGTAAAGTGGAAAAGGTTTATTATTATGACTTTTATTCAAAACATACTTATTATTTTAAAATATTTTTCTAAATTTTGTACATAAGTACTGTACATGTGTAATATAAATTTTATACTATTTTCTGTTGTTTTTTATATTTTACCAAAATTAAAAGAAATATTATAGAAATTACAATTAAGATTTTATTAAGAAATTATAAATAAAATATTGTAAACATTTTCTGTTTAATGTTATTTATATCCCAACTTAAAGAGCAAATTTAAATATAAAATTTTATTATAAATAAAAATATTCCTAATTAATCTCAGAATAATAAAAATAATTATAATCTATGAAACATCACATTTAAAATAACAATTAATTCATTACCTATACAATCGTCACCATAATGTGTATATGGGCAGTAACATTGTCTTCTGTTGTCACAAATAGATTTTCCTGGACAAGTATCATCGTCCCTACAAACAATGTGCTGAACACCTAAATATAAAAATAAAATACTTTTATTACATGTAAAACAAAGCATTATCATCTGGTAATTAATACTTTCTCATAATTATATAAAGACTCAAACAAAAATAAAACTTACAAGCTTGATAAGGATTTCCATCAGTGCCTTCAGGACATTTGCAATCAAATGCTCCTAATTTATTGATACAAACAGCTCCCAAGCCACATTTTCCATTTGGACCATAACCTTGAGAGCATTCATTAATATCTGAAAATATTACCAAGAATTACAAATTACAAATTGAAATATTACTAATAATTTTTCCTTTAAAATCTAATATTTATACCTTGACACTTTACACGGCCATTTCCAGTATATCCAGGTGGACACGAACAGGTGAAACTTCCAATTGAATTTGTACAAATGGCTTCAGTTCCACACTGACCACTTGGTCCAAACTGAATATCGCATTCATTAACATCTGTAATAAAAATATTTTTATAAACATATATTTTATTGGTTGATTATTTTTAAAACAAAAAATTGTCTGTATTGTAAGGAATTTTATTATAATAAATATAATTACATAAAATGAAAATAAACAATTTTTAACACTATAACATGATTCAACGATAGAATATTTAATAAAATTTCTTTCTTTTCTACTTCAAATATAGTACCAGACCAAATAACTGATTTCCAGAAACCACAAATTACCAGAAAACTAGCTAAATTTTTTGAACTGGTTAGTTTTGAATTTGGTAGACTGTAGCACAACTGTAATTACCATGCAGCCACTAGTTTTATTGGCTTCTGTAGCATACACTTCACACAATGCCAGTTCCAGTGTGACTGCTGACATATGTGCATTAAATACAATTTTGTTTTTTACTTTCCATTGTTTATTTTAGTATTTTAATTAAGTACATATTTAGCCTGTCCAGAAAACCATTTCTAGTCATAAGCTTGCTTGGATATTTGATCCAGCAAGCTGCATTTATGTTTTATTATTCTATTACATTAAAATGAAATTTACTAAAATACATTAATATATTTATACATTTCATTATTTCAAATCTGAAAATATCTATTTTGTGTAATGTAAGTCTATATTTGTATTATGATGTTTACCTCTACAACTAATATATGGGTTTCCTTGTAGACCTGCAGGACAAACGCAATCCACACGACGTTGTCCTTCGACACAGTTGGCATTATTTCCACAGTCAGTGTTATCGCATCTCCTTTCCGTTCCTAAGTATTTTATATTTTATTTAATACAATATTAAAAAATAAAACTTTCACTTAAACATTCTAAACTGTATTTGTGTGATAGTTTTAGAAGTTATAAACTTTAACTTCTATAAAGAATATATTTTTTAATATATTTTATAGTACATATATTAATCACAAAATAAATTACTAACCACAAAGTCTGTAAGGATTTCCACTATATCCAGGATTACAGACACAACGATTTGGCACTGAATATACACAATGAGCATTAACACCACAAGATGGTACACAAATTGGTGGAAGTAATGCTGAAATAAAATTGTGTTTTTAATATAACTCATATACTTATATGCATTATTAATAAAAATTAGTAATAATATCTACANAAATAATTAAATATTAAGCTTATATGTCTGTAAAACTTACCTTCACAGTATTTGAACGGTTCACCAGTAAATCCAGGAGGACAATAACAATGATAACTACCAGGAACATTTGTACATATGGCTCCAACTCCACATAATCCAGATGGCCCATGACTAACTTCACATTCATTAATATCTACAATGACATGGATTATGTAGCAACTTTGCATTTCATTAAAAAACTAAATTTAAATATTATCATTTTAAATGAAAATCAAATTTAAAAAATATATACAGTATTAGAAATCTTATAATTTTCATTTTATTACTAGTTGAAATTATATATATACAGTATACATATTTTTAGATTAACTTTTAAAATTTTTCTTTTAAAATTTTTTAAAATTCTTTTGAATCAACAATATCTTTGTTTTATTGAAGAAAATTTCCCCAAAAGTTTAATAATTTTTCAATTACAATAAAAAACACCAGGTAAACTAATTCTTTTTACCATCTCATTTTAGATTTCTCATTAAATAGTTTAAAATATATATATATTATATAAGTACTGTACTGTACGTACTGTATATATATATATATAAGCATACAATAGTCAAATCTATGTTGTTGTTGTTACAACTACTAGTGTGTTTTCTCAATTCCAATGCATACCTTTTTTTTTAAACTTTTCTGGTCATAAAAATTGGCATCAGCTTTAGAACTAGGCACAAACTTGACTTTAATGCAGTGTAGTTCATGTTGTTTGTTCTTTATTCTGCTTGGCAATTCACATGAATTATGACTTGTGTATAGATATGATATACATCTTTCTCATTTTGGTCTTAATTTTGATTTTGGAATCATTTAATGGTTTTTGAACTACAGCAAATTGAGTGAATGATGTACAGCAGACAAATTTCCTATATACAGCTGTGTTTAAGCAGACAGATTCATTATCATGAAAAATATTTGTATACATTAACTTCAGTGTGATATTACTTATCTAGTAAATTTCATGCTTGTGTATACCAATGTAAAATCTTGCTGTTAATTAAAAGTTTATCGTACAATAATTTTGACTGATTTTGTGTTGTTTCTCAGATCCTCTGCATCTAATAATGGAGTCACAAATGAATACATAATTTAAAAGTAATGCTATAATGATATTGCAGTCATCTCCCCACAAATTTTGTGATGACTGGAATAATACATGACTGGATCAATCTTACGTCATTAAAAACTCATCCTCTCTCCCATCATCTTTGAAGACTTTTTCATCTTAATTTTTTTAAACCCATATTTATTTGTAAAAATAAAACTATATTACAAAGTGTTGTATAACTTAAGTGTCATTTTATTGTATTTTTTTATTATTATTATTTTCATATTCATATGCATTTTTCTAATGTATTGTATTTATATGAAAATGTGAAGCATTGTGAAGTAGTATAAACACTAAAATAAAATGCTTTTCAAAAAATACATTTATCACATACATTAACTTTATATGGCTACATTTCAGATATATAATATGTATTTACATTCACGAGCTAAATGTTTTTGGGTTTTGATGTCTCAAAATTCAGGTGTGAGTTAGATTTGATGATGTGTTAGAATTGAGAAAACATGGTATTTTAGTCTATAAATATATCAAAGATTAGAAACAATTATTGTTCTTAATAAATATTTATAAAAACTTAAAGTAAATTCTAACCTAGACAGCCAGCATTAATATTGTTTGGATCAAATGTGTATCCCAAATTGCAGATACAGGCAGCTTCTTGTCCATTTGCTTGACATTCTGCATGTGGTCCACAATCTACACCATCACATGGAGCTAAAGAGAATTATTATAAAATTTAATCAACATGTTTTTGTCCACCATCACGGTAATTTTTGTTTTACTATTAGTTTTATTTTGGTTATAGCATTTGTATTTTATCAAAAACAATAAGAAGACGTTTTGTATTTTACTAACTATTTTTAATATATTTCAATACTTTCAGATAAAATAATTAATTTAAAAATATACATAAGAAAATTTTACTTACATTTGCAAGCTACTTTTGCATCCCCTATGAGGTTATCTGGACACAAACATTCATAACCTCCATCATTATTAACACATTTTGCATTGGTACCACAAGGAAAATGTCCAAATAAACACTCATTTATATCTAAACAAACATAAATTTTAATAACTCATCTTTAAATCATTACTTATTTAAAAAATAATTTAAATAAAGATTTTAACTATAATAATTAAAATTATACCTCTGCAAGGACTTTGAGGAGTAGATTTTATTTTCTCATATCCAGTTTTACATTCACAAAGGTAATTTCCAAAGGAATTACGGCATATTGCATTCCTGCCACATATATGTGATGTACGACATTCGTCAACATCTGTTTATTAAAAATTTGATTATTAATATGAAATATGGAAAATAAAATGAAAGTTTTATTAGTAACTTGCTTATTTTTCAATACTATAAACTTACATATTAGTGAATATATTTATTACAGAGACTACTAACTGTATTAAATGCTATAATTACCGTATATTGCAATCGTGTACTAAAATCTTTAACTTACCAACACATTCAATACCATTGACTTGAAATCCACTTTTACACTGGCATCTAGAATGATAGCATTCAGCATTTTGCGTACATTCATGATTTCCACGACAACGTACATCCACTTGAACTAAAAATATATATTTAATGATCAGACATTTATTACTAAAATTATAAATTATTTACTTTAATTTCATTTAAGTCTTTTTTTTAATACCTCTAGTACAAGCTTCTCTTCCATTTCCATCATATCCTTCAAGACATTTACATTCATAAGAGCCAGGTATATTAAAACATTCAGAATTTTCAGAACAAGGATTGAATCTTATACATTCATCAATATCTGAAAATTAAATAATTAGCATTAATATTAACATTAGTTAATCAAGACATTACAAAATATTGTAATATGTTTAACCCTGTTCATTGACAATTATATTTTATACTATTTTAAGAGTATTAGTTTCCTCAACTTACATAAAATATGAATTAATAAACAATATAAATCATGTTATCATCTTTTGCCTTCAGTTCATAAAATTTATGAAAATAAATAATACAGTTAAATTGTAAATTTAATTGTATTTAATTTAATTTAATAAATAATACAGTTAAATTGTAAATTTAATTGTATTATTTATTTTCATATATTTATTTGTATTAAGTTAAATAGAAAAAAGCTTAATTCAGATTAATATAAATTAGTTATATAAATATTAAAATAAATTATTTTTATTTTTATTATATTAAATTCTTAAATTCCTTATACATATATACATTTTTATGTATCTGTATTCTTATATGAGTTTATAATCTTTACTTAATATATCATTTTCCCGAGCAAAGCCGAACACCTCAGTTAGTTTAAATATAAATCCTTCTATATTTTCAGATATATAATATCATCTTTAACTTTTTTTAATGTAAATTTTGAATATTTATTTGTGACTGTAGTGTTTGAAATAATAATCATTTACCTGCACACAATATACGGGGATCTCCAGAATATCCTTCTTTGCATACACATTCATAAGTTCCAGGGATATTATGACATTCTGCATTAAGTCCACAGGCATCTTGTCTACGGCATTCATCCATATCTATTAGAGTAAACATCACAAAAAGAAATTTAATAATATCTGATAAATTAACCAATGCTATTTTAAAAAACTGCATTCATAAATAATTAACTCACCATGACAACCAGCAGATAAATAAGCATCGCCATCATAACCGGGTTTACATAGACATTTGTAACTTCCAGGTAAATTAGAACATTCCGTATTGGCTCCACAAGAATGAGGGCATTCATTGATATCTGAAATTTATATGTCAAATATACATTCATTTATTTCAAATTTTAATGATATTATCAATAAAAGTTTTCATTAGGAATTAAATACTAACCATTGCATATTTGCTTAGCATTTCCAGTATATCCTTCGGGACAAACACAATAATAACCACCATTTGTATTTTCACACTTAGCATTCTTTCCACACGGAAAATGTGAATCCAGACATTCGTTTATATCTATGCAGGCAATTTCGGGACGTGGATTACCAACATATCCAAGCGGACAACTACAGGTATATCCCCCTCGGGTATTTTCGCATAAAGCACCAGGACCACAAGGATTTCTTCGACATTCGTCCACATCTGAAAGATATTATATTAAAAATTTCAATATTTTTAATAAAAATATTACAATAAATAAATAAATGAAATAAAACTTTACAAACCTAAACATTCCGTGAAAGGATCACCATCATAACCCGTCGGGCAAAAGCATCGATAACTGCCCGGAATATTTTCACAATGGGCTCCTCTACCACAGGAACTTTCATCTAAACATTCATCAATATCTGAAAACATATCATTAATAATAATTAGTAATCATATAATTGGAAATTAATTTATATGCAATAGTTAAAAAACACTTTTACTTTACCTAAACAGGCAACTGTAGCATTTCCTGTATATCCAGGAGAACATTTACATTTATAATGACCGGGTAAATTACAGCATTCAGAATTTGGCACACATAATGATGCCAATGATGGAATTTCACATTCATTTATATCTATAAAATTAAATTAAGTATTAATTACTATAATTAAAATATTTAAAACTATCATTTACCTAAATATAAAAATTTATAAATTGTATTTTATGTTTATATTATATTATTTTATAAAACTCACACATTAAATTAAAGAATTAATTTTTTCTTATATTTTTTTTCCCCACCTTGCAGCAACCCCTCAAGTCTTCTACCACATTCAACTAGGACCGAATTTTGGAATCACCGATTTAAATGAAGAAATGTTACATTATTTATAATATAGATATCTAATTCTATAATTGTACAATAATCATTAGCTATCGAACTTGTCACAAGAACCTGAACTAACTGAAAAATATTTGAAAATCATCATATTAGTAGAAACTAAAAGAATCTATTGTGAAAGGACAAAATACCATTAGTGATGCTGAGTCAGTTTAAAGTACCATTGCATAGGAATGTATAACACCAAATCTTTTTTTTCATGGATCAAAAAAAATCAGATAATAATCAAGAATTTCTTTTGTTTAGCACCCAGACAAATTATTCTTTAATGTGAAAAGTCACCTTTACATTGAGCTATTCTTGTATCCTATCTGATCTAAAAATAATGTTAATATTGTTATGAGAAATTTTATTGGCATACCTTTAGTTATGTGGCTAAAATACCATTAAATTCTCAAAAAATTATATTAATTTTTAAAATAATATAGAAAATAAAAGTTAAATTTTCTAGAAAGTACATTTCATTTTATCCATATCTGAAGTGTTCTAATATTTTTTGCTTATTGTTAATTATTTGAACAAATAAAATCTTAAAATAAAATATATAAGCAGAAAGATTTTTTAAATAAAAATTCATTATTGGCACTTTCATCCATTAATGCCATTGGGAAGACAATAGCTAAAAGAAATTAACCGGAAGTAAAAATGAGTTTCTAGTTTTTGACTAGGAGCAAAACCATCAGAAAAGTTAATTATATGTTACTTGACAATAGGGATGACCACTAGCATGATTTTTATACTAAATTACTGCATATTTTGTAATAATTGAGAATATTTTAAAAGAAGTTCAATTAAGAATTGTCACGACAAACCATTAATACACATAAAAAATTTGAAACTAATTTAAATACGAATATATTAATTTAATATCTGTACATATTAAGAAACTTTATCTTCTAAGATAATCAAAATATAATTTTCTATTAAATATATTAAGATTATTAAATTTCAATTGCTAATATACATTGGAAGATAAGACTTTCTGGTAGATTTGGGGGCCCTCCTCTACATAATTTTACCATTTCATACACCAACAATGCTTAACTGAGGCTATTGAATTGTTTATAAATTACCATATACAATTGCAAAGACAAAACTATTTAATAATTGCATAATTTAACCTTTAGAAGCAATATTAGTCTATTCATTTATCAATATGGTACTAAGTTTCATTAACTTAGAATTTTTTCCAATTTTGGAGCCCAGTGGTACTAAGGAGGCAAAGATGGGCATGTGCCCAGGTGCCGACCTTGGGGGAACTAAAACGAATCCCATAGAATATTTTGTAATTAACATTTAATCGAGGGGCACTATGTATGAGGTTTACTTCGAGCACCAAACTGTTTTGCATGGCTCTGTGGGGCCCCAAGACCCAGGCACGTGCCTCAAAAGCATAGTGGGTAATCTGGCACTGCTTATATATAACTACTACAGAATCAATTCTTATTTAAATACTGAAGTAAACATAATTAATTCATTAAATTCTATTTTATGTAACTTATTTTGGATTATTCTCAAGAAAACATTTTGAATATTCTATAAAGAAAAATCAAAGATCATAGATCAGTATTCATGTTATAAAGCAATTGCTCAATAAAATAAATTATTGAATCTACAAATCAATTGATGTACACATAAGAAAGAATAGAACTATGTAATTTGTGACCTTTATGCTAAATTAAGTTGAATTATAATGGATTATCCAAAAAATAAGCTATTTTGTAATTATTGATGATTGTTAAGAAGTATAAAAATTCATATAAATCTCAAGATTATGGCTACCAATCTGTTGTTATATTTTTAAAATTAATATGAACTTGTATTATCCTTAACCTGGATGGAGGAATGAATGAAGAAATCCAGCATAGAGTTCACAGTGGATGAGTGGAGTGCCGTGCGTTAAGAAAACAAGCTGCAAAATGAAAGGAAGATTATAAAAACTGTGGCAAGCCCTGCTGAGATGTGGGCAATTACAAGAGCCCAGGAAAGACAGACGAGAATGCCAAGAGGGATGTATGATGTGACAAAGGACATAACAGTCAAGGTGGGTCCTGTATATAAGAAGATGCAGGAAAGTAAACTAAGTCAGTTTAGACATGTGGAGAGAAGTGATCACTATGATGAAAAGAGGATTGGGAAGTTGGAAGTGATAGGGAGAATGAAGCTGAGATGGAGAGGGAATGGAAGAGAGAGGGCATCCTGGATAGTGAGTAGAGAAGACAAATTAAAGATGGGAAAAATCAAAGACAAAGAAGATTGACCTCTACTATACAACATCAATGTGCTTATTCAGCTAGGGAATTGTATACAAGTTATTTTAATCAAATTTCCATTCTAAAATTGATTTCCAGGTGAAAGACATCAATAAATCTTCACAGATAAGTGATTGATATAGATCATATGTATGAATAAACTTCAAACAGGAGATGATTCCCTTCTATTGAACTGACATAATAAAAGGAAATGTAAAATTATGTTAATCAAATGGTAATTTTCGTCGCAAAACTTTTCTTTTCCAAGAAAACAGCTTATTATTATCATTATTGGTCGTCAAACCGGATTCTATTTTCCACATTTCTGACTTAGTAGGTGGCAATTGACCGTTATTTTTCTCTCGCCTTCCACCTGTATACTTTTTTTCCCCCTAACAAAACAAAAATGGCGACGGTCCGTTGCAAATATGTTTCCGTTCCATGTTCTCTCTTCTGTGTTATAATTAATAGAGACTTTGATTTCCGTTTCACTAATAAATACGACCTTGATCTATCCTGTTTTCCAGCAGTGGTTATTAGGGACAGTTTCTGTCTCGTTAAACAAGAGAAATTTTAACATTTTCTAGACCAATTACGTATTTTAAAAAAATTAAATTTTAGGGTAATTTCCCTAAATTTTACGGATTAAACTATTTTTAAATCGCATATTTAAAGTTTAAATAATAAATATAAATTTAATCCTAATCTAATACAATTATATTTTAATATTCTTATCGTTTATTATTAAAAGACTTATATTAAACTGAAAAAAAAATTGTAAATATGTTTTATTAAAATGACTAAATGATAAATAAGTTTATGAAATTTTATTATAAATTTAATATTTTATAAGTTTTGAGAAATTAATCAATATATATTTTAATTTAAGGGATGTTTCCCTGGCTTCTAAAAAGGGAAATATCTCTAAATTCGAAATTCAAAAATCGTCTGCTCAGAATTTATTTAGTTCATTCATTATTTCAGGAATTTATTTATTACAATCGAAAAAATATCTATGTATGTTTTATTAAATAGCTAAATAACACAGTAAATAAATTTATAAAATTTTGTTATAAATTTAATATTACATAAGTTTCAGAAATTTCCCCTCGCTTTTAAAAACTGAAAAAAAATCCCTAAATTCAAAATTCAAAAATCGTCTGCTCACGGATGAACAGCCAATAGAATTCGTTTAAACATAATAATTATTTTATCGAGAAACGCAAAAACTAATAATATTCGTTAATTGAAAATATATTTTTACTATATTATTGCTTATAATTATTAATAATAGTAATAAATTTACTTACCGTGGCATTCAAATCCATCACCTTCGTATCCGGGAAAACAAGAACAATAAAAACTTCCCATTGTGTTTGTACAATGCCCAAAAACATCACAAGGTCTATATTTACATTCATTTTCATCTATAAGAAAATTATTATTTTTTAAATATTAATTTTAATGTATTAATCATTTGTTAAATTATATTTTACAAAAGGAAATTAAAGAAATAGCGCACAAAGTGTCGTAAAATTAAATACAGGTCGCACCTCCAATAGCGGCCACCTGCTAACAACGACCACCTCTAAATAGCGGCCATTTTTCGGGAAGTTTTTTCTTTAATGCATGCCAAACAGCGGCCATTTTTGTATTTCTCCTCAGTGGTTNACCTCTAAATAGCGGCCATTTTTCGGGAAGTTTTTTCTTTAATGCATGCCAAACAGCGGCCATTTTTGTATTTCTCCTCAGTGGTTTCGGAGGTTTGACAATATATTATATAGGGCCCTGGTACCGTATTCTGTTAGGCCCCTCTCCCTATTAAATACCATAGGAATATAATTTTCTACCATTTAAGTAACAAAAGTCGATTTGTTTTAATTAAAGCGTGTCAAAATTCTCAAAATATGGCGAAATTTCTAAAGGTTATGTTAAGTAGACCCTATCAAAGGGCCTACAAACACTTCATTCGGTTACGTTTTGTATGTATTAATAATTTTTTTTTTATTTAAAAAGTTTTATACAACGTTTTTTTTAACATACTAGGGCCTCGAAAAGGGCCTTTTACGATCGCTGAAAAGCTCAGGTAATGATTTAGAATTTTTAAAGGAATTTAGACGGGATTGATGGGTAAGACATCGTAACATAAGGACGATAACCAGGAAGGGGCCTTCAGGGAGGACTTTCTATGGGAAACTGACCCCTATTTAGGTGCTGGGGGCCTCCCGATAAGATTTTCTACGGGAAACTGACCCCTATTTTGGTGTTAATCACGCGAAGAAGACCCCGAATAGAATCTAGCTCGTTGGTCAGGCACGAACCCACGACATTTAAGAAGTATCTACGTTCCTTTGAACCTAAGTAATTTGTTTCAGTCATCGCTACTGTTTACAGAGAATAAACGGATAAACAAACAAACTATTGAAGTTTTCTTCGTTTTTAATAAGGCAATAAAAAATAATAATACCTTTTTGCAAAATTAATATCACTACTTCGTACCGTAATTTCCTTTTTTATCTTACATAATATAATTTCATAAGTTTATAAATAGTACAAAATTTCATATAAAATTACGTAAAAACACCATTTAAGTTTAACTAATTACCCGATCGGTTCGGGCGTTAAGCTACTACTTTCTTATCGCTTAAAAATATATTTTTTTTATAAGCTTTAAACGTGTATAAAATTATTTAACATTTGGCTCACGAATTTATTCAAATTGTCTAGAATTTTCTCATTTATCAACAATGGATTGATACGAATGAGTCATAATATAAAATCATTTTTAAAGAGATACGAAACCAGTTAAACAAGCAATAAAGATTTGTCCTATTTAAACAGCCTGACCAACGAAGGTGGGTCAAGTTAGAAGCAGGAACATTTTGGCAAATGTTTAAATAGGTTAAACACCCACTCTATGAACTCGAACCTCTTTAAAAAAATCTTTTTTAAAAAGATTGCCTTGAGATCATAGGCGTTTTGGAATTTTCTTTTAACTGGTTCTTCTTATTAAGAACATTTATAGAAAGTTTATTCCTATATTTTTATCCTTTATTTAATTTAAAATATATCCGTCGTAGGGGAGCCGGTAGTTAGTCTATAACTAGTCAACTGCCTTTTTTTTTTTTTACCCGGTTTTCCGGTAAAATCTGTTTTCTACCTGTATAAATAGGACGCTATTCTATTATGTTGCATGTTAAACAAGCATTACTTGGCAAATTGTTAACGAATCCTTTTTATAAATAGGCATTAAGAGCGAAAAAAATTCATTCCTGAACTTTAAACTTAAGTCCGGTTTTATGCATTTTCAGAAGAGGGCATAACTTCAAGGTCGGACAATCAACCCTCAACAACAGTCCAAGAGAATATAATTATCGATCCAATGAATTTACGACGCGCGTATACGCACTTATAATCCTATTTTAAAACTGTAATAATTCATGTATACAAATTTTAAACTACTCTTTCGTGTTGCTAAGATATTAATTTATATATATATATTTTTTTTTTTTTATTTCAACGTACTGGCCTGGGGTGTTTGGTGCTCGTGGGTCCTCAGTGTCTGGGTCTCCCACTGCGATTTCCTCTATAATATATGTTCCTGCCTGCAGTTACTAACTTAAACATTTTATTACTATCACGTCCGTTCTACTAGCTAATTACTGAATTTCCTCTCGTGATTACTAATAATTATAGCTTATTTATTTTATAAATTAAAATTAAGTACATCGATTTAAAAACGGCAGGTTTTAAATTCAAATTTAAATATTAAAATGTTTAGATATTCCTTTAAGTCGTGGAAAGATTGGTAAATTGTCTTGTTATCTATGTAAAAATATAGGTCTTCGAATAGTTTTAACGCCTTTATAATCATTAAAATAATTTACATTCACGACCTTACTTAAAACAGCTTAATTTTATAGCCTACATACTTTAATATTTTTGATAATTATCTTAAAAACAATTATAAAATAGGTCCGTTTATAACAATTAAATTATCATTCCTTATGTAGTTTATTCATTTAATTTATATGTGTATCTTTATCTGAAAATTTGTACTGATAAAGTACGTATTATAGGGTTTATATTCATTTTTATGACAGCTCTAGAATCTAAGTTTTAAAACATTTTTTTATTAGATATTTTTAACCAATCGTGACCAGTAATAGTAGAGTGAATGGCCAAAGTATCAAAACAAGTGCCAATGAACACTATAATAACACCCAGAAGGTAATGTTTAGCTTTCTTTGAAGAAGGATGTGATGTACTAGCCAATATTCCGGTAGTTTTTCATAAGTTCGCAAGGTCAAGGGATAGGAGACAACAGAGGAGTATACACAACACACACGCAAAAAAAATTCCTGGCAAGGGCATAGAAGCAATTCCCTCAGGTATACTGAGCGAAACACGTCGGCCTTGGATGCCTGCTTTAAGTTCAAGGTTGCCAAGAATGGAATCGCATCGAAGTACAGATGAGCAATAGTGTGTGAACGGGCGCTGTTTTTAAATTATTGTCGTACGTCACTTACCTGGCATTTCGCATCCTTTTCCACCAAAGCCATCGTTGCAGTAACATAAATTTTCTAAACATACACCATTGATGCACCTTGGCATCTTCGGATGGCAGAAATCTGAAATACAGTATTGAATATTTTATAGAAAATTTAGTAAATTATCGTATTGTACACAAATCTGAAATACAGTACATTAATAAACACATTATTGTACATTAAAATACACATTGATATTCTCGTAAAACATCAAATTCATCAACTAAAAAAGGTAATACAATTCGATCTACTTCGAGTATCTTCGGAATTATACGCCTAAACTTATAATTTACGCCATTACTTTTGATATTTTCTGACATAAAATTCATGATTCGTCATTTTCCTATCAGGTTAAAAAAATTGAATAAATAATTTGCAAATTTGCAGAACCGGTTTAGATGATAAACTCTATAATATCTTGCCAAAATTTACATTATTTCAAGTTTCTGACATACAGCCTTGACTTCTGGGCTTTTTCAGATAAAAACAGTAATACCAGATGAATAATCAAAACATATGAATCTAAGCAATAACATAAATCATAAACATGTGTTTACAGATTTGTGATTTACCACGTAAATATACTGTAAATTCATATTATATTTACTAATGGCATTATAAATTCTTAAAATAAAAAACCTATAAATAACTCTAAACAAAAAGAAATCATTGCATGGTTAATTGTGCCTACTTTTCGCTTATTAATAACATACGAATAGTGAAGATTCCTGTGCATTAAAATTTTACAAAGAATTTTTCTTTATAAATAATTCTAAGAAAGAATAGCAATTGATGTTATAATTCTTGCTAAAAGCTCCAAGGAATGTATTGGTTCTTTGCTGGAAGCTTCAAGAAATTATTGATTCTTAGCTAGAAGTTTCAGAGAATAAGATTTAACTTAAAATATTTCAAAGAAATAAGTGTAATTTAAAAGATTTTAACCTTTAAAAGACTAAAAAAAAATCGATACAGATAGACTACAGTAGATTGTTTTGAAATTTGAATCGAAGATAAGCCATTTAAAGGAGATTGACGTATAAACCGGCATTATTTCAGTTTTATCTTGATCAAAGGGACAAGTTTCAAGGATGAGAATACAGTCCACACTCTTATTCATTCCAAACTCTACATTTTTTTATTTTTTTTTAAGAGTCATCAATGCGTTCTTATAGTTTTTTGATAACCGGCAATTCTGAGAAAATACAAAAAGAACGATAAAATCTCCCAGAAGAGCCCCACTGATGACCCAATTTTGTAAATAAATCTGACTACATCATCTCATTTTAACTTACTTTACGGTATTAAAAAAAAAAGTCAGTAGCACCCCGCCCATTATACCCTAATTTAAAGATGAATGCTTTCATTTGATAGAATACTTACTCTTGTCTGTACATTTTAGTTCGCTCGCAACTTCGTCCGAACCGTGAAAACAATGAGGTACATTATCACATAATTTCGATAACTCGAATAATTGTAGAACATCGGTGGATTCGTTTACTTGACATCCGAAATATCCATCTTCTAAATTAAGTATGAATATTTCCCTCCTGAGATAAGGGCTTGGAAAACTTGGACTGTATTGAGAGGATACCTGAAATGAAAGCAATATACATATTAGGGCCTTCATGTAAAATCTATATTGAAGCCTCACAGGGCTTAAACTAAGCTTATTTCTCTTCGGATTCTTAAATGCCGAACTGATTTTTCTTGGAAGTATAAAATGCTGTAAAATAGTTTAAAGTTTCTGGCTAAGCACTTAAGTAGGATTTTATGTTAGCGTAGTGGCACAGGTGCTTAATTAGTCTAGCGAAGGACCGACCATTCGGAAATAATGACCAAACGTCCGGTAAAACGATGATAAAAAACGGTTTTTGGAATTAGCGAAACGGTTCGCATTCAGTGGAGAAAGTGTGGGCGGCCGTTTAATAACCTTGAGGTGTATATTCAAGGACGACTAGAACGGGAATGAAGAAGAGAAACATTTCCAAAGATTGTTATTTTTCATCTTTTCTTAAAATTTTTTTTTCTTTTCTGGATTTCTTTGTTCTCTTTTACCAAATGGAAATTTCGTTAAGTCTATAATTCTTACATACTGTTATTCATTTGTGAAAAGATTAATTTGTTTTTATTCATTGTAAAAATTAAAATTATATCTATTTTTTGAAGTGCTGCCGACTAATTATAGGTGGAAATTAATTTCCAGCGGTGGTAAAACTTCTTTAAAATAATCTGGCAACACTATACGATTATATAATTTAAAATTTGAATTTCAAATTTTAAAATTATTCTAATAAACATATTAAATCTTTCAATTAAATGTTTTATAACTGTAAGTATTAATTTATTAAAAAGTATGGTAAATTTTAGTTTTTTGTAGATTTAATAATTTATAATTTTCTCTAATCACACGCGACAACTGTTTACAGTGCGGAATTAATCTTTAAAACAATCTGGCAACCTCAATTTAAGAAACGTTTTGACTTCCTTGATTTTTTTTAAACATTTAGCAATAAATTATTATTACTTAATTTAATATTTCTCTTAATAATATATAAATTAATACACAGTTTTCGCAAATAAAATTAAAACTTTAAAATAAATCATCGATTAAAAACCCTTTTGTCGATTGGTAAAATTCCGTCGAATTTTTGTCTGTTTCAAAATTCATCAGCTGTAATGCCCCATGGCATTTAAGATATCGAATGAAAGGAAAAGTCAGTAAATCCTTACAAGAAGTGAGGAGCCGGCATAGAAAAGATTTCCGCATTTTTCTGTAATGATTGGAATAACAAGATGCATCACGAAATAAGTCAATGACACGTCTTTAGTTTTAAAACAACAGACGGTATAATTAGTTTAATTTCTCCGATGTACTAAATAATTCATTTAAAAATTAAATCTTAAACATTCCGTATCACAAATAAGTTATCGTCGATATCTTTGAACCATGCCGTGCTTCGGAGCGAAAAATAATTCAAAAACTCCTTGAAGAGTAAAGAAATTACGTAAAGAGAAAACTGTATTTAATATTTATTTTTATAGTTACAAAGTTATTTTTATTGATCAGCAATTAAGTTACTTGTATTTGTTAAATGTCAAGTTTAATGTCCTATTGCATTGACATGTATAACAATTATAAACTATGGACATAAATCTCCATATGTTTATCGTTTTAAGGTAACGACGTCATTAAGATAATTTTAATAGAGGCTTTAAAATTTATGTATTCATACTTCGGGCGATAAATATAAGCTTACTTGTTACTTTAGCTAATTCCCTCCCTCCGTGGTCTGAATTCTTTGTAAGGGTATTGTTTAATTTCGATATTTTCAAAAAGAAAATTAGATCTGAGGAAGAATATGAAGAATATCCTTTTAAATGGAGCAGAACATATTAAAAATTAGGTTTGAATTCCTATAAAGCGGCCATTAACTTCTATTTTCATCTAAATTCCATCTAAAAGGGATTTATTTTCGAATTATTATTATACAGTCGAGCCTATAAGAACGACCACCTCTAAACAGCAGCCATTTCTTTTTTCCTCGAACGTTGAATGTATGCATAACAACAACCTCCGAACAACGTCCACCGACGGTGGACGTTGGTCGGAGGTTTTGACTTTATATTTATACACACGTTATCATTTAAGAAAGGAAAAGTGATTTTCCGGTTTGGCCTAACAGGAAAATACTTTTATTTAAAGTAAATTTAAGTGAATGGCTTTGACATTTAAATGTCAAAGTCATATAGGTAATTGAAATAAAGGTTAGATGGAATCGAGTTTTCCGATATGTTTTGTAATGAAAAGAAGCAGAGTGAATGGTGTTCATGCATAACCAAGGTCATATCGCATGCAGGAAGAACACGATAAAAATATATTACGATATAAATTGAATATGTGTTGATTCCTGTGAATTTTTTCTATTTATTTCGGCATTTTTTACGTTCCAATTTGACACAAGATCAATTAAATAATTTGGAATTTTTAATTTTTAAAGTAATTAAATACAGTAATCCACTCATTTAAAAAAAAGTTAATTAAAGCAGTTAAAATTCGTTGTTTTATGGTTAAATAATTACTTTAATTTAAAATACAGTCGAACCTCGATATAGTGCCACCACTTGTTGGCCTCCATAATTGACACTAAATCGAATGTGGCGCTAAACCAATCGACAAGTTTGAAGTGTGGGGGGGTGATTTGGTGATAACAATGCCTTTTACGAGGGAAAATAGTAATTCACAGGGACTAAAACCATTCTTTATTTAATATTAAAGAGGAAGATATGTTCTTATTTACTGGCATTTTATGAGGGTGGCGCTATATCGAGGTTTGACTATAACTTGTTCCTATTCGTATATACAACTATAATCAGGTTTGAACAGGACTAGGACCAAAGCTAAACAAGTTGCAGCTTAGGGCCTGACTTTTTTATCTATTATTAAGTTATTTGTTGGAAAGGAAGGCCTGTTATATATTTTATAGCTTAGTTTCTCACGTTTTTACACGTTCTACTATTTGATGGAGGGTAAGGGCCTGTTACATTTTATAGCTTAGGGCCACAACAAGTCTATAAGTCCAACCCTGAGCCTGAGATTATTGAAATGCTTTTCCCATTTAAAACGCATGTCGTGACTTATAGTCATTAGGTTAATTCGATTTGATATTAAAATAATAATTTTTAGTTCGTCGTGGTTAAGTTTAAATTATAATAATTTAAAAAATTTCCATTCAATAGGCCTTAATACCCATCAATAATGTTGGGTAAGTATACTTTAGAAATCGATTTAGTTACTTAAATTTCATAAATAAATACTAAATTATGGCTTCGTCGAACATATTTTCGGTTGGAAAATTAATTAAATTTATTAAATAATTAATTTGTTTCGCTTCAAATATAAGATTTCGTGATAAATTTACATTCCTAGACTTTTAAAGCGTTGTCAATTAAATTATTTAAGGTTGTTTATAGTTTAAAAAGAAACGTAATGTTTTATTAAAAATTGCTAATGAAATTTATCGTATATTTTTTAGTTAAAAGCAATGAAAAGTGCATTCATTATATACCAGAGGCTGTATGAGGCCTGTGTTTTGTCGTTTTTTTTGGAATGTTTCTTGATTAATAAAAAGAAATCTTAAAGATTTTATGTTTTATTAGTAAAATAACATTAATTTTTAGGGGTAGGAACCACGAAAAATTCTCGATTACCCCTCTCTCGAAGGCCCTGATTACACAAAGGATATTGTTATATTGAGACTTTACACATTAATTTAATTGGCGAAAATTTAAGTACTCTAACCAATCAGCGTTCGAAACTAGAACCTCAGCAACAGATTAAAGCAATGTAATTGGTTGTTGTACGGACGTAGATATCTAATCTGTAACCGAACAACCAATCGCAGCTAGAGTATCTTACAGTGACAAATTAAAGTAAATAAACGTTTAAAAACATTAAATTTATAAAGAAAAAAGAAAAAAAGGTGGATGAAGGGAGAACGAAACGTGTTTGCGTAACTGTCATCAAGTCAAAAATCGTGTTTTGCCACCAACATCGATTTAATGGCATCGGGAATTTCACGTAACGCCTTCTTCTCACCACATCCGAGTCGGTTTTCTTTGTAAATTTCTGAATGATTTACTTCACGGAAAGAGGATTGAAATGTCAACAAACCGATCGAGAATTTAAATAAAAAATTTATCTTCATTTATATATAAAACAATAGAACCAAAGCGAATTAACAGCCGCAGTTCTTTCTCGGTTCTACTGTCGCTAATTAAGAGACTTTAAAGGCTTACAAAAGGCCCCTATTCATGGGATAGAATGGCATATGACAGAGCTACTCCACCTTTTGTGATGTCAGAAATGTTTCATGGTCGGCCTACTTTGGTTCCTGCCAAGTAGGTCAGTTTGGGTTGGAGGAAAGTAACGTCACTTTCACCTACACTCTATGTGACTAGCGTCAAAACACGATAATCACGTTTCGTATCGTGACGATCGATAAGGAAAATATTACGTAATTAAACGTTAATTAAGTATAATTGTATTAATATATCATTATAATTCATCTAAACACTATAAAGGCCCTTAATTCTAATCACATTAATCTCTTTAAGTTTATTGGTTAATTGGTTAAAAATTTAAATCGATCGACCAATCGGATGTTGTCAACCATTCAATTTCCGAAATGGCGACTGATAACGATTCATTAATCTTCTCGTCGAGTTATTCAAAGACCAAATTAAAAAATAAATAAATTATTTAAGAAAAAAAAAGAAGAAGAAATTTATCTGATAAAAGTGTGAATGACACCGAATGTATTATCTCCATTAACGAATGTAAAAGTATAAAGAAGAATGATGAACGGTCTAACACGTGATTGTAACGAGACGTTCTATTGGTTAATGTCCGAATTGCCCTGTGTGGGCAATAACGTTAGAAGATGGCGGATTTTTTTCTTGGTTTTTTGGATCTTTTTTGTTTTTTTGTTTTCTTTTTTGCCTTTGACTTAATTCTTTCGACTTCTCAGAAGTAATAAAGATGAAAAATACGGCTTGTGTCCGGTTTTAAGGTTTAAAGAAATCGCTATAAAAATAATCTAGGTTGAACTAGTAGTGCATAAATACATTTTTTTTTTTTTAAAAAAAGAAATACTTACCAGGACTATAGAAAATATCCAAACTGCTACACCTAGCACCCATTCAGTCAGCGCTGTAAAAATATATAAACCATCATTTTTTCACGCTTATGCCTATAAACGTTAATATTATCGTTAAATTTATATTTACTGTGTTATTTATTTTTCTATTTTTATGGTAAATATGCTTAAATCTATAATAATACTCTTCGTTTTTATTCTCCAGAATAGATTATTCCCAAAATTTCGGGCTAATTTTATTATAGAGACGTGGCAAGAAGACTTTTTTTTTCAAGTAACCTGCTATAAAAGGCATACAAAAGTACAACTTGGCATGCCTTTTTTTCACTAGGCTGTAGACATGCAAGGTACAGCTTGGCATGCCTTTTATAGTCAGATACCAAGTGTATAGGTTGGTATGTCTTTTTTACTAAGCTATACACATACCAAGGTACTGTACTGTACAGTTTGGCATGTTCTTTCTTAATAGGCTACAGAAGATGTATACAGTACTTTGGCATGTCTTCTACAGTACTTAAAAATTATATTAACTGTTTTAAGTATTTAAAATCACAAATTTTATTATGTTTAAATGTATTACTTTATAACTAGGAATAAATTTAGACTTCTCTCCTAGTTATACAGGTATTAAATTAGTCTTTATTTATTTATCATATGTAAGGGGCCTTTCTCGCTTCACTTAACATAAAAATTTAAGTAAGATATATATATAGTAGAACCTCCAATAACGGCCAACCTTCTAACAACGACCAGTTTATAAATGTTCCCGTCAGTGTCCGTCGTTCAGAGGTTTGTTTGTATATATAAAATAATTCAATACTTAACAAATTATATATATTTTTAACATGTTTTTATGTTTAAAATATAATATTATATCCTTACAAAATCTTTTTTTATAGAGTTAAACTGATAAGTAACTCGTATATGCTGTTATTTATAGCCTTAAACAAAGGAACGATATTGATCTGATTATAAAGATAATTTTCCTGCTATTTTAATGCTAATAAAACATTTATTTCTTTATTAATTCTTCTATTCAAACGGAAAATTTCTAAAACATTTTAGAACAAACAAACCAGATCTTCTAGCAGGCGCCATGTTGTACCATTGACGCGTCATGCATGCATTTAGTAATTTCGAATTTATATTTTTAAAACTATTGTTTAAAAATGTGGAATTATTTTTAATTTTATACATAAAATATTATGTTTATTAACTATATATTTAGTTAATTAACGATTAAAATCAATAATTAGTTTGCTAAATTCGTAAATTTGCACGTAATCTAGGATTATATACACGTCTCGTCTACTCTGTTTATTCGATTTAATATTATTAAATTTTGTGTTTTTCTGTACAAATCTTTTATTTTGTAAGTAAATTTAGACGATTTTCTTTCTAAAAATACTAAAAAAATGTAAATTAATTAAATTATTTTGAGAAAGGGAATACGTTAAACTTTACTTTGGTTTCGTGTTTGTTCCGAGGCGCCCACACTGTTTGATGTCAATATTTAATAGTTTTAACGTTTTATTTAATTTAATAATATAATTTTAATGAATTTAATTAAATATATAGCCTATATTTATCTAATTTAACTTAAAACGTCAGTAGATTTTTTTTAAATAAGCCCGAAAGAACTTGCTTTACTCGATGCCAGAAGGACTTTACTCGATGCCAATAAACTAAAATTATGTAAGAATAAAAAAGAAAATAAATTAATTTTAAATTTAGGAACGTATAAAAAGAATATTTGAATAGTTTTTCGTAGAAAAATGTGGAAAAAATTGATAAATATTCTCTGAAAACAATGAAATCCTTCGGTGAATTCGGATGGCTTCTGAGGAGAATTTTCTTAAGAGATAATGGGGAACATCAGAATAAATACGATTTACTTACTTAAATAAGATAAGAACTTAGATTTTTTTAAATAAATAATTAATCTAGACATAATTGCGACCCTAAACATTTCTTTTATACACTTTTCTGACATGATAACTAGCGCTTAAAACCTTCAAATTAATTAATCTTTGGCGTGAGACCGCGTGAGAGATGCAAGATGAAGAAGAGGAAAAAAGCCATCCGCGGTTCCTTTCAGGATCAAAAGGACCCCGAAAATTTACAAACGCAAAGAATCCTTATCGATAATAATAATTAGACTAAGTAGAAAATGGTGGTAAAAAAACGCTATTTTTTCGTGTTAAAAACAATTTTCTTACAGAACAATGAAGCATTTTGTAACTGAATATGCATAAAGGGGGATGGAAGTTATGCACGAAACATTAATATTGCCTAAAGGCTGTTTTAAGTGTATGAACTGGACTGATTAACAGCCAAGAAAATTAAGCAATATCGAAATTACATGAAGGACATTAACCAAAATCTTTATCTAAATTTCATTGATTCGATCTGTCGAAGGTACGAATTCGTATCTACAGGATGTGAAGCCATTTCGAAAGGAGAGAGAGGGGGAGAAAAACGCTATTAGAATAAACCATTCTGTCGTAAGCACATTTATCTTCGACGAAATTGTCTTAGGGGTGATTAACTTCGATAATTCAAGTGACTAACCGTGAAAAAAAGCGATTTATTTATATAAAAATAAAGGTGTAACGTCGAGTTACTTCTTTATATCGGTGTTTTTTACTTGATAAATTGTAAATAATTGGCACATTTCTGGATAGAAACTTAATACAGTCGAACCTGCGAACGACGGCCACAGACTGGAACATAAAAAAATGGCCGTTGTTCGGAGGTGAAAAGTTCCTTAGACGTTATTTTGTATGCAATTTTGTTTAAAGACGTTCGTGTGTGTGGTCGTCGTTGGAAGGTTAGCCGCTATTGCAGGTTTGTCTTGCTTTTCTATTTTAATATTTTAATTAATTTTATGATTTAGCCGGATTATTTCTTTAATTTATCAAGTAATACATTTAGAATTATATACAGAATAAGATTTATATAGAAGCTAAATAAGGCCTCTCGTTACGAAGAGTATAATTTAGGGCCTCAGAATATGAAATACAAATGAAACTTAAATTTGTATAATATCACTAGTTTATTGAAGTAAAACCTGTGAACAACGACCAGTGACATAAAAATGGCCGTTGTTATGAGGTTATTTATATTCATTTTTTCCCCTCTTTCCTCAAAAAAGGAATGGCCACTGTTTGTCTAGAAGTACACTACAGTACACCTTTCAACAACGGCCACTTTGGCCGCTATGGGAGGTTCGATTTATCTTCTTAAAAATATTTCAAAATAATCGTTAATTCTTTTAAAATTAAGTAAATAAACGAGTTTAATCTTAGCACATTTTATTAAAGATTATAAATTATGATTTATAATTTTGTTCTTTTTTATTTTTTAACTGCTTTAAAATTTACAATGAAATGCAACATTTCAACACAAACAATGCCTAATTATCTTGATAACGTCAGAAAGCATTTTTCTGTAATTTAAATGTTTTAACTAAATAAATAGAAATTGGTTTTGTTCTTTTTTATTTTTTAACTGCTTTAAAATTTACAATGAAATGCAACATTTCAACACAAACAATGCCTAATTATCTTGATAACGTCAGAAAGCATTTTTCTGTAATTTAAATGTTTTAACTAGAAAATTCCCAACACCTGCCCATAGAAAATTTATTCTTTTTTTAGTCTCTTTCATGATAATTTTTTTTTTTTACATATTTTAAGATTAAAATCGACTTGCTCGTGATTTTATAATTTATTCATAAGCGAGAATTTTTCAACTTAAACACGCATTCGAAAGTTAAATTTAATTAAATTAGCTTCGAATGAAGGTTTCAGTTGGCAATAGGCAATAATACAAGTAGACCACCCTATAACACTATAGATAATTCCATGTTATATGAATTTCATGTTGTACGAGTCACTTAAATTTTACAAATACGTGAGCCGTTCACAGCCCGTCACACGGTATTTGTAAAATCTAAGTGACTCGTACAACACGGAATTATCTATAGTGTTATAGGGGAGTCTACTGTACTAGTCAATAGACAAATAGGCAATGATGACACAACTGGCTTAGCCCGCAATTGATCGAATTTAATTAAGTTTTATATAGTTTTATTAATAAAATAATCTACAGATGCATGCGTTACAGATAGACTAGTTATTAATCTACAGGGTGGCTCAAAAGTCGGTTTACCGAGATTCATTTCGGATCGGTTAATCAATTTTTGGTCCATCCTTTAATTTAACATAAAAATCGAATGATTTCTACATTTTTAATTGGTTATAGATTAGTTTTATTAGTAAAAATATCCACATAAAGTTACACCTGGCATCAGTTTTAGGGTACCGAATAAGAAGACCGTATAAGACTTACATACATACGTGTTAATTAAAATGGACTTAAAGATAGAAAAAAAGTTATTCCTGCCCCCTCGATAAACCCCCATTTATCAAAAACATAATCCCTGCAACACGTTGTAAGTAAACCTTATTAGATACACTCCCACATAAACCAGTTCTAAGAAGGAATCCAATAAATCCTACACCATATATATATATATATATATATTTGAACAGGAGGAACTAGTATTGTTTTAATACCTCCAATTTGTTCTTCATCAATGATCATAGTTTTTAAATGGAGGGGGAGAAAACTTGGCATTAATTAACTAGGAACTGACTCGAAGAGCGACTGATGTGTGACTACTACTGGTATCACGTGGGCACGTATGAAAAATGTAACCTTTCCTGGATTATCCCGATAATTAAATAACTAAGGAAAGTGACTTTATATATATATATATATGTGTATTTATATACGTGATTTGGTCGTCTACTCCGGTTAAATGGACCTTGACCTCTTTAACTGAATTTCGTCATCCCGGTCTTTCTAGTTTTCGTCGGGGATGAGGAGGGGGAGAGTAGAGAGTTTAAAGTTTTATAGATCGAATAGCAGATAGGGCCTGATATTTTGGGTGATAGTGAAGCTAACTCGTCTGTCGGAAGTTCACTTTTTTTTTTTTTTTTTCGTAATTTATTCAAGTACCGGTTATCGTTTATCCTTCACAATACCA